TTGAGCATCCTTCGCTCCTTTAAAACATCGCTGCGGGATCTTGGTATGTGCATTTGGACGGTCCTTTAGTTTCTGCGGATATAAAAGAGGCATTCACTCCAAGAATTCGTTACATTCGTTTTTTGTGTTTGTTTTTTGGTTCTAGTCTCGAAACCCCTTTTTAAACCTATTTTCGGAAAAGAACTTTCGCGGCAAGCTTTGTCCTCGAACAAGTGTGAGAAGCAATTTAACCTCAAAATTCAGAACTGTGCTTCCTTTCAGGTATGCGTTTCTCTCTACGGCCGCCATAAATACCCCTTATCTCCACTTAGAAAACTTTTCTACAAGGATGTCATAGATTTTCGTCTTTTTTCCCAGCTTTGTTCGCTTACATGGGCATTTCCAGTAGAGACAACTATCCGTGAATGTTGCCTCACTTCAGACCCATTTTCTTCCCTTTTTACGAGAGATTTTCGAAATTTCAGCATATTCATTTAAGAGCTTGTCTTCTTCTTTCCATTGGTACCATTTTTGCCAGCCTGTTTTCACTTTTTGCTGAGTTATGAGCGTTTGATTGTTCCTTTCCTTTTACACAAACGTCATTTGTACGGTTTATACGGTAGGGGGTCAAAATCAATATTGCTAAAACTGGTCTAGGGAGTTTTCTGACTTGCTGATCGCGATTATCATACTTCTGCATTCTGGCGCCTTTTCATGGAATCACGGTGGGTATAATGTACGGGCCGAAAATACAAGTATGCTCGAAACTTTGCCTATGGATTTATTTAGCCCGCTGAACATGAATATCATACGATTTCCCTCTTAGCGCCATTTTCTTAGCACGGTGGGTGTACGGTAGATGAGTCGCAGTTCCAAATCTCTCAAAACTTTGGCTTGAAGGATTTTCAAGGAATCTGGTTATTTTAAGTTTGCTCGCGGCATCAATGCCTTGTTGTGGAAGCACGATAATTCGTGGCGTATGGAGAAACATTTTTCCACCCTTTGGGCTAATTCAAATCACAAAAATTTTGCTAAAGGCTTTATCGTGCGAAATGAGCACAATCCGCTTGACCAGCAGGACAGATGATTTTTTGGCAAGTATATGATTTTTAACTTTATACCATATATCCCGTAACTCCACGAAAAGGTCCCAAAATGCAGGGAGAGTGTGATGCCTGTGATCAGCATGTAAAGTGACCCTTCTAGACCGAATTTCAACCGAACTTGAGATTTTGTCTGCCTACCGTAAACCTACCATAATTATATGAAAGGGCCCTATAATGCAGAAAGAATGCGATAATCGTGATCAGCATGTCGAATAACACCCCTAAGCCGCGTTATCGAAATTCTAATCTGGCCCCCTACCATATACCCACTGTGACCTCGAAAAAGAGCTATTGCGCAAAAATGATAGTCAATGGCTTCAGGTCGAATACCTTCCCCTCCCCTTCTAGACCAAGTTTGAGCAGGATCACTTCGAAACTTGGGGCATTGGAATAACTCCGTTCAAACTAAGTCAGCATGGCCATCAACATCAGAGTCAGACTTGTAGGCAGTGTCTCATCAAAATTTGCGTCTCTTGGTTTTTGCAAACTACAACCCATTACGACCTTGTATACCCCCAAACGGGCTTAAATCCGTTCAAAAATCCGAAAAACTCCGTTGTTTGGAGACTCCGTAGAAGCAACGCGGACGAGTTGTCCCGATTTATCTTAGCCTTGGCCGCCGGGTCAGACATGTCAAGATGGAAGGCGTCGCTTGGAAAGACTCGTTGAGACGCGATAAGGGAACCGATAAGTCGTTCAGCGAGCCGATAAGCTTTTTGAGCTCAATTTTTCTGAAGTAGAAGAGACTTAGTAGAAGGGGACCTGGGCATTGGCCTGAGAAGGGGACTCCCTAATGAAATCTATAAAATCCGGTATACCTCCAATACAGTGAGATGCTGTCTTTAAGCATGAATGGAAACTTTAGTGGGAACCTGATCAATGCAGTGATTGGGAGGGGGAGGCAGAAGGGAAGGAAAGAGGATTTTCGAGAAGGCTACTGAATTTTCGCATTGCAAAGTGTTAAGAAATTGTGCAGCAACCATAAATTGAGAAGATTTGAAAAAGAAGCTTTGGGATTTTGGCACGGAAAAGTTGAGGGGAACGGTGTAAACATTGTGGACGAAAATACTTTGAAGGAGGAGGAAGATTCTGTGTCTTTGGCAGTAAGCTTTGAGAAAAGGGGATTTTAAATACAGGATAGCTCTTTGAGTAGAAAAAATGGATAACATGATTATGGATTAAAGGAGAACTTAGGGCCTCTTGGCTTAGGAAATTGGACAGGAGAAAGATATTACAAGGCTAGATGGAGAAGGAAGTTAGGCACCTCTAATGCTTTGACGGAAAAAGCAGCCAGCGAATGAATTTACGCCGAAAGAATACACAATACATCAGTTAGAAAAAGTTACAGAAAGGAGGGCTACGGAAAGGATGCTTTTTGAGGAGGAAAAGCACTATTTCGATTATCCCATGCGCAGGACGAGTCTGGAGGAGAAGTATGAGTAGGGTGTGCAAGTCCATTTCCGAGAATGAGCTTCACTGAATGCGACATCTAGACAATTCTTTCATCTAGCAATCTTTTACAAACAATCGTACTTTTGTCATTCAAACCTATATGCACCATGCAATTCCAGCAGATCTTTTTTATCAAAACATTAATGAACAAAAATTACGGCTTTTTACGGCATTGAAAAGTGTTATCCGAGGTTTTGGTGACTCAGTATGACAGTTCTCACACCTGATAGCCATCGGGCCGCTAGTCTTATCAATTACTGGATCTGTGTTCCTTTCTTTTATAGAAAGGATCAGATCAGTGACGCTCATATTGGCGTAATTATCATCAGCAGTGTTGTGATTCTGGGATGATGCTGATTGCAGTGCATTTTTGCGACCACGTGCTTTATTAGGCATTGTGTCAAACAGATTAAATTAACCCACAACCACACGCAGTGAAGGTGAATGAATGAATGAACTTTAGCAACTCATTTTAACCAAAACGCACACCCACTTTTTGCCTCCAAAAACACTCATAACTCTTCGTCTAAAACGTTCTGCAGATAAGGAAGGCAACTTTGGAATCAGCGTTTTATGCCCTTTAGTATAGTATACATCTCATCTAGAAAGGCCACTTCGACTAAACAAGCTTCCCTTGTAAGGACTATCAGACGCGTGACTTTTTTCAAAGCCACGCTAGTCCCATTTGTGTTGCTGAGGAGCGCAGGTGGAGAGATTTGGAGGTAGAGCAAATTGGTTAACGTTAGAAAATTTGTGCAAAAAACTTGAGTTTTGCACAGTAAAATTGAATCTATGAGTATTTCAGTAACAAGCGACATGTTTATCTTTCATTTGCCCACCAATTTCTTGCTGTAGTCCTGTAAAGATTGATGGCAATAGAGCTTATAGACCACTGCCGTTCAAGCAATAAGATAAGACAGGGCTCGGCAAGCTTGGCTTGGAGGTTTTTAGGAAACGAAGTCCCCCATGACTTCGCGAAAATTTACGAAGTCCCTCTCGACGTGAAAATAAGTAGGAAAACCCTAATTCAACCAAAATAGCAACAAAAAAGCGAAAAAAGCGCATTTTGAGGTATATATTAGGTTGGTCCGAAAGTTCGTTCGCACCATTTCCAAAAAATCATAACTTCCTTCCCTCACAATGATTTTGCGCAATTCAAATTTTATTAGAAAGCGTAAAGCATGTAGTTTCCAATGGTCCCCTGTCGACCTTTCACCATGTTCAGATTGCAGAGATAAAAATGAAAGAACGAGAACATCCGAAATTCGGAATTTTTGAGAAAAAATTCTAAAAATCTAGAAACTGCGCGATAAAATCCAGAAAAGCCATTATCCTAATTTTTCTTATATTTCATCACTGACTGAGTTAAGTTTATGCTGATCGAGCTTTTCTTTCAAAAGTTATGATTTTTTGAAAAAAAATGCCGAAAAATCGATTTCTTAGGAATCCTTAGGAAAATGATTTTTCGGCATTTTTTTTCAGAAATTCATAACTTTTAAGGGAAGGGCTCGATCAGCATAAACTTAACTCAGTTAGTAATCAAATATAAGAAAAATTAGGATAATGGCTTTTCTGGATTTTATCGCGCAGTTTCTAGATTTCTGGAATTGTTTCTCAAAAATCCCGAATTTTGGATGTTTTCGTTCTTTCATTTTTATCTCTGCAATCTGAGCGTGCTGGAAAGTCGCTTGGCGATTATTAGAATCTACATGCTTTAAGCTTTCTAATAAAATTCGAATTGCGCAAAATCATTGTGAGGGAAGGAAGTTATGATTTTTTGAAAATGGTGCGAACGAACTTTCGGACCAACCTAATATTATAACAAAAGCAAAAAGAAAACATTTCGAGTCGATTAAAGGCTCTGCCATTGGGTATAGTACCATTTTGATGCTGGGAATGTCGAAAATCTCCTAGGCCAACCATATCTGTAGCTGCCTAGAATTATACTACTTTTGACTCAACCAAAGGGGGGAGGCAACGGTTTGATCCGCTCTCTTCACTATATGATAGATTTTTGACCGTTCTAATCGTCCAAATCAAAAAGGTCCAAAAATTATGTGAACTTTCCGATATTTATGCTCCGAACCAACCCAGTTGGTTTGATAATTGGTCGAGAAACCAACAAATTCGAGAACGGATATTAGAACGCATAAGTTTTGTGAACTTTTTACATAACATAGTTTGAAGTAATATTGTATACACATAGCCCAAATTCGGAGCCATTGATTGTTTGTGCGCTGTAAACAAGCCATTTGTTTGTTGAGTCTTGCATTTAAAATTCGCGCGCTTGCGAAAGAACACGTTCAACTCGTGAAACCTAACATGTTCTGTTTTTTTGGCGCTTCCTCCAGTACCTCATAGAAACAATGTCCCCGTTGCTTCTAACTCCAGAAAACGAAGTCCAGTTTGACCCCAAACCATCGGTGCCGGGCCCTGAGATAAGATCATTATAGCCAAACTTACGTTTTTCGGTATACTGGTCTTGCGCTCTTTTCTATAGATGAGCGTAATGTGGATTTTGGTTCTTCCTCTTCGAAGCTAAACATATTCAAAAATTATACGTCTCATAATCTCGAGTTCTAAGAAATTCACTCTAAGAGCATCAGCTATCAACTTGGTACATGCACTCATGGGCATAGGTGCGATAAGGGGAGCAGGGCCGCCTCCTGAAAGGAGTTTCGGCTGTTTCCAACCTAGAAAAGTGGAGGGAATAATTGAGCTTTGAGATGACTGCTGACTTGGGCCTACATGCGGAGTGGAACTCGGATGTACAAAGATGGAAAATGAATGGTGTAACATGAACAATTTCTTAATGCTTCGCTTTTGAAAGGTCTCGAACAGAGACTATTTTTATCAGAAGAAGTTTACGTCTCACCAATTCGACATATGATTCGAAAGCTTGGAACATGAAGCATCGACTATACCGTCTCTTTCTCTCCAGCTCTTGTGTGCATTCACGCATAAAACTTTTCATCCAGCTGCAGCATGAGCTGTTTTTATGCGATCACTTTGGGCTCCATTTCTGAAAGGAGAGGGAAGCTAAAAAAAGGCAGTTTACGTTTGCTGGCAAAGTCTTGCTCTGGAACATAATTAGACAATTAAACGTCTTCATTCATTCTTTGCGTAGATATTTCCTCATAAAAACACCCATGTCTTCAGCTTAAATGCCATATATATAAATGCCCTTTTATTTTCTATCATGCGAGATATAATTTGTCTTCTTGATGAACATTCATCCATCATTGGGCAGACTAGACTTCTGTTGCAAAGTTTTTCTCCGCGATAAGATATACTCATTTGATGTTGCTATTCAAAGAATCAGACACCAACTAAATTTTCAGGTTTACCTATTTCGCTATCAAAACTAAAGCACTCTGATTGAGACAGTAAGTCTCAAGCTTGCGTTTCTCAGCAAACGCTGTAAAAGCGGTCGTGTCATGCACTGGCTGAGAAGAAGCAGTAGCTGGCGGTCCCAAACAAAATGTGCACAGTATATCATAGATGTTCTATTCTGCCGTTATGCCTTGACCCTCGTCTCAAACTCAGGTGAAGGGGTCAGCCGGATGCCGGCCCAAAAGTGAAGGGGGCAGAGAAATTGCTCCAGTTATCGCACCTATCCTCACAGTTGTTACTAGTCAGAACACGAATTTGTTCCATGTGGTCTACCCTGCTGAACGTACTTCTGTATTAGTGTCAAGCGTGACGAATGGACGTCATTATCGAATTCATAGTGGGCGTTTCCATGCGGTCCTTCAATATCGATGACCTAAAATGAAAAACAATTCCTGGAGACAAACTTTACTTCTTTTCTATAAAGAAAATCTTGATGAGTTCTGTGTTTGCGCTATCCGCCCTTGCTTATCATAGAAACATTTATATGCTCCAAAAATCGAATTAGTGAACTTTTGCGATTAAGTTGAATGTACTGGCTCTTCTGTATTTTTTCTGCTCCGTAGCATGCTCAAGCAAACATACCATCGCGTATTAAGCTTGGTCAGCATAAGAATAAGTGATTATGACAGCATTGTAAAGTGGACTCGTAACTCTGTGTATTCTGTATGCCTTCGATGTGAAGCGGAATACCGCGGGTTCCAAACGTTCCTTTATTTGCAACAACTCAGTACGAAGGTTGCATAGAATTTTACAACTAGCTATGTACTCTTTGATTCAACGAGATCGGCGGCTGAAAGGCGACCGCTCGCGTCCGCAGACGCAAATGAAGCTAGAGAGTGACCAGAGAGCACTTTCGCGAGAGAGGCGCAGTGCTCTCTGGTCACTCTCTAGCTTCAATTAGGTCACGAAGCCCCGCCCTTCAGCAGCCAATCCAGTTGAATCAGGGCCCGGCACAAGGTGGGCAAACGGGGTTTTCCAGAACGAATTCCCCTTTGGTCCCATTATTTTTTACGAATACCCCCTTGAGCCCAAAAACGATGCTTTGTGCTTGTGCAACGAGAGCACCGGCCACACTTCGTCTGAAAGCGCTAAAAGCGTTCAAAATGCTCAGATTCCTCTTACTCCTCACCTCCACCTCTAGAAAACAGGAAGAAGAATAAGCGAGAAAGATGATGAAGAAATAAGCAAATATTGAAGTAACGCAGTCACAGGACTCAGAGACGCCGTTCCCGCGCGTATAGATTGATTGGGGCGCGCTTTTTATCTTAGAAAGCTAGGCTGCTGATGCGATTTTGGGCTTTAACAAAGACAAAAGGAAGAGTTTCGGAACCAAAATCTTACCGTGTAGTAAACTTTAGGTGCACAACAGATTTATGTAAAAATTTTGAAAAACTTATGTAAACTGAAAGTTTTGCCCACCTTGGAGGCATAGGTGGGCCCACCTATTGGAAAACAGTTGGGCACGCTCTTCATTCACATAAGTTTTTCACATTCATACATTGTTCCTTAGTCCTGCTGCGCGTATATACACCAAGTCTCGCGCGATTTCGTTTTTTCTGCGCTGCAAACGAGCCATTTTTCCATTTTCTTTATAGTGGGAAATTTTCAGAGAAAAGCTTGCCACAACGTTCAGCCACATATTTTTTTCATTAAAACTTCTAAGTTAAGCCCTGCAGGCCCGTGTTCATGTACCTACCAGGTTTCATATCGTATGATCATCTGTGCGCTGCAAACGAGCCATTTGAATTCACATCTTCATTCACCAGTTTTGCAAAATTTTTGGAAAAAATGCTTCTTAAACCTGCCATTCATGAAAGTTTTTCATATTATTTCAGACTTTGTTTCTAGTAGCCTAATTTCGTTCGCTTACCAATTTGGTGCTATATCGTTACGCCTGCATTGAGAACTGATCATGTAGTCATGCTGTTCATGCATCGCTTATGCGAGGTCGCGCACGCGGCAATTAACGCGCGTCTGCGTGCGTTGAGGCTTATAAAAACTACTTCCCAGTGAATTGGATGTATAAGGTAATAAGCATGATTCGACCTTCTTTTGCTTGCACTTGGAATCTTCTTCCGGGACTCTGCCCCGGACCCCGCAGAAACGTTTTCTTCCTTGCTTATTCACCAAAAACGATTTCCAGCTTGTCAATTGCCCACCTCGTGCCGGGCCCTGAGCTGAATCAAAGGCTATACATCGCATTAGGACCACTGCTACTTATAGCGTTACTGATCCATGTAATTCATTGAGTTTAGACTAATGCATTCGAGAAGTTTGAAAATGGTAAAAAGTTGTCTAATGAGACCAGCACGTCTGAAAACACTGCTACAAAACATTCCGAATATATTGAAACTGTTTGGCCTCCTCTACAATGTCGCTGCGTGGGGGAAGTTCCTACTGTGACTTTATAGTAATCAAAACCTTCTGAATTGAAGCTTTACGGAAAGAATATGAAGCTAAATAAAAGAATTTGAGAGAAGGGAGGTGTAATGATAAATAGTGTTGCATAGTTTTACGGACACCCTGTAGATGCGCAAGACAAAGTCTCCTCTAACAACAAGACAAAAAATCCGGGCAAACGCCATGGTACGATGATCCGTTACATAGGTTTGAAACTTATCAAGTGATATTACACAGAATGCGAACGCAATGTACAAAAATTCAGAGTCCTAAACTATCAAATGAAATGGGGCCCTATTCACGAAGTTGTCGTACATAGGTAAGCATCTCAGACAATCGGTGCCATAGCTCCGGAGGACAGTCGAAATCTGGCAGAGCTGCGGAGGGCCCAATTGACCATTGAGAGCGGGGCGAGCGCCTCTTCTGTGACGTCACGGTGACGTCACAAGAAGGCAGATGGGACCCCTCCGGCGGGCTTGCAAATCTCTGCTCCGGAGGTACGCCAGAGCCCCGGAGCACAGATTTGCGCTCCGGAGGTACGCCAGATTTGGGACACCTCCGGAGCACAAAATGGGAGGGCTCCGGAGCAAGAGTGGCAAAGCCCCGCTGGGCAGACCCCGCGGCCCTGCCATTTCTGCTCCGGAGGTATCCCTTCGACTGTCTGAGTCTCGTTTCAGATTCTGGAGTGCTGTGAATTTACATCACTGAAATGCTATTGAAGGATGTTAGGGACAAGCTCTTTGTGTTCAGGATAGTAGGACACACTTAAGATTCAAATCTTTATTCAGATTTACTACTACAATGTAAGCTCATGCCTTATCCATGGACTTGCTTCCATTATCGCTTCCTACTATCCCTTGGGATTCAAGGTTCTGTAATCTGACGCAGAATGGTAAAAACAAAACGTTTTTAGTCTTGGACTTCGTCCCAGTCGCATTTGTAAATTTGCCTCGAAATATCAAAATTTTACAAACTTTACGCTGAAAGCTGAGAAAGTCACAGTGCAGCTTTGATTCGATTGCGAGATGCCTTATCAGTCGGAGAAAGAAGACGATTGTTTTTGAGCTTAACAAAGTGGGTATCATTCCAACCCATTTACTTCACGCACCACAAATAACACATGAATTAAGCAACATATCATTCGATGAACACCATCCCTTTCCGATCACTGCAACCCATGCATCAGCTGAATCTACTCCTACGTTTCTTTTGCGCTGAGTCAACAAAAGCAGTCGTTGTGTTTGAAATCACTTTTTCCTGTTCTAAACGAATCTCGGTTTGCGTGGGGGCACCATGTAACGCTGACCCAACTCTTCGTGTTTACTTATGACGAGTGAAGCCTGTGTCACTCCAAGCAGTGAGTGTTATGCACTCGAGGTTGGACGAGAAGTGAAGGATGCGATCTTTATTTGCATTGAAACACTACCACAACTAGATTGTCGCCCAAGATCATTAAACGGCTGCAAGCTCCCAAACGCTTATGACACATGAGATGTTGATTTTGTTACCTCGATTAGTTTGACACTGTAATGCGCATAATCTGAGCTACGCTGAATATGTCGGAGGTTTTTTGTTTGATGGAACCAAAACATTGACGAGTAAAAGAGAAAGCAGAAAGCCATAATTCGAGAACTAACAATAAGAGCATCAGGTCAAGGCGAGAGCACAAAAGCATGATGAACAACGACCGACTGCAAAAATTGAGATAGGCAACTACTAATACCTGAGAAGACAAAATACGATGAGCTTTCACTCTCTTTCGAAATCGTACCATGCATCCCCCGCCCTCGCATAACTGCGGTATTTAGTTTGAGATTATCGCAACACAGACAGAAAATACTCTTTACTTACACCTACAAGATCTTTTTTTCGAGTTTTTTTATGCACTGTGTTATCACAAAAAGCAGAATATCAGACATGGTATTGCCATATCTGACATTATTATCTACCTGCCATTCTGCTATATTTATCTATCTATTATATTTGCTAAGAAATAGAAATAAAATTTATCTTATATATAGAGTTGAATGTGTGTCTGTATGTACGTAGGTGCGGAATAGAAATTTTTATTTTTGAACCGATTTGGACCAAACTTGGCACACATACACCTCGGGGCGGGGAGCGTGTCATAGGCTACTTTTCGTATCGATCGATATCGATTTTATCGATTATTTGCAAAATTTGAGCTACAGGGCTGGGAGTTGGCACAGGGGAGTAATCAAGCATGCTGATTACAAATACGTTATTGACAGGGCCGGGCGAAGCCGGGTTTGCCAACTAGTATAAAATAATAGTCTACCGAGATAGGAATTAAAATCAATTGTAATACCGGACAAAAAAAAGGTGTAACGCACCCATAAAAACACTGGATCAAACTAGATATACTTTAGAGATCAAGCTTGTATCCAAATAACTCCAATTTTTCTGAAGAGCGATAAGAAAAACCTGCTGCATGTGAAACCGAGAAGAAAGAGACGCTTGACTTCTGCTTTGTTCTTCTTGTGATGAACTTTCCTTTATCAGTACCAAACGATTCACCCATACAAGTGGAATGCAAGCAAAGATCGTTTCCCAATTTCTCCATCTGCATGGAATTGCGATGAATCATTGTTGAGGAATGTGCAGCATGGATCAAGTTACACTGGTAAAGCAAATTTGTCAGTCTCATCAAAAACATGGAATAGAACTTTATGTGGGGATGATGCTCAGCAGACATCGTAGCGGTACAGTAATTCACATTTGAAACGCAAAAGTAACATTGTGAGAAAAAATGTGAAGGGAGTACGGTATTGATATTCATAGAATTTCCATAATTATAGTATTCTCTCTCGCTCGAAAGACGGTAGAAAGCTAAGCAAGTGAAGGTACATGAAGCTTCGTTAACCAAGAAGATGAGAGAAATTAGTCTCTTCGTCTTTGGGGCACAGAATAGGACGTATATAGTAGGTATCATCGATTCACTTCTAACAATAAGTGCTCCAGTGTTGCAATAGCGGAACTTAGAGCTGTGGCAATGGATCGCATGGCAGGGAAAAGGCATAGATGTACTTAGAGCATATGTCAGTCCAGCTTAACACATTCACGACAATACGACCCACCGGTGGTCGTAAGATTCCTATAGCTCTAGATCTGCCGGTTTCCGATGGGATTTCACGGGTTCTGGCATATGTATGATTGGGGCACCTAGGCAAAGCATTAGCCAGAGTGGTGCGGGCTTAGGATGCTGTGATGTAATGTTACGGTAAGTTTATCGTAAGAGATAAGACACAGACCTTGGCTCAAATTTTCCGCAGAATGATGCTGCTTCTGAACATTCAAGTGTACATGCACGAGAAATACGGGGGCGGGCAAGAGATTGATGTTGACCGATCAAAAAATATCGATTTTATTCATTTTATTCATTTTTTGCAATGTTCATCCAGGAAGCTGAAACCTTACATATATAGGTTTTGTAGCTTGCTGCTTACAAAAACGTTAATCTCATCTTTTAATATCGCCTTACACTAGTTTTATAATTCACGAAAATTCCACCGCACTGCTACCATACCCCACTGTGGAGAGTATTGAACAAAGTGGACACCATAAATATGAACAGCACGTAAAACAACCCCAAAACACAAGTTTTTCATGAAAATCCATGATGTTGGGTCCCTACTGATTGGCCTACCGTAGTCTTACAGTATAACGCCAAAAACTGAAATAAATCATATATTGATATCCAGCGTCTTCTATAACTTCTCTGATACTCGGAGACATGTTCTAAACATTTTCCAATAAGACCACCATTTCGGATAATACGACCCACAGTGGGTCGTAAGTTTGACAAAGCGAGAAAAGCTCTGGTCCGAAACGGCAGTGATAGAAAAATCGGCCGTGTCTTGAATGTGTTAAGGCTATGCATTCTAGCTCGGAATTCCTGGACAATGCAAATACAACGACGATAAACACAATATTTCGTATTCTTGGGGTAATTTACGTTATGGGTCATCACTAGCAATTCCTATTCAACAGTCCACTTGAAGTTAGAAGCTTTGGAGAAATGTGTAACAGATTGTGCATACATATACGCATCACTCCTCTCATTGCGTTCATTGCAATTACACCTACACTTGATCAAATGTAAAGCGTTAAGCTTTCAAAATATTTGCTTATGTAATTCTGCAATGCAAGGATTCGAATTTAGGGCCAACTCAGCCTATCTTGGAAGAGTGAACCAAGTATTCTTGGATGAGTGAACCAAGTATGTACCACGTACCCCATTTCTAAATAAATTCAGGTAGATGAGGAGGCAGTAATCAGAATAGTAATGATAACGCTCATCAAGCTTCTGATACCAAAATCTCTTCAACAGAAAAGTGAAAGGCTGAAATGAATTTGAAATCCGGCTAATCATTCTCTAGGGTACTACCATCATGAATCATGTTCGATAAGCTGAGAGTTTCTATGAATCTGCAGAGCGTTTGGAGTGTAAGAATGTAGATGATTTTTGCATTTTGATGCTATATTAAAGAATCAACAAACGAAACTTACAACATTCTGTGCGGCCATGGAGAAACAAATGCGCAATGAGGCTGGAGATGACTCGCACTCCTCAAGTGCACTGTCAACAGCATCCTCCTGCGAGCGAACCTTTTTCATGTAGTAGTCTCGACGCCAATCATCTATACGACTAAAAAACTGTGGCGCTTCACGCTCAATTGCGATCACTTGCAGCATGGCTTGAACAGTTCTGCTCAGGAAGCAGAACAATTCAAGCCCTGCACACCATCCATTGATTTCGAGGCAAGTTTTCGATGATGACTAATTGCTTATGTGCATGTTTCTAGCAATTCAAAATGAATCCGCTGCCTAGCATTAATCATGATTGCTTTACAGTTCGTTAGCCTCATAATCAAGGATTCGGCCATTACTTTGGCAATATTTTTGCTGCATTTCCGAAAATAATCAGGATATTTGGCTTATACTAGACAATGGAAAGCGAACTCCGCAAGACAGTCTCAAGCTTGTACATCAATTTACTTGGGACACTCAGAAGTCATCGACAAGGCCTCAGATGCATCTGCAATAACTCTCAGGTTTTGGACGAGCAACACCAGATTTCGAACAACATCCTAGTCGTTTACTCACAGATGTTTCTTCGCATATTCCAGCACAGTCCGAGAATTTGCTCAAACTCAAGAACTCTACTTCTATAGGGCGGCGTTGCAGGATCCTCCAAAGGCCCGCCGCTTCTTCTCCAGGCGCGCCCTTGGGAGGCAATAATCGCTTTGCGCCTACCTCGCGCTTGTGTCGCACTTGTCTCGCACATTTCTGCGATAGTTCCCCTCTGGACAATCGCCTTGTTTCCCCTAGCATTAATTAAAAAGGTCACTGCTTGAACAATGATTTTTCAATGATAACAAGGAAAAGAAAAAGCTGTGGGAACTAACAATAATAAAAGTAGACTGATTGTCTCTTGCCAAGAAAGTCAGTCAGTCGAAGTGGCAGTTTGGAAGTTGAAGCATACCAATATATAGAACTCGAAATGCTGACTTATATTTGCGAAGGTTTCTCCAGTGGAGGTTATGGACTTTTTTGTATTTATTGATGGAAGTGTAGCCCAGGAACCGGAAAACGTACAGATGACCTCAGGCTAAATGTAGGATGTTTACAAGTATTTTAATCAAGCTTCGCACAAACATGGCATTTGGAGGAAACTAATTAAAAAGAATTTTCGTCAACAATTTTGCTCTGATTCTGGTTCCGCTGAATTGCATACCTATTTAAAGCATCGGTTCCCGTAAGGAGTACAGCTCCAAAACTGCTAAAAATGATGTACAACGTCTCTTTGAAGTTGTATATTTCCACTGATATGCCCATGACTTGGTTCTGCTGGTGAGAGCTTCTTTTTTATCCACCATATCTCAATAGCCACAGTAGAATGTATTTACCTGTCAATCAGCTTAATTCTCATATTTTCTTTCGTTTGTTAGTGATAAACGTTGATCCTTTCCGCTACAAAAACAACCACCTTTCTAATTTACCTCGACTAAGGTGACCGAATGTTTCACATTCATTGGTTAGCTACTGAAACTTTCACATCTTCATCTTTTGTTATGATTGAGAAATCCTCGTTCAGGCAGTGAACTTTCCAATTAATGCTAGGGGAAACAAGGCGATTGTCCGAAGGGGAACTATCGCAGAAATGTGCGAGACAAGTGCGACACAAGCGCGAGGTAGGCGCAAAGCGATTATTGCCTCTCAAGGGCGCGCCTGCAGAAGAAGCGGCGGGCCTTTGGAGGATCCTGCACGTCCTCCCTTCTATAGAGGGTCAGCGCCTATAAACTCAAAAATACTTATCCAGTAATAATCGCATGCAGGTTGGTCCCCATGAAATGTGAGACAAAGAAATCTTCACAACTTTGCATAGTACAAATGAATATATTTACATGGTGCAATACCTAGCTAGTCATAAGCTAAACTTATATTACCAAAGTTTAGGGTACCTCAATCACCACGGCGTATCTCACGTGAGCAACGTTTTTGCTTCCAGCGTGTAAGAATTGTGGCATCCAGCAGGGCCCGGGGCTCGCCAGAATGGTTTTAGCGGGCCGTGACCCAAAGGGCCGCGGCTTGCCCGATAACCAAATATGCGGGCGTCCTGTAAGGCCCGGGGCTCCGAGTGTCTTGTCTTGGGCCGCGGGTGTTCCGATAAAACAGTTATGGCCCGCGGCCTTTCCCTCGCGATAGCAGTGAGCCGCGGGTTGCCGAACAAATAAATTTAGGGCCGAGGATGGTCAGTCCAAGAATTTAGCGCCCGCGCACCGCCAAAAAACGACGGTAGGAGCCGCGAATGCTCGCAATAGTTGTCTGAGGTAGAATGCTTTGGACGAGCATACTTTTAGCTCCCCGACTAAAAAGCTCGCGAGTTCAAGAATGAGAGAGTAGTATGGCTAAAATAATGTGTCCAAATATTCTGGAGTAGCACAACTGCAAAGTCTTTTTTCGCTGTATCTACCTAGATAGGCATGGTCCTGCTAGAAAGCCCAGGCAGCATTCAGAGCGCTTGCTTTGGACCAAGAAAGCCACATGTCTTTGAAATTTGTTTCCGATATTTTTTTCAAATTTTTAAACTGGCGACCGCGAATTTACATAGCGATCACGTTCAAACAATCTACAAGCTGAATCAATTCTACCAAAAAAGAGTAAAATAATGATGACCACTACAGGACAAAAGAATATGGAGAAAACGATCATCACCAATACACCCGATCAAGAATTGGTCTTTCGCTACTCCACATTCATTTCGATTACACTGTACCCAAGCAATTTGTTCAGGAATTATACTTGAACAAAGAGCAAAAGAGAGTTGAATTTGGCTAATTCAGCCTCAACCTTATCTTTGCTCGCATACTTTGATGTATATTCCGGGTTGTACGAGATCACAAACGTATATCTTCACTTATGCAGTATAAAGGACGCAGAAAGGTCCGAAACTTTCTTGCTAAATCAGTAGCTCCTATTCTGGTTGAAGGCAGTCAAATGGCCGTTGATGTAGCGTCATGCACATCAGTCTGAAAGTTTCTGAAAGTTTTTCTACTGTCTTGTATGTGTCAACTACACAACGATCTCGCTCATTCCTTGATATTGAATAACGTTTTAACAAGAATTATATTCGCCAACAAACGGAAAGTGATTCTGTTAATCGCTGAATTATTGTATAAAAAGACCGTCCTTTTGAATGCACTAAAATGCCAAACTCTTTGCAATCGTTCTTTTTCTAATGAGCAATCGAGCACGCATCGCATATTCTGTGAGCGGACATCATATTGCAATTTTCTGTCACAGTTTTTTGAAGAATTGTGGATGAGGGGATCATCTTGCGTGATAAAGACTTTTGCGGCTTTTTGGGATTGAAATGATCTGAAGCGCAAGAGGGGAATCGAACCCGGACCGATGTACCAAAACGGTGCTGAGGTTTAGTGGAGCAAAGTTTCCAGCGTGGCACTACACTTTCCTGCAAAACCAACTCCTTGACTTGAATTCAACAAATTTGACTTGTTTTTCACCAAAAGAGGTTCAGTGGATTTGTATTGCCTATATTCTATCGTGCTTCTGTGAAAGAGGTTTTACTAGATTCTTTATCCACAGGCCGAACCTCTCCAGCTAATGTGGTGCCCGCTAAAAAACATCATGCACCAAAGTGCAATTGTGCAGCCGAGGTTGGAGATCGGTACGAGTTCCCCGAAAGGTCAGCTGGCGATGATCCGACTCAAGCCTGCATGCTCTGTCACAGCAGCTCCCACCTAACGCATGAATGTCAGGCCCAAACGCCTCTCTTCCTCCGAGTGGCCACTCTGATGGTACATGGCCTCTGCATGAGATGCGGTCGGCTCCACAACGAAGATTTTCGGGAATGTCATCGCCCAATTCGATGCCGCATATGTCGAAGTCCAGACCACCCTACGGTCGCCTGCGTAGCACACCGCTCTCCCCTGCCACCGCCGCCACCACCCGAGTCCGAGGATGACTTCGAGTAGATACTTTCTTTAGTTCCGGGGCCCGGAACTTTCGAGGGTGTAGGATGTGGTGCCCGCTAAAAAACATCATGCACCAAAGTGCAATTGTGCAGCCGAGGTTGGAGGCGGAGCCTCAGCTTTGCAGCGGAGAGATCCGGCTGCAGGGCAAGCAGCTCCCCGCCTCGAGGGATGACACACCATCCTACGCCGCCGAAAGGGCTGGGCGGTTAGTAGTGCAGAAATGAGTCATCGGGTAATAACCATCTCAGTTTTCTCTCATGTATTTGTACCTCACTTATCTTATGTGACTATATCTCATCCATATTTGCTGCCTTATATGTAATCGTGATTGTAGTATAGTTATGTGTGTTGCTTTTAGTGCTTTTTTTGAAGATAAAGGTGTGGCCAATATAGTTCTAGAAACTGTTGGGAGAAGAGAAAATCAGCACGAAATGGAAGCCTGGAAGGGAAGAAGTGGTGTAGAAATTTTGAATACATGACGTCCGCTTGTCAAAATAAAGTTGTAACGTGTATGCGGAACCGCGGGCGTTATACTAATACTTGTACGGACGCCATGAAAACAGGGTGCTCCGGCTTACAATACAACCTCAACTGCCGTTTGAAAAGGAAGAGCCAGAATTGCACATGTTCGGTAAACTGCCAGCTGTCAACTTCCGTTGTTGAATGCGCAAACAAGACATAAACAGTGCTTTGCAAGAAGACAATAAATCATCGAGTAATACATTACGGTAACGTCGGCTACGATAAGTTTCAACTTGTGATTTATCAAAATTTTCATAACCACAACGTTTCAGCTGTTCTGCAAAGCATTGGTATTTAGAATTAGATACCCCTAAATAGTGGTGAACCACGTAAACGGGTTGAACTAGATAAGTCTTGCATGTGCCTGAAGCTGCTTGGCCACAGTCTAAGTCATATGCCCTTGAGCGGAACCTACTTTATCGTGCATCCCGCAGAATTGTTCCCATATGAACCATCAACGTGGCTGCCTTTTGATTGTTTTAACACGATAGATAACTCCAGCAATCGAGGCGCTTGTTCGAAGTTGACATGTTAAAATGATCAAAAGATGGCCGCGCTGATGGTTCACATGGGAACAACTCTGGGGGATGCACCTATAGGCTGTACCAACCAGCATCGGTTATGCGACGTCGCGCCTGCGGCAGCTTGCGACGGTGCGGTGTGACGCGTCCGAACTCTGCTACGCGTTAAGGCACGTCGCATGCGACGGTGCGTCCTCGCAAGGCATACAAACGCGGGACCGATGCTGGCTGATACAGCCTATATATAAAAACTGTTACGCAAGGCTCCAGATGGGAGAAGCGTTTGTCGGAATTCCTGCACGGCTTCTATTTTTCCTTTCAAAGATGACATGAAGAATGGAATTCCCAGGGGATCACCTCTCATGTTCAAAGTCATTTATCTTTCTGAGAAGTCAATGAAAATGCTGCAAAATTGTTGAGGATATACAGGGTGCGTCAAAAGTCTGGGAGCCTAACTTTGCAGTATTGCAGTTACAAAGGTACCGGTGATTTTGATTTCGATTTCATGCCACATAATGCTGCGGTCATCCTCTACAAAATACAATTTATCTAGCTGGAAATGGCTGCCATATGTTTTTGTGAGATTGGAAATTACCAAACTAGTACTTTTGCCGAGCGAAAAAACCAAAATTTTTAGTATTTACAATTTTCGCTGTAGCTAGAAATGCTGTTGATATTCTACGAAACTTCGGTGCACACTGTATAGAAGAGGCTTCGCGCTATTAAATCGTAGTTTTGCTTTTGCCAGGAGCTGTTCTTGCATATAAAAAATAAAAGTTTGCGAATGTTACCTACGTGCCAGTGGAAATCTGTCTGCAGAACAAATTTAAAAGCTATAGAAGCGCAACAGGCACTGGAACCAAGGCTATATTTTTTGCATACGTCTTTTAAAATTAAAATCTATTGAAATTCTGCCATGGAAACACTTTTTATACTTTTTGAACGATAATTTCGAGTTTTTTCTTCGCGCAACTGTAGCCAAAATTCCGATATGCGACGTACACATGTTTCTGATTGAAAATCCAATATTTTTATTTCTAAGCAATGCAAAAAAACTTTTTGGAAGCTTTTTGTAGACAAAAGCTTGCTCTATCGTGCTGCACATTTGCCACAGTAAAAGAAGCAGTTATTGTGAAGATGTGGGGCAAATTTCATTACGACTACCTGCATGCCGTGACAAGTGGACTTGCCAAGATTTTGTAGGGCCGCGTGGAAGCCAAAAGATGCAATAAAGCAATTCAAGAATGGGATGTATCTGCAATGTTTCGAATTATGTGTCCGCCAAATTCTTGTCTCTAGGTATTGTCGACTCCCCAACTTTGGCGAGGCGAAATCGTGATCTTCACCGAAGATCGATGGATCAGGTATGCCTCAGCACAGGGCAACCGCAACGCAAGGCACGCTAGCGCAGCTCCGCCTCGCCAAAGTTGTGGAGCCGCTCATAGATACTCCCTTCTCATTTTGTACGAAAAAGTACTAGGCTCCCAGACTTTTGATGCACCCTATACTACGGCACTGCTAGAATGTCTTCGACAGGAGATGTGAAATCTGAAGATTGTGTTGTCTATATAATCCCTGGCTCGCGAGCAGTGGTTCATCGAATTCGATATTCTGAGATTTTACTTATTTAATTCTAATGCAAGCATGTTTAGCAGTGTCGATAGCAGCCACTATCGCGCCGGCAGCAAGCCGCCCGCCTGCGGCACGCAATCACCGCGCACGCGAGCGGTCATGTTGCAAATGGCGTCAAATTGTTGGTAATCGCTTGCAGTGCGAAGCTTCACCAGATTTGACTTCAAACTGTCGGCACTTGTAATCTTTATCTAATCAGGCTTATAGATCAAGTAGTGGTGAGTATTGCTATTCTTCGATTTTACAAGATGGTTGTTTCGCTTTGCTATAGTTATTTTCCATATCGAGCGCTTAGCTCGATTTCGTGAACTCTATTATGTTAGCTTCACTCATAAGTGCGATTCACGTCGGAATTCACGTTTAACCGCCTGCTTTTTCAATCCTAGTTCCATTTTGGAGAGAGCTTACACATCTTGTTTGTATTATTGTTTGTTATGAGTACATTCACTTTTCACATCATCAGGGCTCACTGATATGTAAAATGAGCTTAAAATGCTCTATAACATTCATAGGACGGTTCATGAATCGGCAAAATTGGTCTGGATCGCGTCACCAAGGAACGCTGCTGCTTCCTTGTTTATGACACGTGTTCCTGCTTTCCGCTGGTGTCACTCAATTTGCCGTACAAATAAATTCCCTTATCATTGTTGAGATTGCTCTTCATGATTATCGTAAGGGATACTACTAATATATGCCATTGATATCCAAAGAGCGCGTGCTTCTACTGTAGGTGATAGAACAGTACGTGTTACTTGTTTGCCGTATACCATTGACAGAGATAATCTTCCTGACAAATGTCATTGCACTCAAACATGACGCAATAGGAACTTTCTGCTGGTGAACTATTGGTGAACTATTACTGGTGAATCGTGCCGACTGTTTTAACATTTTCGCGGACGTTAAAACATGACAGTGGCTGGAAAAGTCCAATTTTTAGGATTTATTTCAAGTGTACTCTGTAGTAGTATCAGTATGGTGGACCCATTCACATTAGCTTGCATTCTTGCCGCTATAGCTGCTATCATCGCAATCCTATTCTACTTATTTAGTGGAGGCGACGAAGAGAGGGACTTTGAAAAGGTAAGATTCATTTGTGCATTTATTTTTTTCACTATGTATATTTCATTTATTCATATATAATATAATACATATAATTTAAGGCGTTTGGTGAAAGTGCTCGCAAACTCCTGAGTCAAGAACGTGAAAAGCACAAGTCTAGAGTGAAAGTAGCGAAGAAGAAAGATGTTAAAGAGAAAAAGACGGAGGTTCGTTTATTTCAATGGAATCTCATTAATTTACAACGACATTGTGAATCCCACTGACGAAGCAGTATAGTTGTTGGCCTTTAAAGGCACCGTCCACCCAAAATGGAGGTTGGCGAGATTATGATGGCATACTAGTGTGGGCCCCCATACTAGACAAAACCCCAAGTTTCGCCGCAAAAGACTGCTTCTGAAGCGAGAAATCCGCTCCGGAAGTAACAAAAGTGGGCGGGGCGCCCCCGGTCGCCCCGCCCACTTGCGTGCTTTATCTCGCCTGCACTTGTTGCAGAGGGTTCTCGAAACAGGGATTTTTGGGGGTTTCGCGAATTTTCGACTCCATGTTCGGAATCAGGGCTTTCAGGAGGTCTGAAGGCGACAAAAACATTGAATTCGAGTTGGGAGGACCGCCGGGGGCGCCCCGCCCACTTTGTTACTTCCGGAGCGGATTTCTCGCTTCAGAAGCGGTCTTTTGCGGCGAAACTTGGGGGTTTGCCTAGTATGGGGGCCCACACTAGTATGCCATCGTAATCTCGCCAACCTCCATTTTGGGTGGACGGTGCCTTTAAGCCCCAGGCATACATTCAGAGGTTTCATAAACGCCGAAACTAACAATAAGCGACCTGGGATTTTGCCAGGTCTTTACGGATTACTAAGCGCGGTTTTTATATGCATAGGTGCGAGCTTTTGTTTGTTGTCATAATCGCATCAAGTCTTGCCTCAACAAAGCACTGTTACGCTTATTGATAAAGAGTCGTTGCGTGCTGAATCGCGCAGCGATTGAAATTGCCTGAGGTTTTGAGCCTACGATAATGTAAGTATGCTTGTGCAGCAACTTCATGATGTCTCAGTTTCGTACTTGAACAGAATATGGCGTATAGCGTATACTATCACAAGAGTGAAGTGTTATCTGAAAGTGAAGATAAGTTGTAAAGTTTATTCAATGCGGTGCGTACTACAATAAATTGAAATGCTGTATAGTCTCAGTACTAGGGTAATCTCAACTTTCATTTTTTAAAATACCAGGTCTTTCCGAGGCCCTGATTTCAGATGTAATTTTGAAAAGCTTGGAAATGCAGAAAAACTTGGGGGCTTTTGCAAGCACTAATCTCGATTCCTGTTTTTGACTAATGCTATCTAAGATCTGTATCGTTGATTCGTTGACTGCACGGACTGCTCAGACGCTGCGGACCACGCGCGGCGCGGCTGAAATGTTGCGCGAGTACGATTTGTACAATGGCGAATTTGTACTGGGGCAAGCATTTTACCTCGCGACGCGTGCTCAGTAGTGATGTCCAGTCTGTGCGGTCAATGAATGAGCTATACCTAACTATATATACTCCAGCACAAACAAGAAGGAGATCCGGAACTTGACAAGGATGCACTGGCGTATTCGTCGTCTACAGAGCCTATAGAGGCTACTGCGTCTGTATCCACGTCATCTGTAAGAACAGCTTCTCCCCCAGAATCAAAGGCGAAGTATAATTCCAAGAGAGATAAAGAAAAGGTATGCGTGTTCTAATATCTTTTTTCTCTATGTAAGGCCCATCATTTTTTTTTTGAATGAAATGTCGATAAATATTTTTTTGGATGCCCGTTGAAGCTATCTTCCACAAATCTAAGTTAATTCGCATTTGATGTAATATTTGAGCCGTTTTGGGCAGGGGAACGAAGGTCGCCAGTTTGAGCCGCCTTTTGTGGCCAATTGGTCCTTTTGCAGTGTTGTTGCATGTCGTTGCAGGACCAGTAGTCCGCGGAGGCAGCCCAATCTGGCGGCTTTCGTTCCCCTAACTCAGCCGTTTTTCAACTTTCTTTGGTTGAAGTGACCTAAAAGGACACTTATAACGTAGGCGCTTAAGAATTAAGTGAGGAAGCTATGGTATGAGAATCTTATATCTATCTAATCTATCTAATCTATCTAATATCTAAAGAATCTTTAGCTAAATTCAAAAATCTTCCAATAGCGGGAAACCGCGGCGGGTCCCGAAGTGAACGCTCTTCCAAATAGCACCTTTAGATTACTGGTTCACTAGTATAAAGCTGAATATCTGTTTGCATGTATGCCTATATGTCTGTACGTATGTTCCGAATAGATTTTTATTTTGAGCCGATCCGGGTCAAACTTTGCATGCATACATTTCGGGGAGGGACGAGTGTTATAGGCTGCTATTCGTTATCGACCATAAAGATTGAATCGTTTTTTGCAAAGTTCGAGCTACGGGGCTGGGAGTTGGACAGAGGGCGGGGGAGGGGGGGGGGGAGGAAGTGAGCATGCTGATGACGAATATACTATGGAGAGCCTGGCGGAGCTTTGTTTACCAGCTAAGGTTATAAGACAAAGATATAGGCAGAGTATGACATGTTAAGATCTCTTAGATATAGGTCTAATATATTCCTATGCACCTTCACTAATACACTTGCGATCACCTCTCTTTGTTTGGAAGCTTTGGAATAGACCTGTAAAGGAGATAATTTTTGAGAGGTTGTTGCTATAGGTATCCCGATCGGGGCTAGACGCTATTCGGATCATCAACGATGTTATAGGTTACTGTTGGGGCTAGCACATCTGAGCCTACGTCTGAGGAAGCTACATCCGATATTGTGCCATCGAATGGCGAAGAGACTACCTCTAATAGTGAGCAGATATTGGAGGAAAACAAGGAGAACAGAGGTCATGCGTCAACCTCCGAAGGTTTTTTACTTTTCCTTTGCTTGTTGTTTGAAGATCTCATAGAACCACCGTGTTTTTCGTTTCTGCATAATCTTGCACATTGATATGCTTGCAACTCATAATAAGGATAGTGAGTTGAAGCAAAGCATCTAAAACTGTCAGCCACGCCCCCTTTTTCAGGATTTTAGAGGTTATGGGCCCGCAAAAAATTTAAGAAGCACCCCAAAAATTTTTTCGGATGCGTGGCCAACGCTACGCACCTTCATTTAGAAAATTTTTTGCCGTCCCCTTCCCGGTCCGAATTCCTAGGGCCGCCAGTGCTAGGTGGCAGTAGCGTACCGAGCCCCCCCCCCCTCCCTATCTCCCGAGATTGGGTCGTAAATTGTTGGATGTTATTAACATGTGTTATAAGAAGGTGCAAGCGACTTATTCTAACTTTTAATTTTAAAAAATTCAAATTAGCCTTGTAAAATTTTTCTTCGGGAGCGTGGCTGTGTCACGTCCCTTTTTTCTGAAATTTCGGGGTTATGGGCCTGCACAAAACTTGATAAGCATCCCAAAGAATTTTTCGGAGTGCGTTCCCTCCCCTTCTTCCCCCCCCCCCCCTCCCCCGAACGTCCTGGGTACGCCATTGCCAGGTGTCGTGTTATGACCTATCTATTCTTTGCTCATCTCTTCGATGGCTCTAGTCATGCTTTGCGCACATCTGTAGCGGAAACCTCTAGCGTTGCGCACAGTTCCGAGCCAAATTTCCGGCCTGGTCCCCATGAGTACATTGTATATTGCCGTGTGGTTTTACGGTTTAGTCTAAGGTGAGGTGTAATTTTCGGCCGTAAATGAGTCATATGCCGCTTGCGCATGCCTTGGTCCTTATTTTAGCACTAGTTTTGACGTGTCCATACGATAGCGCAAACGACTCATCCGCGGGCAAAAAATTCGTTCAAACCTGTCCCTGGCATTGTATTTGGCAGACAACTTTATCACGAGGATGTTGGGAACCAGCGCATTACAATGCAAGCCTGTTCGTCTGTCAAATACAATAGCGGAGACACGATTGGGATCAGGCTGGGCACATGAGACTTCTATCACTTGCGCTGCCGCTCGTGTTTCGGTTAGGGCCCCTAATCAGTTTCTGCGTGAAAACCTCGTGTGACGGCATTTGGGACAATCTTCAGGGGTAGACAGCAGTGGCAGATGGAAGGAGGGAACGGATGCGGGAAGGAGCGCCTTCACTTTCCGAGAATAGGTCGCGAACTTTCTCAAAGTGGCTTACACAAGTTACAAATTGTGCAAATGGCTTGTAAAAAGTCGAACAAGCCCTGTAAAAATTATTCAGGGGCGACTGCCTCTCGCCACTTTCCTTCAAAATCTTGATAGTACAGGCCTGCGAAGTTTGAAAGTCTCAAAGCTAACGCCTCGCCTGTTTCTTTGGGAAATAAAGAAGATTTGTCACTTTTTTCCTCTGATATCCTCTTACGACCTTAGTTAAATGTCTGTTATGAGGAGTAGAATTTTGTTTTGTATCTCCGGTTAGTGCTAGGCCTGCCTCATCTAGTTAATTTAGGTAAGAAGAGAAAGAAGAGCAAGACCAAAAGAGAGGACGATGTCGTCAGCGAAAGGAATGTCAATCCAGAGGTTATGATTTCGATTGAAATTCTTTGCAGCATTTAATTAGATCCTGCACGTTCGTGAATGTTCAGTGGCCTTCATATCAAGATATTGTAACGTACAGATAGAATTGCTTTGAGATGGCGTCAGGGCAGTGATTGAAGGCAGTGGCTTTTCTGAACGACGATAGTATACCATCCTGGCACGTCGTAGGCTCAGTCCCATTGCACCGAATCTTTGAATACACATTCACGAACAGATGATTTTATAAGTTTGTGCCGTTCAAGATTAAAAATTCTCTTGGTTTTTCAAACCTATTCGGTGGGTCCTATGGTTCAAAGCGCAGTTGTGTTTTGATTGAGCTACTCGGAGTTTTCTCTAATCGTAAAAGAATTCATGAAATTTCTAAGCCTACTACGTTGCATCGTTATAACATGCGATACACTGTTGGAACGTATTGCCCATACTGACAGAGATAGTTGGACTATTACGACTTACCGGTGGATCGCACCCAAAACCCAACAAAGGTACTCTACGTGCTACTGTCTTCAGCATGTGTTTAAAACTGATGATCACTGTATTAGCTTTTAGCGCTGGTTTCAAAAGTGTTCTCTTGGTGGGGGGGGGAGGGGGGGGGGGAGAAACTCAATGAGTGGAGAGTGGAAATGGCTGTCGCATTCCACATCTTTCGAATAGGTCATCCCAGTTTCTGATGCGAGTGACCCAAAAAAACCATATTGGGCCAGCGGCATCTATGCGCTCCTGAAGGTGCTTCCTCAAAGCTTTGATTCTATATACAGGGTGTCCCAAAAAGATCTGCTTACGGTTTGATTCTCAATAACTCTCCCGTAACGAAGTATTTCGAGAAGCTTCATGTACCATTCTGTTGAGCGAGGTTAAACTTAGATTTACAGTATGGAGCGAAACATCGTTCGCCATTCATTACTATAGGATTACGGTAAGAACTTCCAGCATATGGGACCATTGTGAAATATACCACCTAACAAAATTTTTTTCAAAAGATCTGAAAAATCGTGTAGTAGGGTTTTCGCGCATGCTGATTCTATTTAACAACTTTTTACGAGTGTTTTCAGCTTTTTTGACGGTGTTATTACATTTCTGACGAATGCTCGGATTTGAGTTATTACGATTTACAGGGGATAACTTAGGAAAGAAGCATCATAGTAAAATGGGAATTTCAAGTTCGCAATCAGCGGCTCCCATTACCGTAGTATAAGAGTTTCTGGCTTGTTTGATTTTGTTCCGAGGCAGACTATAGCCTCCAATGGCCTAAAATCCTTGTCAAAGTTCGTAAAGGGCCGGGCATACTTCACGCGATTTCAGTCGCGACGCGACTTGGCAATATTCCAACCGTCCATAACTCACTATAAGCACATTTTAAATGTACAGAGGAAAGGGCATTTTATCAATCCACGTAAGATATACACACTATGCATGTGCGTAATGCTAGCGTTGGATCTGAAGACTTCTGGCGAATTGCCAAATCGCGTCGCGACTCAAATCGCGTGAAGTATGCCCGGCCCTTAACGCAATCCTACAGTGATGAAGAGAGATAGGATTGATTGATTCGCTCCACACTGTAAATTTAAGTTTAACCTCGCTCTACAAAATGGTACCTAGAGCTTCTCGAAAGACTTCATTACAAAAGAGTTATTAACAATCAAACAGTAGGCACATCTTTTTGGGACACCCTGTATAATTGATTCCATTCTCAATGTTGGGATGTTTATGCCATTTTCGTACTGTTTAGAAAGGGTTTTCGAATTCATCGTAGCGGATAAGCCAAGTTTGAAAACAGAAATTGATTTTCTGCCCGGGCACAGCCTTTATGGAATTGTTGCAATACAACGTAGCCCGGAGCCACGTAGTCCTTTAGGCCCCGGGCATACCTCACGCGATTTCAGTCGCCACGCGACTTGGCAGTATTCCAGTTGCTTGCTAACTCGTCGCAAACTAAATTTGAGCACACGGAAAATAGCACATTTTATCGACTCACAAAAGTTGAATACACCAAGCATTTGTGGTCTGCGAGTGTTGGGTTTGACGAGATCTGGCAAATGGCTAAATCGCGTGGCGACTGAAATCGCGGTGGTATGCGCACGGCTTTAGAAGGAGAAGCCATCCAAAGACATATTTTGTCATCACAATTGAACCTCATCAGACACTTAATGACTAACGCTCATGCGCCTTGTTATCTTTTTCTGATCAATATTCCATCATAATTTTAAATTGTTCTGCTGATACCTCCATCATCCATTCCTGCATCGCTGTTGTTTCCAGGAATCGCAAGTTGACGTCATAGCAGGAACGACATCAAGTTCCACGAAGGAAAGAGAAAAGAAACAGAAGAAAAAAAGTGAGTGTTCTAAATGACTTTGAGGGATTCCATTGCAAACTTCGGATTCTCGTACCACTTGTGGTTGCTTCGAGTTTTAGCATCTATCACTGACTCTTAGATCTGTGTGGAGGCGGTGTCTTGTCAACTCAAAGCGTGGCGGTTTTTGATGACAGAGTACGAAAAGCAGTGTGTAACGTGGAGGTTTAACAAGTGAATTAGGGAAAGTCCACAACCCGCCTTCGCATGGATCTGGGAGCCGATCATACTTTATTGCGTATTGCGCACTTTATCCGTTTGGGTGGAGAGTAATCTTCTATTTTGCAGTCACTATAGTGAATATCAACGATCTTGATTCAAACAAAGTGCTTACACGCATCGCTTCGCTTGAAGAAATCGAACCTGAATACATCAGTTATCTTGCAACATACTTTCACGACACGAATGCTAAGGTTGACTGTGTGTCTGCCATCTACTGTACTCAAATTTGAGGGCTTTTAGGTTAACAATTTCGAGCATGCTCTGCAGGAATCCGAGAAAAAAGCAACAGAGTACAAAAAGAAGTTTGAACAGCAGCAACAGTCAAGGTTGCTTGCTGACAGGCAAAATGCTGATCATGTGTAAGAAACGTCCTTTTCATATTGAAACAAAGTCGGTATATTTTACTCTTGTGTAATTGTTACAGGCGGGTCATATCGGAACTAGCATCAAAAGTTCAAACGCTCACACTCTCGGAATCAGCGTGTAAGAAGCAAATTGCTCAGCTAAACGAGGTGAATAAATGCTTACTGGATTTCTCTATATGTGGATGTGTAAATAATCACGAATTCGATTCGCTTCACATCACATTTCCTAACACGTGATTCACGTCTTCGACCACTTCTCTCTTCAGTTTCAAGAATCTAGCTATGCAGCAGCTGTGGCTTGAAAAATTTGAGGGAGGGGAGAAGGCGAAGGAGGTTTTACGAATCGAAGAAAGTGGTTTCCGAGTCTTTTCAAATGAGAAGGGTACTTGGTCGAAGTGGAGTTTCCATATGAAATATGTACAATCATATAGAGAATGGAACGCTGTCCATATCTGCTTTTGTTATGTGCAAAGCGTTTCTCAGAAGGGGGAGTTATGGAATGTTTTTAGACAAAAATATAAGAGATTGGCTGAGGTAAAGCAGGCGTTGAGGTTTTTTTGGCGCTTGAAAGAAGTAATGACTGGCATAATTTATTGGATACTAGTTGGCTTACCCGGCTCCGCTGTATCCGGACCAAACTTGGCACACATACACTTCGGGCCCCGGCGGGTGTCACAGTCCACTCTTCGTTGTCGATCGATGTCGATTTTACCGATTTTTATCGATTTTTTTGCAGAGTTCACTTACAGGGCTAGGAGTTGGCACAGGGGGGGGGGAAGTGAGCATGGGGATTCCGAATACAATATTAGTTTTCAGAATTATCAATTACTTTTATTGATTTTATCGATTTTTTGTAAATTTTGACATGCGAGGCTGGGATTTTGCATAGGGGGGTAATCGAGCATGCTGATTACGAACACAATATTAGTTTTCAGGATCGTCCATTACTTTTATCGATTTTATCGATTGTTTTTGTAAAGTTTGACCTGCGGGGCTGGGAGTTTGCACAGGTGCAAAAAATCGATAAAATCGATAAAAGTAATCGATAATCCTGAAAACCAATATTGTATTCGGAATCCCCATGCTCGATTACCCCCCTGTGCCAACTCCCAGCCCCGTAGCTCAAACTTTGCAAAAAAATCGATAAAAGTAATCGATAATCCTGAAAACCAATATTGTATTCGGAATCCCCATGCTCGATTACCCCCCTGTGCCAACTCCCAGCCCCGTAGGTGAACTCAGCAAAAAAATCGATAAAATCGATATCGATCGATGACGAAAAGTAGCCTATGACACCCGACGGGGCCCGTAGTGTACAGTCGCTTCATTTCATATGATCATGTGTGCCATTGCACACACAGTCCACTTTGGCGTCCTCATCCTGGATTTGCACTCGCAAAAACGCAAGAGATTTACCGATTGTTATTGATTACATCAATTTGAGGTGACTAGTAACTAAAAAGGAAAGAAAATGCTAAGAACACCTTGGAAAGAAACACTTACCTGAAGGCTTGTTTCTCCCACGAATCCAGGATGGGGACGCCAAAGGTGAACTGTATGTGCAATGACACACATGATCATATGAAATGAAGCGACTGTATGTGTGCCAAGTTTGGTCCGGATCGGTTCAGAAATGGAATTTTCTATTCGGAACATACGTACAGACAGACAGGCAGACAGACATACAGACATACAGACAGACACACAAACAGACATTCAGCTTTATATATAAGATAAATCTCTTTTGGAAACGCCACTTCGATCAAGTATCTTTCCTTTGTCAGAGATTTTTTGGATGCTACATGTCGGCGAGCTTGAAATTTTATAGGGTTTGATTTTCAGTGAAAAATCATGTTAATTATCTACAGGTGGAAAGAAGTTGCGCAACCACAACTCATGATTTCCACGTGATCCATTCCGGTTTTTTTGCGCCTACATCATGTAGAAAAAATTCTTGGTCCTAAAATGAATATTCTACTTAATTCGTGTTTTATGACATGTCTTCACAATTTAGATACGACTGGAAAATGACACTCTCAAAAGTGCCCTATCGAAGACATCCGCGGACGCTGCAACCGCTGTGAAAGCTACAGCCAATCTGGAGATGATGAAAGCTGTTTGTAGTTTTTTTTTTTGTGGTGATTTAGACAACGGTATCATTTTTAGACCAATGCGGAAATGAGTGAACGCTTGTCAAAGATGACCAAGTCACTGAATGAAAGTGTTGAAGAAAATGCTTCTTTGAAGCGTCAGATTGCTGGATTTGCTGAGGTACGGTTAAACACTATAGGACAACGTGCTTCTCCGTTATCATCATCGTGTTTCACCTTTCTTAGGGCCGCATGCACTAACCTCCCCGCGGGGAGGTGATCGCAGCTTAAAAGAAAGCTTTATATTTCAAAACTCCAGATACCTGGATTTCACGTTGTGTACCTATCCGTAAGTATTCCTACTACCCTTCACTATGAACATGTTGAACAGGAGCGAGAAGCTGCACGAACCGCATTTTCCAGCTTTTGTATGATCCCTGATGATCCCCGGTGCTTTTCTTTAAAGTCATTTTTCTTACTCCGAAGTTAACGAAAACCTTCCAAAGTCGTACTGAACATCTGACACAACAGTGCTAAGCATGTTGCTGATGAGAACAAATGAGTTTTTAAAAAGTCGAATTTTCCGGCAAACCTCAAATTTCGACCTGTGGATCATCGAAAATTTCATGACTTCAAAACATCATTTGTTCTTATCAGCAAAATGCTTAGCACTGTCGGTTTAGATGTTCAGTACAACTTTAGAAGGTTTTCGTTAACATCGGAGAAAGAAAAATGATTTCAAAGAAAAGCGCCGGGGATCATCAGGGATCATACAAAAGCTGGAAAATGCGGTTCGTACAGATTCTCGCTCCTGTTCAACATGTTCATAGTGAAGGGTAGTAGGAATACTTACGGATAGGTACACAACGTGAAATCCAGGTATCTGGAGTTTTGAAATATAAAGCTTTCTTTTAAGCTGCGATCCCCTCCCCGCGGGGAGGTTAGTGCATGCGGCCCTTAGAGTGTTTTTGAGCCATAAACAAAGTTTTGTCGACCCTGCAGTTTCTTTTTCGAGGAGAGTAGTACCATTCGTTCTCATTGCTAATTGCCTATACGTATATGATGGCCATTGCATTACCGCATGATTTCTTGCGGTATGCTGCAGTGGCCATCTTATCTTACTATAACTAGTGAACCAGTAATCTAAAGGTGTTATTTTGCAGAGCGTTCGCTTCGGGAGCCCCGCGCGGTTTCCCGCTATTTGCACAATTTGAACTGAGTTAACGGTTCTTTATATATTAGAATAGATATAATCTGGTAAATGCCAAAGCGATGCGACGGGGGTACTCTCCTCCCCCTATGCTTTTGTGCTATGTGTTCTCCTACAGTGTTAACAGCAAATTCGCGATAACGAGGGCAGTCCAGATTATGCGGCGACGAAATAGAGCTGTGTCTTTTGAAATTACCCCTTAACCTACCTTCAAAGCATTCAAAACTCTTTTTTATGTTAGCTACCGTTGAACCTTCTTCTCCACATAGCAGGAATTTCACTCAAAATTGTTTCTTCTAGGGAAAGATATAGTCGTTTTTCCTTAGCTAAGCAAATGGAAAACACGGAAAATACTGGGTTACGGTAATATGCTAAGTCTGCGCTATACGTGAATTGCGAGGTAAGGCCCTGGGAGAGCTCACGCGATTTCGTCGCGTCGCGCCCTGCCATTTTGGACAAGTGTTCCACGTCACGCTGCTAACCTGTGTGGGTCCCGAAGCATTTGTGATGGCTGCGCGGCGCGACGGATCGCGCCACTGTTTTTGTCATTCATAGCTCACCTGGCGATATCGGCGCGATGTCGCGTCGCTTGTTTGCGGCGAGCGAAGGGCTGACGTCGCGCCGATCCTGAACTGTTTTCGATGTTATGTTGTGATTTGCTGTTTTTTGCAAGTTCTGAGTTTTTTGCATGGAATGTTGCAAATGCCAAATTATGCCTAGGGAATTAGGGTTTACACAAGGCTTCCTCGCTTTTTCAAGGAGAGTCCTCACTTCCTCGATGAATTGCGAAGGGTGCAAATTCGCCAAAGCCTTTGTTCTCGTTGCATGTATAATTGTGGAATTGTATAACAAACTCTCTGTTGGCATTCAGAAGAAGCTAGAACGTTCATCTTGAAATCCAATTGAAATCAATTCACACATTTTAACAGCATAATGAAAGGTTATACTGTGAAAACCAGATAATACAGTAACAAAAAACCAATTAGAATAATGCAATGTGTGAAGTGTAGTGCAATTGCATGAAATCGCGTCGGAGGTATGCACGCCTCCTGCGACTGAGTCGCTCAGTCGCAGGAGACGTGCATACCTCCGACGCGATTTCATGCAATTGCACTACACTTCACACATTGCACGTACTCTAATTCATTACTGAAAATCAGTAATGAATTAGAGCTCAGTGCTCTCGTTGACTTTACTACGCACTATCATTGAAAAAAGGTGCAACAGCAGACAAAGAAAGTTTGAAAGTTTATCACATAGCATCCGACTTGACACCAGTCACAACGTTATGCACCCAAATAATCAACAATAAAAGGAGAATTCAACTACATTGTGACTTTGGAAAAAATGGCTCATAATCAAATGACTGTTGGGAATCATCAATTAAGAATAGGAAACAAGTACTAGCAAGGCTCAGTGGCGCGGTCATTCCAGAAGAACCGTTATTCGGCAAAACGATGTTTTCAGCTCTAGAAACGTCCCCATGTGCTGCATATGATAGACGAAAATACTGTTAATACCTCATGCAAAGCTCATGTTTCAGAGTTTGCTCCATACCATCGTCAACGTAGACTGTGGGCACATTCTTTAAGTATTCGATGCGCAATCAAAAGGGTAGGGCTTGTAACGGATCTTTTTGGCAGCCTAGGATATATGAAATGTAGGAAAATGTAGATGAAAGACATGAAAAGATGCAAAATGAGGACTAACTGCCTTCATCAAACAATGCAAGGATAGGCATAAATTGGCATTTGCACCATTTCATGCAAAAACACTCATAATCCGAAGAAAAAACAACAACTTCAACAATAACATCAAAAATGCAGTTCAGGATCGGCGCGACGGTCGCCCCGTCGCTCGCCGCAAACGAGCGACGCGACATCGCGCCGATTCGGCAAAATCGCGACGATATCGCCTGGCGAGCTATGAACGCCGAAAAGTGTGGCGCGATCCGTCGCGCCGTGCAGCCATCACAAACGCGTCGGGACCCACACACTAGGAAGCGTGGCGTGGAACACTTGTCCAAAATGACAGGGCGCGACGCGACAAAGTCGCATGAGCTCTGCCCAGGGCCTAAGGCGACAAAAACAAATACGTTCGACATCTAATCCTAGTAACTCTCACAAAAGTGATTTGAGCCTAATTCTTCTTCTTTTCTTCTCTAGTTTGAGATACTGAGAGCGAGGAATGATACAAACGAGACTTTGGCTTGCTCTCAGTTCCAGTGTTTGGAGTTTAGGTGAAATGGAATTCCTAATATGAGCATAAAAGTAGTAGTACTTCATGTCGACTGAAAGAAGTAGTTTACTCGCCTTTGAAATAAAGTTAACATCTTCGAAAATGACCACCTCACTTGAGTGTGCCAGTATCTGAAAAACTCAAAATTCGTCGAAAATTGGCCCACAGGAAATGGCTAACATCTTTATCGCCTTCATAACGAGCCCCCCCCCCCCCCCAGGTATGGCGTGCCACACCTCACGTTTGACCGTGGCCGCAACCCTTTTTGGCCTTCACAGTATAGTTGTAACGAACAGAAATCTTCACCGAATGAACGAATATCAAATAATCAATTTTTAAAATTTTTTCGAACGAGTGAATATCGAATATTTGATTTTCGAAAATTCTTCGAATCTTATATATAAAGCTGAATGTCTGTTTGTATGTATGTCTGTATGTCTGTCTGTCTGTCTGTCTGTCTGTCTGTCTGTATGTGTGTACGTATGTACCGAATAGAAAATTCCATTTCTGAACCGATCCGGACCAAACTTGGCACACATACACTTCGGGCCCCGGCGGGTGTCATAGGCTACTTTTCGTCATCGATCGATATCGATTTTATCGATTTTTATCGATTTTTTTGCTGAGTTCACCTACGGGGCTGGGAGTTGGCATAGGGGGGTAATCGAGCATGGGGATTCCGAATACAATATTGGTTTTCAGGATTATCGATTACTTTTATCGATTTTATCGATTTTTTTGCAAAGTTTGAGCTACGGGGCTGGGAGTTGGCACAGGGGGGTAATCGAGCATGAGGATTCCGAATACAATATTGGTTTTCAGGATTATCGATTACTTTTATCGATTTTATCGATTTTTTTGCAAAGTTTGAGCTACGGGGCTGGGAGTTGGCACAGGGGGGTAATCGAGCATGAGGATTCCGAATACAATATTGGTTTTCAGGATTATCGATTACTTTTATCGATTTTATCGATTTTTTTGCAAAGTTTGAGCTACGGGGCTGGGAGTTGGCACAGGGGGGTAATCGAGCATGAGGATTCCGAATACAATATTGGTTTTCAGGATTATCGATTACTTTTATCGATTTTATCGATTTTTTTGCAAAGTTTGAGCTACGGGGCTGGGAGTTGGCACAGGGGGGTAATCGAGCATGAGGATTCCGAATACAATATTGGTTTTCAGGATTATCGATTACTTTTATCGATTTTATCGATTTTTTTGCAAAGTTTGAGCTAGGGGGCTGGGAGTTGGCACAGGGGGGTAATCGAGCATGCTGATCATCCCCAGGGGGGTGATCAGCATGCTCGATTACACTCCTGTGCCAAATTCCAGCCCCCTAGCTCAAATTTTCAAAAAATCGATAAAATCGAAAAAGTAATGGACGATCCTGAAAACTAATATTGTGTTCGTAATCTGCATGCTCGATTACCCCCCTGTGCAAACTCCCAGCCCCGCAGGTCAAACTTTACAAAAAAAATCGATAAAATCGATAAAAGTAATGGACGATCCTGAAAACTAATATTGTGTTCGTAAACAGCATGCTCGATTACCCCCCTGTGCAAACTCCCAGCCCCGCAGGTCAAACTTTACAAAAAAAATCGATAAAATCGATAAAAGTAATGGACGATCCTGAAAACTAATGTTGTATTCGGAATCCCCATGCTCGATTACCCCCCTGTGCCAACTCCTAGCCCTGTAGGTGAACTCTGCAAAAAATCGATAAAAATCGGTAAAATCGACATCGATCGATAACGAAAAGTGGACTGTGACACCCGCCGGGGCCCGAAGTGTATGTGTGCCAAGTTTGGTCCGGATACGGCGGAGCCGGGTAAGCCAGCTAGTGAACGAATATTATTCGACTTTTGATTTTCATTTTATTCTAATTTGAATATTCGAATATTGGCACATTCCAAAATTCGAATGAGCGAATACTTGAATAATCGAACTTGATCGAATATTCGACTAATTTCGAATAAATGTTCGAATGTTATTCGATTATTTGAATGTAATATTCGAATATTCGAATATTCGATTAACTATCTTTTAAAACTACTCGAATGAACGAATATTCGAATAACCTTTATTTAAAACTCGTCGAATGAACGAGTATTCGAATAAGTCTTTTTTGAAATCGTCGAATGAACGAGTATTCGAATAAGTCATTTTTTGAAATCGTCGAATGAACGAATTATTCGAATACAGGCCTTTCTCATTTATTCGACTATTCGAATAATCGAATAAATGGATTTTCTCAAATATTCGACTATTCGAATATTCAAAAAGTCGAATATTTCGAATAAATTATTCGAACACGAATATTTGGTGCTAACTATACTTCACAGTAAGGTCACTCGCGCGATATCGTGATAGAACCGCTGTTTGGCGCACTAGTCGTAGCTTTTTGGTTTTTGGCTAACAACGAAGTCGGTTAGCGATTTCAGTCTTTGATTGTGTCTCAAATAGTACCGTTAGAACTACTTGATCTTGGATCTCAATGGGTCTAGACTTCTTAGAGATGACGTTTAGTCTGTTCTAATCGGGATCAGGCTGAACCGCTAGCGTAATTGCGCGTTTGCGCTACGGGTTAGCCGCATACGGTCTGTCCCAATCCCCATCAGGCCAAAATTGGCACGGCGGGAATCTGCGTCGCTAGGGTTTTGCGTCACGTCACTGCCTGCTTGTCTGCTCTCTCTCCAATCTCTTCGCTCTCTGCGACAATGCGCATACGCAGCGCAAAGCTCTAACGCTGCGAGCGCGCAGATTCGAGCTAGCGGTTAAACCTGATCCCGATTGGAACACACTGTATGCGTAATGTCGGAGGGAGCGAAGTGATTGAAGAAAGACAAGCATGTCGAAGGCCTGTCGCAAAATTGGGACAGACTGTAGATCACGGTGACAAACAAATTTTTCATGTACATCGTTCGCTTTTTGCGAGGCTGAGAAGGCTCAAAGCAGGTTTTCACGGATTTTTCGGGCTCCCACCGCGTCACTCGCGTGAATTGGTGCTACCGGGCATTCGCGGTTCTTCGGGGACTTCATTTGTGGTGATATAGACTCACCAGAGCGTCAACTCTGCTTCGCAGAGGTTCGCACTGGCTCTCCTATCCATATGCCTCATTACTTTCCCATAATGATGGCAGTGAAACCGCAGTGGCCGATTACCACGAATAGGATGTAAACCACTCATTTAGAAAGTCTTTTCACGTGAAATCGGTGATTTCGCGTGGATGAAACTTTTTGCAGGAGGACAAACGCAAATTTGAATGGGTTCTTGGATTTTTTATGGTTTGGTAGTTTCCATAAGGCCAATAGCCACCGCGAGCAACACTTCTGCGTAAAAATCTTCTCAAATGCGCCAGTAGAACGCTTTCAAATTGACCATTTACGCAACCAATCCATTTTGGCGTCATTTTCGCAAGGTAATAGATTTTTGCCCATTATTTGGGCTGGAGTCCAAGGCTTGCACATTTATTTGTCAAACACCTCAACGACTTCGCAGAAAGTGCTGATAGGGACCCAATTTTGTAGGTCAGAAGCGAAGTGGACCCGTTTAACGCGCAATTTCTGTGAGTTCCACTCAATGAATCCGCTCATGCTTTCGCATGGTGGAGTTTTGTGCTGGTAGCATGTGTAGACTCATATTTTTACAATTAGATATATGAAGCTAAATGTCTGTTTGCCTGTCTGTCTGTGTCTGTGTATATGTATGTTCCGAACTTTTGCTAGAATCGACAGAATCATGAAGATCTCAAGCAAACACATGCGCCTTACCGTCAAATTGTAGAAATTTTTATATGGGATTCGGACCAAACTTGGCACATATTGGCACGTACACTTCGAACAATACTGGTTCACAGGGGCGGGTGTCGTAGGCTACTTTTCGTCATCGATCGGTATCGATTATTACCTACTTTCTTAGCAAAGTTCGTATGGGCTGGGAGTTGGCGCAGGGGGTAATCGAACATGCTGATTACGAACAATGCTGGTTCACAGAGTTATTCACCCCTATCGATTTTATCGACTTTTTGCGAAGTTTGGCCAGGGAGCTGGGAGTTGGCACAAGGGGGAAGTGGGCATGCTGATCACGAACAAAACGGGATATTGGCAGGTGGAAGTGGGCAAAAAGAAAGGTTGTATGAATTAGGGATGGCGATCTCTAGCATAGTTTTTGACAAAGCCCGGCGGAGCCGGGTAAGCCAGCTGTATGCGATAATGTGGACTAACGACGAAAGCAAAATTATGAGAACGATTCTCTGCTTCTGATAATCAGCGTAATAGAATTGAATGAACATTGAACACCGACATACACAGCACCTTCCAAAGATCATCGCAGCTCACTTACCCCCTTATCTTTAGAAGTGATAGTAGGTGTTTCTTCAAAGGTAGGCAGACTTTTTGGCTCTAGTGTTCATTACTACATATTAGCTTGATAGCAACGCTCGAGACGCACATAGCAGTTCCCATTCTTGACTTAGAATAACACGTTGACGACGAGCCATTTTTTGAAGGTCTGTCCCTGTGGACGAACCGTTTCCGGGCATTTTCACAGCCGGCTGCATATATGTATGCATGCATCTGTGCGTGAGGTACAAAAATGCAAGTGGACGGGGAAGCTCCGCCCACTTTTGGCAAGCCCCGCCCACTTTTCAAAAATGTTGGAAATCGCTCAGAATCAATGAATTCGTGCAAATTCCGGCACTTTTGAAAAGTGGGCGGAGCTTGCCACTGAGGAGGTGGAGCCTGCATTACGGGAGGCGGGAACAAAACTAAGATTATTTAAGGTTCCCCAGTCATCTGTGAGCTTTTCTATGCGATTTGAGAAGGAAAAAAGTTTTTTGTAGAGGGCAATGGAGTGGGCGGAGTTTGCCAAAAAGGGGGCGGGCCATGAAATACTTTCGAGCCTAAATTGATTATGTGAACACAAATTGGAACCATTGTCCACATTGAAACTGATATTTAGGGTGTCGCGCACCATTGCGCGACATCGTCCACAGGGACAGACTACCTGTCGCGCACCATTGCGCGACACCGTCGTCAACGTGATAAACTGCGACAAGGTTTGAAAGTCACTGACGATGCTGGGCTAAATTGCTATCTAGTGGAGCGTATGCTGGCATCGTTGACTTGTTCTTGTTGCGCCTGTCCACAATTTGTTCTTCTGGTTGGAAGAAACTGCGTGATCCCCTGCGTGTTGAGAATGGATTTGAGCTCTTATGGTGAGGCTGATAATATTGATAACACTTTTATCTTTTCATGGTGAGGGTTCGTCGCTTCTCATTCGTATAACAGCAACTTAATCGGCTCGTCGCGCTTGGTAATATTGTTTGATCGCAGTTTTTGATCAAATCAATGTTTTGCAATGTTTCCAATATTTTGTGAGTGTTGTAGAGCAAAATACATCTTGTCATTCAACATACACCAAATCAGTGCCACTGATTGCAAAAGCAAATACTGTGTTTTTAGCAAGTCACTGCTCTCGAAGATCTGAAAAGGGAGTTTGCTGCACTCGATATGGCAGCTCGTCAGTTGAAAGCTGAGTTGATGGAAAAGACCCACATCATTGAGGAAGAGCGCATGAATCTGGCAGCTGATCCTGTCAAGAAGATGGAGAGTGAACGTGACGAAATTGCGCATCAGTTTTCACAAGCTCGTTCTGAATGGGAAAAAGTGAGCGTACACGAAAAGTCTTATTTAGAATTTTTTTCTCAAATTGGCGAAGTAATACCAAGCGATAGATTAACTGATGTATTGACTCGTTTTCCAATATACTTTTTTTTGATACAGCATTTCTTCGCAAATTCGCTATTGCTTTATATGCTCGATGTGGTGGGGCTCCGTAAAAACCTCAAAAAATTGACGTGCATTTTTCTGCGGGAAGCTTACCATTTTTTCACTCATTTTCAGAAGTAATCCATCAGCATAGATCCGGGCAACAGTTTTCTTTTGCGATTCTACGAGGGAGATTTGTTCTGTGCTGCGTGCAGTTGAACGAATGACGGCAGAGTTGCATCGGCAACCTCCTTTGCGATTTTTACTTTTTCTAGAAGTCTAACGACAGCTGATGCTTTGTGCGAGTGTTTTTCTACAAAGGCATCTGATTTTACTATCATCTGATTTCTCCTCAAAGATGTTGTTCCAACTTTTGCTCTCTGCATCTTTTTTGTTTTGTCAATTACATCCAAGTGCCTTCCCCACATCATGTGCGTCATTGGCTTCGGGAAAGAATGTGGAAAATCGATAGACTTTCGAGTCTCGAACGGCTGCGGAACCTCAATATGATGATTCATTTCCAGCTTTCCTGGCAGTGAATCGGCGTTTTGACTTGTGCTCAATCCAATCTTCAATTCACTGGCCAGCTAGCTCGCATTGCATCAATCAATCACATTGTTCAAATTTTTGAATGTGTAATTTAGTTGAGAAAAATAGTGCGGGTTAATCGTTTTATCGCCTTATCACGTTGAACACTGATGTGCGTCTGTTTTCTCCTTGTCACACTCTCTGTAACCCTCCTTGAACATTACACTTCTCTTCGCGTGAGCCTGCAAATGCGACCGTCACGCAATTCTTGAGTGAGGTTGTCAGCTGCCGTCATTGCAATACTGCATTCTGGCGACTGGATGATTTCCAGCCATTGAACCACTTAGTTTTACGTTTGATTCGAATCAAGCATTGAGTGTTCGTAACTAAATGTAGATTGCAACTTCTTTGTTATAGGGATCTAATTTATTTCAGCAATAGTTTGATAACAATGACTTTTCAGAAAGAGGCTGCGCTAATGAACGAATATACCTCGCTCAAGAATCTCGTTGACGAACTCAACAAAGAGGTCGCCAAGTTTGAACAGTTGTGAGTTATTTTCGGGCGGTTTTTTCATGAAAATAAGCTGTCCAACACTGCTGCAAAAAACGTAAAAGTCTTATAATTCAGCAAAAAGGAGCAGGATGAACTCGAGAAGAAGCTACTTGCAAAGGAAGCTGAGCTAGCAGAGAAAAGCGCTCGTTTGGCTGCTGCTGAAACTGAAAAAGAGGTGCTCGTTGGGAAAGGAAATGATCGGAGGTAATTTCTTCCGAGCTTTTCGCGTAGCCTTGTATTTTTATGCACAGTGCTGAACTGGAGAAGGAGAATTTGGAGCTTCAAAAGAAGGTAGCTGATTTAGAGGCAAAGCTGTCGAAGTTGGAGAAAAAATCGCAAGCAGAGAGGTAGGTTGCTGCAAACAATCCCATCCATCCATCCATCCATCCATTCATCAAATTTATTGCAGTATGAACGCAGCACCCGTTGGCAAACAAGAAGTGAATGATGAGGTTGGGTATTCGTTGATTATGCTAGAAAGCTGATATCACGAAAAAACTCCAAAATTTCCATTTTTCTCGTTAATTCAACAAAAGAGCCAGAGTTCACTCATGTTTCACAAAAATCATAGCCGCCAGTTTAAGTGGGTATGGGCTAGAAAGTCTTGTAGCTTCGCTGCAAGACAAAGAGTTAAAAGCTCTGTGCGACTTTGTTCTTTCTTATTCCATGCTTTTGCGGTAGGATAAACATGCGCTCATCTTAGGGGCCGTCGTGGCTTTCCAAGCTCTTCGACATACAGGGCAATTCGCCCGGAAGTTTCTTATCAGAGTTTTGAGAAAAATACATTACTCGTGCTTTTGAGAGATTTTCAGACAAACCTAAAATCCTCTGGGGGCTCCATGTCAGGAGTCACGCCGCGCGCCGCGCCGCTTCGCCGCGCACGTGGCGTCTAAATTTTGTACCCCATAAAACTGCCCGGTGTTAAAGTGGCACGGCGCCAGTCTAGGGGGGGGGGGGTGGGGAGTGGGGGCAGATACATGGCTCGTGTCATAAGTAAGACTGCGCCAGGAGTGCTGGCTTCTGTTTTGCTGACATCGCTTGCGGCATCGCTTCGCGAAAAATTCGCGCCGACCGTGACTCCTGACGGTTCCCCCGCCTAAATTACCGGTACGCATGATTTTGAGTGCCAAACGGGAAGAGCGGTATGACGGGTTTGAAAATATGCATCTTATCCGCAAGTCTTATCATTGATCAAAGTCGAATTGGAGTTTGCCAGCCTCTTTTTTCAGGAAAATTTTAGATATTTTATAACCTTCTAAATTGTCGTGGTGCGCAGGCGTAGCTTCACAAATGTGGAAGCGTCTTATAGCAATGTTTTTTTTTGTCCTCTTATTGTGCAGTAAAATGAAGCAGGCCTTTACTCTAATTCTATTCGATTCGTAAATCAAAGTATCTAGTGGGGATTTATAAATCAACGTATGAATTGTATATTCAGGCTTAAGCATTGTTGAGTGCTTTGTGAGTTCAGGTTATGGTGCTTGAGAGAGCTCAACCGTTGCTCACGTCAAACGAAACAAACACCAATACGGATGAACTAATCACGTTACGTGCGGAGAACGAGAGGCTGCAACTCAAGAATGAGGTGCTTTTTGTTGGTGTAGAAAAATGAGATATGTTAGCAGCGGTTCTCAGGAGCTTCGTAAACGAAACTTCAAAATCCTGGACGATGTGGCTGGTCTGGAGAAGCAGCTCTCATGTCAAGTTTCTCCTTCTTCGAACGGATTCTCAGAATCAGGAAAAGTATGATGCAAAATCTGCTGTGCAAGTTTCAGTAATTTTGGTTTGATCGTACTTTCATTGGGGGAGAGAAAGGATATTGCCGGGAGATGTAGAAATTATTGAGAAATGTTTGGGGATGTAGAGCCACATCCTTTGCTTATGACGTTTCGCTTTCGTCGAACATTACGCTGTTGACCTTTCGCGTTGACGTTTAACTGTTAATTCTTACCCAGTCGCATCCTTGTTAAGATGCTCATCGTGCCAGCTCAACAATCGCGAAGACCTAAATCTTTGTCTGCTCACGTTTTGTGCCTACTGTTAGTAGCAAGTGTATTCATCTATTCGAGAATGTATAGCGTACACAGTCATGTTTCAATGTATCAGCGTATCATGAATGGTGCAAAACATCCCCATTTTAGCAAAGCAGCGACTCAAGCAGGAAGCAACTTTTGGAAGAGAGAGAACTTGTGGCCTCCACTATCGGCAGTCTCGTGAATACACCATTGAAAGATTCGGTCAGCTCAGTGTTCATACTTCTTTCAGTTCCTTTGAGATTTTATTCTTTGAAGGCAGCGTCCCACCAGACTGGAGGTACCTGGCTCTGGTAGTAATGTAATATTATAGTAGACCCCCTAATGAACCGACGATAGAAGTTTGCAGCGCGTAAGGGAGTCCACGAAGTCTATAAATCGCCCCTTAAAGGCAGTGTCCGGGCAAAAACTCGATTTTGAGATTTTGTGCTTACCCGGGCCTATTCGCTATGCCGAATCTGAAAATCTACATTGGAGAGCGCGAAAACGACGAAAAAGGGCTCTAACACTGAAGGGAAATCAGCAAGTGGGCGGGGTCTTCCCCACTGTGAATTCACGCTCCCAGCTTCGGGGGCGATCTTTTTGATTCCGATTTTGAGTCATTCGTTTGCACTTGATCGGTAGTGATGTCAGGGCGGCTAACGGATTCGAGAAAATTGCTCTGGAGGCTGGAAGCGTGAATTCACAGTGGGGAAGACCCCGCCCACTTGCTGATTTCCCTCCAGTATTAGAGCCCTTTTTCGTCGTTTTCGCGCTCTCCAATGTGGATTTCCGGATTCAGCATAGCGAATAGGCCCGGGTAAGCACAAAAACTCAAAATAGAGTTTTTGCCCGGACACTGCCTTTAAGTGGCCCAGGCTCGGGCGAGTGCGAGACACATGCAAGGTAGAGACGCAGAGTCGTTGCGGGACCTTGCGCTCATGACTGTGCGCTATACATTCTGGCCTTGTTCGATATTGCTGTGTGGGCGGCGTCCGAGCCTACCGTAAATTCCGGGCCACTTTCGGAGCAAATTTCAGGCTTAGTAAACCCCTCTTTCGCTCCGAACTTCAGTCATCGCTTAGGTAGGGGGTCTACTTTAACATCGCCATAAAAACCCGGCACCCACCTTTTTGCCGGGACGCTGCCTTTAACTTTTCCATAGTGCCTACTCTGATATTATCTTGAATGGAGTTTTGATATGCAGTGTCGTGCATTATATATTTACCCAACGCTTAAACAACTGGCTCTTGCTGTGAAGACGAGCGTTTACTCAGGGAATCATGCTTTTTCGTGTAGAAGGGAAAGATTTTAGGTAACTGGGTTCCGCTGGTGGAGATGAGCTTTTATTTGAGAAAATCTCATGCGTAGTAACTGGGCTCGTGGTGGAGATGAGCCCCGTTACCTGGGGAAATCAAACTTGAGTAAGTGTGGTTGACGAGCTGGGAAATGAACTCCACTAGGGGAGACATTCCTAATCCTGTAGGAAGGGCTCTCGTAAACGAGCGCCTACTTGAGGAAATCTGCTTTTCTTGAAGAAAGGAAAGCATCTAAATAAGTCGGTCTCTCTGGTGGAGATGAGCTTCTATTTTGGGAAACTAAAGCTTGAGTAAGTAGGTCTCGCTGGTGGAGATGAGCGTTCAGGAAGATCTTCTTCTGTATAAAGGAGGGCTTGAGTGATTGGATCTGGCTGATGGAGCGAACGCTTGTCGCAAAGAATTATAGCCATTTCGTTTCACGGTCAATTTGCAAAATTTGATGATTTGAGAGCTTTTATCAGAAAAAAAAATTTGTGTAAAAGAAAGCATAAGAGTAACAGATTCCGTTGTCTCGGTGGCGGACCCGACTTTTCGTAGAGGTCATCACTGGCGAGTGACTTGGTGTCGCCGAAATTCGCAAAATCAATTCGCAAAATTTATTTTGAGAACGCTTACTTGAAAAGATTCTTTCTTTCTTGTTAAAAGTGAAGCGTGTGAGTGAGTTGGTCTCATTGATCGAGGCTATCCAGCGAGAGGAACCTTTCCGGGAGGTGCCCCCATCTCACAGATTTTCCGAAATCTTATCAAAATTCTGCTTTGTAATTTCTGGGGAAACCTCACTTATATTTGTAGAAAAGCGAGTTGCTGACCCGAGTCTCGCAAAAGGAAAAGGCTCAAAGGTCAAGGTAGAGCATCAGTACAGAGAATTCCTCTAGATGCTTAGCCGATAAGAAATCTACCTTGGAGCAAATCCAATGGTTTGGCGAAAAAATTTTCAAATAAAGTAAGAGTGTGCAGGAAGAAAGATGTCATTGAGATGCAGAAACTTTTTAAGAATCTGCTCCGATCCACTCACAGCGACCCGCAGGGTGAGTGGATCGCTCGCTACATTAAAGGCAGTGTCCGGGCAAAAACTCGATTTTGAGATTTTGTGCTTACTTGGACCTATTCGCTACGCTGAATCCGAAAATGCACATTGTAGAGCGCGAAAATGGCGAAAAACGGCTCTAACACAGGAGGGAAATGAGCAGGTGGGCGGGGTCCTCCCCACTGCGAATTCACGTTTCCGGCTTCCGGAGCGACGTTCTCGCTTTCGGTTTTAAGTCAATCATTCGCATGGCCGGTAGCGATGTTAGAACGGCTAGCGGAATCGAGAAAATCGCTCCAGGAGCTGGGAGCATGAAATCGCACTGGGGAAAGCCCCGCCCACCTGCTGATTTCCCTCCTATATTAGAGCCCTTTTTTCGCCGTTTTCGCGCTTTCCAATGTGGATTTTCGGATTCAGCATGGCGAATAGGTCCGTATAAGCACAAAATCTCAAAATCGAGTTTTTGCCCGGACACTGCCTTTAAGCGTTAGGTTCTAATGATGTGTCACGCTCATGGCAGTACGGATGTTTGGACAAGGAAGCAACAGGCGTAACTTTTCAAGAGTAAATCCATTCTTTTTGTAAGATCATAAATTGAGTTTATATTCCTCTTTAGGCAGTAATATCCGAAAACATGCATTTGCATCACCCAAGCAGTACAGCGACTTAGACAATCAAAGGCTCTCAGCCGGCCCACCAAAAGCGCCGTTGCCTTATCGCCGCCATTTTCGCTTCCCGCTGAGAAACTGCTGGAACTGGCGATAAGGCATGGCCGCCACTTTCGCTTCGCATTGAAGACTTTGTGGCAGCCCGCTCGCTGCCAGTTCCAGCAAAGTTTCTCAGCTGGAAGCGAAAAGTAGCGGCGATAAGGCAACGGTGCTTTTGGGGGGGCCGGCTGAGAGCTTTTGATTGTCTGAGGAGGTTTTTTGAGTGCAATTGTTTGGTTGAATGTTATGTGGTCGGATAATTCGCATCATCACTAGCACCTAGAAAATCTTTTCTGTCAACTTAAACAACCTTGATAATTTGACAACTTGTGTAACTATGTACTAATTGCTGTAGAATGCGTTTATTCTTCCGTTATTAAGAGGAAGGAATGTGTATTGCAGTCTCTGCTCTTTTTTACCCTTAGGAATAGCGAGCAGACTTTTACACCAAAACACGCGGTGTGATTTTTAGCGGCTTCACTGAAGTTCCAGGATAGAATTGTCTTTGCTTTGTCGTTTAATAGAGTTTATCAGAGTTCGGCCGTTATTTTCCTGGGAATGACCATACAATACATTTGTTTACGAAGATCTAGTGAAGACTTTGCGTGGACGAAGGCAGGTGGTTTGTGTTTGCCAACGCAACAGTCAAGCATTTTCGCAAAAAGCATGGTTTTATGCACACTATGAAAGCCGACAACCACTTGTTTGCGCGCTTCTACTTCGTACTGACATCCTTTTGTCCGACAACTCCTTCACTGGTCTCAAAAACGTCTCACAGCGACAGCGATTTTTGCCTTATATGATAGTATAGAAAGCAGTTTATTTGGTTCTGTTATATTTTTTCTCTTAAACAATTCGTCGTCGTCTCAATCCACAAAACTTGTTCAGAGCTACGACGAGTATGTTAGCGAGCTCGCGAAGTCTTTGAAATCTGCTCTTCGTGATACTGCAAAGAAGAGCAGAAAAGACCGTTCGAAGGATCATTTCAGCGAAAATCTCAATGTAAGTTACAGAACTGTCTAAATGTTAGATATCGTTGGATGATTTTTAGGCACCTGTGGCAAAGATGCAAGCTGAAATAGACAGCTATAGGAACGCCCTTAGTTGTTTGGTAAGTAGTGTAATTCCCCAAATGTTGGGAGACTGTCTTTTCGCACGTATCTAGCAGTCATCCTGCCTTCTTTTAATACGTTTCGGACCGGTGCTGCAAATGGTGCAGCATGCTGCTTTGAAGAGTCTTTTTGACGTTTACAAAGAGTTTTCTTTTGGTCCAAGGTTATCCAGTCAAAGGCCTAAGCTTCTATATTTCAAGCGACTTTGTAGAGCTCTGCTGCCGTACTGGTTTAGGAGATACTAGATGGCAAACCCGGCTCCGCCCGGGACCAAACTTTGCACACATACACTTCGGGGCAGGGAGCGTGTCATAGGCTACTTTTCGTTATCGATCGATATCGATTTTATCGATTTTTTGCAAAATTTGAGCTAGGGGGCTGGGATTTTGCACAGGGGGGTAATCGAGCATGCTGATCACCCCGGAGGGGTTGATCAGGCTCCCTGCCCCGAAGTATATGTGTGCCAAGTTTGGTCCAAATCGGTTCAGAAATAAAAATTTCTATTCCGCACATACGTACAGACAGACATACATACATACAGACATTCAGCTTTATATATAAGATGAGGACAAATCGAACAAGAGTTGCAACAAAGTGCGGCAACGCGAACGACGGTGCGACATCGCAGTTCTTCTTTGCTTCGATTCCAAAGAGAAAAACTGTAGTTTCAATAATGGTGTGTGCCGTTCGCAACATAGACACTTTTGGATACTATAAGAAATTGAGTTCTTGTTTCTAACTTTCAAGAAAAGACAAAAGTCCTTCTCAAGTGACAAAATTCAAACACTTCGAATTCACCCAGAACTTCGGGTATGGAGCTTATCCGACATGGTGATTACAGGTGTAGCACACAGTCTTCAAAATAAGGTCCCTTTGATGGCTAACCGTTGAAAGTACACTCTTTTTCGCCGCGTGCGATTTCGCGGTCCGAAACGTGTTAATGTGTCGAAAGCGCGAAAATCGTCTCTTCACTTGCTAAGGTAAAAACCGCAGCAGGGTGCAAATTTCCTGTCTGCATTACAGTCGTGCGAATCGGCCTATGTTCCATATGCTGACTCTCATCCTGAATTTTATTAGTTTTTATCTTCAGGCAGATCTTCTCACAGAAATCGAAAGCGGTGTTGAAGAACGCGAATCTTTCTACAAAGATAAAGTGGCATCTTTGGAAAGTGCACTCGAGAAAGCTGTATGTTTGATCTTGATTATCGTGAAGTGATGCGAGGATTTTGACACTTGCAGTCGACATTTTTTGAATTTATTCTATTTCTAGGGGAGGGAATGGGGTGGCTGCATATCCTTTTTGAGAGGCTTTCCTGTCAGGGGAGAAAGGAATAGTAGCAAGCCATATGAATGATGAAATGAGTGTAATGTCTTCACAAGCAGCGTGACGCCGCCTGAGTTCCTCTATCATTAGAATCTCTCCTGAACGAGCCTTGCTTAACGAAGTAGCAGGTTAAAGTTGCGCTTTTGACTTCACATAGATGATTCTGAGGCTCTTCTTTGTAGTCAAGGGATCGCTATCATTTGATTATTTGAGAAAAAATGGGTTTTCTTTGTTGTTCAATGGCAGATTCTAATTCACCTCTTCTTTGGCTCATTATCGTACTATGAATGTTGTCGTGAATGTTTACTGTTGCTTTCTTATAATGCTTATGTTGCTTCACACCTTTTTGCATGTCGCAGTTACCTTTGTTTGCACGCTTCGTTCAAAAATCGGTTACAATCTCAATCGCCGTCGTATTCATACCAGTACTCCGCATGGTATGTGTGGTAAGAGGTAACTTTGTATTTAGAGTGCTGTCGTAGCATCGTCTGATCGTCTCAAACGCGAGCTCAGGGAGTGTGAGCTTCTGAAAAAGGTTTGCTGATTCTGTAGAGAAGCGTTTGAATCAGTCTTGTGTTTTTTATGTGCACCTTGCATAATTATTAGTGACAGTCCCAGAAACTCTGGAGCAGAGAAGGGCGGGGGCACGGCATTACAGCAGAGTTTCCGATGCAGGCGCATGGCCTAATATGCCTTTTGAATTTTTTTTTTTGGGATTATTTATTGTTGTTCTCTTCATGTGTAGTGTAGCCTAGTACTGCTCAAATTTTGCCGTTTCTCAATGAAAAGCATACAATTGATTCAGATCTTTAGAGAATCAAATAGTTATTTTGAAGGAAACTAGTCGCTTACCTACCTTTACGACTCACCACTCCAACCCATTGCAAAAGTCTCGCAATACATTCATGGAATAGGAGCGCCCCCTGCCCCTCTCCTGCCTCTTCTTGGGACTACCACTGCCGTGTAGTGTCATTTTATGTTTATTTATCGTTGCGGATTCTTAACTTACACTGGATAGCAGTTATCAAGCTGTTTTTGTGGGAATTATAGACACCATTCCTTCGCATAGCGCATGCATACTCCGCGCTATTTTGGTCGTTGCACGACTAGGCATTGCTACCACTGTTCATAATTCTTCGTGAGCACACTTTGCGTATGGCTTGGCTTGTCTGCTGCTAACGAAAACAATGTTTATGATTTTGAGTATGCGCGCAGTGGTTAGACATCTGGCGAATTGCCTAATCAGGCAAAGCTCGAGATACGTTCACTGCTCCAGACTAGACACATCAATATTGATCCCGGTACTCATTTCTGCAGGACGTGATTCACAAAAAAGCTGGCTACTACACCCATGTCGGTGTATCAGTCTTGCAGTTTGTGGTGTGCTCGCCTGGGGCTCACAGACTGAGAATAATCAGCCGACCCTGAAGCGAGGGGTGGGGGTAAGATGGTCGTAGGCTCAAGAATAATCAGCCACCTTGTGATTTATCTGTGGCTCTACGTTTTATTTTGAAAGAGCGTTGCGCATGTACTGATGCCACATTTGAGGTTAGCTGGTGATACTCGCGCTACAATACCACTCTCAGAATGTACAGAATTCCCGGGAATTCCGCGGAATTTCGGGAATTTCGCGAAATCAACGCGAATCACGCAAACTACACAGCGCCATAATTTCCTTCGGAATGAATATATTCTGACCGGAAGCACCATTATGTTCAGCTCGTCAAGGCAAATCTTTTCGTATGCAGCATGTCCTTGATATTCCGTTTCCAGTTTTCTCAAATTCTTGTGCGGAGGTCTTTTCGCAAGGATGTAACGCAGCGCCTATCCAACGTAAAAGATGCCTGTAAGTAGTGTACGATAGTACTCCTTCTGTAGATTACGGAACACTGAAGAGTAGCAGCAGACTTCTATCCAAAAGAGATAAAAGCGCTGGTGAATTCTGGGAAAATCACGCGTTTCTAAATTCTACTCGCCGTAACTTCCTTTGGAATAAACATATTTTGAATCGAAAAGAAGCATTTTGCTCAGCTTTTTAAGACAAATCTTTTTATATGGAGCATGTCCTAATCCTAATTTCAGTATTCCTGCAGTCTTTCTGCGGACGGCTCTTCGCAAAGGTGTAAAGCAGCGCGCATTGCCCGTAGTAGATTCCAGCAAGGAGATTTCGATAGTACTTTTTCTGTAGATTATAAAGCGCCAAAGAGTAGCCGCCTTCTTTCCAAAGGAAATAGAAGGGTTGATGAATTCTGGAAAAATCATGTCGTTCTGAATGTTATTCACCATAACCCTAAAATATGAAGCTTCTTTCTGAGCGCATGTGATTTTCGTAATCAACAGGTCGGATAACCTCTATGAGCAAGTTTTCCGAGATGTTCGGCTTATCTCATTTTTTCTCGTTTTACGCTCTAAAAGCTCGCCATTGGATTTTGGTCAAAATGTTGATGATCTTTGATTGTGAGGAAACTTCCCTTATAGAGGTTTTCGGATACGCTGTTTACGAAAATCGTGATCTTTGGGGAATAAAGGATTATTTTGGATATGGTGAGGTAACTGTAACTGAGTCAGGAAAATTCGTAAATTCGCCTGCACTTCTCGCGTATCCTTCAGAAAACGACTGTTTGCTTTTATGGGTTAAAGTTACTAGGAACCGTGCTATTGAACGGTGCTTGTCTCAGGCTAGTCCATGAAAATCGCCGAGTTACGAGCCTACGAAAACACGTCCTCATGAATTTTGCCCAGGATGTAAAGATCGCATACTTTGTCGAAATTCCACCGTAAGTTTTCTACGACATTCTGGTTGCACTTATGTTATATATCAACGTTATGTTCACTTCGCCCAAGGGATCCCGCTTACTGAATATGGCTGTTGCGTGTGCTTCAGCTGCTTAAGTGAATATCAAAGCAGTTTCGTAGCCAGAGCTCAGATCTATATAACCATCAAGTCCAATACAGAAAGATCCATTAAGCGATGTGAAAAGATTCAACCAACGTTCTGTACAACCACTCGCGGTGGAATTTCGACGAATATGCGATCTTTACACTCTGGGCAAAATTCATGAGGACGTGTTTTCGTAGGCTCGTAACTCGGCGATTTTCATAGACTGGAGCCTGGGACAAGCACCGTTCAATAGCGTGGTTCCTAGTAACTTCCATAAAAGCAAGCAGTCAAGTTTCCTGAAAGATACGCGAGAAGTGCAGGCGAATTTACGAATTCTCGTGACTCAATTACAGTTGCCTTACCTATCTCTGCAAAAAGACCCTTTATCCCCCAAAGACCATGATTTTCGTAAACAGCGTGTCCGAGAACTTCTATAAGCGAAGTTTCCTTACAATCGAAGATCATCAACATTTTGACCAAAATCCACCGGCGAGCTTTAGAGCGTAAAACGAGAAAAAATGAAATAAGCCGAACATCTCGGAAAACTTGCTCATAGAGGTTATCCGACCTGTTGATTACGAAAATCACATGCGCTCATAAAGAAGCTTCATATCTTAGGGTTATGGTGAATAACATTCAGAACGACATGATTTTTCCAGAATTCATCAGCTCTTCTATTTCCTTCGGATAGAAGTCTGTGGGTATTCTTTGGCGCTTTATAATCTACAGAAGAAGTACTATCGAAATTTCCTTGCTGGAATCTACTAAAGCACAAAACTTTTTTCGATTCAAAATATGTTTATTCCAAAGGAAGTTACGGCGAGTAGAACTTAGAAACGCGTGATTTTCCCAGAATTCACCAGCGCTTTTATCTCTTTTGGATAGAAGTCTGCGACTACTCTTCAGCGCTCCGTAATCTACAGAAGGAGTTCTATCGAATACCACTTACAGGCGTCTTTTACGTTGGGTAGGCGCTGCGTTACATCCTTGCGAAAGGACCTCCGCAGAAAAATTTAAGAAAACTGGAAACGAAATATCGAGGACATGCTGCATACGAAAAGATTCGCCTTGACGAACTGAACATAATGCTGCTTCCGGATTCAGAATATATTCATTACCCTATTTTCAGGTGTATAAGCCGCACCCTTTTTGCTCTAAACGCAAGCAGACCCAGGCGTGCCGCCGCGCATATGTCTCGCGAAGCGGTCGCCTTATCGCATACTGCTCTCACTTAACGCGCTCCATGATGACAGTCAGTCTTTTGGCGTGTTCGCCTTTAGATTGAAAAGGGTGCGGCTTATACACCTGAAAATAGGGTACGAAGGAAGTTATGGCGCAGCGTAGTTTGCGTGATTCGCGTTGATTTCGCGAAATTCCGGGAATGTCGCGGACTTTCGCGAAATTCCCGGAAATTTTGCACATTCTGAGAGTGGTATTGTATATGTCTTGTGAATGGCACTTCGCGACTATGAGTTTCTTTTAATAGTTTTTTCGTTTTTCGTTTGCGTCATTACATCGAATGTTCTGAGGCGAAGCTGTTTCTCATTAAACTGTATATATCAATCTTACAATGAACGGACTTTCATGGACGATATTTTTGCAATAAGGGAAAAATTTTTTATATTTTTTTTCTTTCTTTATTTATTTATTTTTCATTTATTTTTATTTTTTTGTATTTTTTTCGCCATATGGGTCGGGCGAGCGTTTCATTTCAAAGAGGAGCAAACATGTAGTTTCCTCTGATTGCCTTGCTTTTGAAGCATGTTTTAGGCTGCTGCATAAGTTCTGTCCAATTTGAATTACTTGAGTTCAAAATCTCATAACTGTTTTCAAAGTCAACTTTCTTCCAAAATCTAAATTTCATTGTGTTGAGTAATTCCTTGGCTATCAGATACGTATTGAAATCTGCGAAAATCCTTGTTAAGGAAGAAGCAAGAACTCAAAAAACTTCACAGCGTTTCCTTCAAACCTGTCTTCTTTGACATGACAATGCTCCCTTATGAGAGTTGATAGGCATCTTATCTAACAATGAATTGGTAGAGAATTTTTCGTATAGGCCGTCCGCGCAGGGCGCTGAGAGTGCGCAAGGTGTGCATTGCGCGTCACTCCTCTTTCCTCGTGCACTCTCGCCGCTGTTTTTCTCTGCGCTTCTTCCAGTTGTGAACTGCCTTCAATGTACGCAACAGCGTTGCTCTCCGTGCGCAGCGCGAACGGCCTATAGATTATTTTGCACCGTAAAAGAGCCCATGAGGTCTGCGTTGCCGAGAGACTTCTTGACCGAACAAAAAATTAGCCACTTTTTGATCTCGCTTCGACGCATGTGTGCATGCGTATTTAGGACTTATAAAATGTTTACAATTTACGTGAGCACCGAAAAGGAATAGATGGGTGGGCCCTGATAGCTCTTGCTTTACTCTAGCATCTCCAACTCTGAACTCATCGACTACTTCTATTCACAGAAAGTTATTGCTTGTAAAACATCTATATAGAAAATCAATGTTTGACAATAAATTTTACTAGCTAGGCTTTTCTTAATGAAACTGAACTTATGCGTACTAGCCTATTACACCCTTATTCCGCAACCAATCGAAAAGCGTGACCTAAAGGGCGCATTGTGGAGATTTCCTCGCAAGAACATATTTCTAAGGTGAGAACGTACCTCGGCCACTTGGGGATTTTAGGCCTACAATCTCCTTACACTAGGAAATTTATCAAAATTTGATATGCTTTAGAGAGCGTAAGAAAAGCACTTTTTGAAGATACTGAAAATACCGCTTTAGAGATGAAATTCTCTTAGAACAGTTGCTTCAAGCGTAGGGCAAAAAAATCGGACAGAACTTATGCAGCAGCTTAAAATACCACATTCCTACTTACAGCGATTTTTTTACTGATCGGTACCTCAGCTATCTGACAAAAAAATATTGTCTAGCACTGGAAGAGAGTAGAAATATCAGCAGTATCGAAGGCGCGTAGGAGGCTTCAAATGCTTTCCGCACTGCCTTTCTAAGGCAATCAAAATGATGGGTATTAAGGATCCGGGGCTTTATAGTAGAGGATATCTACATTCAAAGGTCACAAATCCTGGTAAATGGCTCAATGTTTGGATACATATGGTCGTCTATGCTGGGAAGTTTTTTTTTTCAAAAGCTCTTTGTGTTGGTTTCTTTTCGGGAATGTCCGATGACTTATGGTAATTTCTTTTATAATGGGGTAGTCAAACAACCGTAAGTGAAAAACTTACTTTAGCACTGCCTCATAGGTGAAATTGACAAACGAGGATAGTCTATCATTCTGACAGATGGCGGCTCAACTTGATGCTTCTTGAAGTTTTGACAAGGATTGCTTATAACAACACTTTCGCAAAGATCAAGCTTTCCTCTCCCAATCCTATCAGGATTGAACTATCGAATCTGATACTTCGAATTTGTCTTTTTTGTTCATGTTTTTTCAGCAGAATCATCTAGAAGAGCAAGTCGTTTTGAGGCAGCTTCCGCATATATGAATTCCTTGCCCTGGTGTGATGTAAATAAATGGATAGCATGAATCCAGTCTAAATCTGTCGTAGTCGTGCGTGTTACGTCTGATGTGGAATACTTTTCACCTTTTGTTTTTGCAGCGTTTCGATGTGTCGATTTTACAGCAAAACTTTGTGTAGATAGTGATCTCCAAATGCACAATTTTGTGGGTGGCATCTGCCGTTTGTCGTCGTTTTAGCAGATCGAGGCTTTGCGAACGTGTCTTGGTCAGAGTGTCAGTGATGATAAGCCAACGGCAGCGCCGACAAAATCCTGCACTGTGAAGAGTGACGAGTCCGATTGGGAGGTCATCAGCCGTTAGAGACGGTACGTAGTGTGATTGTGCCGTCTGATTTACTCACGCGAGAAGTGTACGCATGATTTGGTCAAGTGAAAGTCATTGTCAAGGTGGCCATGATCGCTCAAATCATTGCATCTGCAATCAAGAATGAGATTGTATTTTGCAAGCCATCAGGTCATTTACGCTTGTCACATCGTATTAGCGGCCTTATTCAAGTTCTAATTGTTAAAACCACAATATCAGTTCATAGCCAGTTACCCTTTTTTCACACTATGACTAGCAGTGAAAACCCAAATCTTTCCGATTGAGTTTTGTTCATTAGAAAGGTGACAACAGGTGCTGGCTAGATAATTCGCCTATCTGGCATGCGTCTATTTCTGGTTTTCATTCAAACAATCCCATACAGTCGAATCATTTCGATCGTGCTGCATTGCACACAACCGTCCATCAGTGGCGTACCCAGGATTTCGGCTCGGGGGGGGCGCGGCAAAAAAAATTTTTAAATGAAGGTGCGTGGCGTTAGCCACGCACTCCGAAAAAATTTTAGGGGGGCTTCTCAACAATTCTGCGGGCCCCCAACCCCTAAAATCTGGAAAAAGGGGGCGTGGCGTCAGCCACGCCCTCGAAAAAATTTTTTTTATAAGGCTAATTTGAATTTTTAAAAAATTTTAAAAATTATTTCAATTGTTTACAAAAATAAACAAGTCATTTGCACATTTTTATAACGCATGTAAGTAACTTTCAAAAATTTCGCGACCCGTTCTCGGGGGGGGCGCGCGCCCCCCCCGCCCCCCCCCCTCGGTACGCCACTGCCGTCCATCCTTGACGTTCTTATTCTGGAATTGCAAAAATGTAAGAGACTAACCGTATTCATTACCTACATCGCTTTGAGATGATTAGTACTTGAAAAGAGAACATAAAGAAAACACCGAAAACACTTTCCTGAAGGGTTGGCTTTTCCAAGGATCCAGGATGAGTACACCAGAACAAAGGACATACACAAAGGTGAACACTGTGTGTAATAAAACACATGATCATAGGTAATGGTTCGACTGTATATGCACACCTCTTTGTGTACCCTATTTTTGTTTTTTACGTTTCCCTTAGTTACATTCAAGGCCTTCTAAAGATTCGTGCGATAAGAACGAAAATGTCATAGAAAAGGTGTAGTTTCGTTAACAATGGGCCCTAGTCTTTATTTCGTTTTGCATACTGCATTTCGTTTCGTCTTTTTTTGGAAGAGCATCAGATATGAATACTGGTATTGAGCTTCTTATTCGCTGATTTCCTGTGATAGATTTATGATCCATGAATCATTTATGTTCAAGCGCAGTCCTGTCAAAATGGAGAAGCACATTGTGGCTAAGGAGTAAATGTCTCTTTCATCTCAAAACTGCTAAGAGCAACACGCACTCAGCTTACCAACTCAATTGAGACACCATAGTTGTATCAAGATCTCATCCATGTTCCTCTATTTTCAAATGAGCTGATCTTTTTTCAGTGATTGCTATCAGCCGAAAGAGTCAAACGTGAAGAGATTTCTCTGCGAATCATTATCTCGGCAAACATTTACTATCTCGTCAATGGAAGTTGTAATCATATGTACTCTTATGTTCGTTATAGTTCTGAAGTCTCCTTGATTGTCAAACTTTCCTTCTTCCGTAATAATATTCCTATGCTGTAGGTATAGCCGATTGCCCACGAGCATTTTATTGTTAGTGACACTCCTTTCGAAAGAGACTTTCATGTTGTTGTTGTTGATTGTTGCAAAACATAGGATATCTCATGCTAGTTTTCCTTCGCGTTTTTGTTTTGGTGATCACTTCGCCTTCTTATCCGGTTGGAGTTGAAATTTTATCGACAAGTTGCTTCTTGTGTGTAAATTTCCTTTTGTTTTGAACATGTTCTGTTCGGTGTTGGGACAAAGAGTTTTGTTTTATGCAAATATCAGCTCCATTACCTTAAAATCGGTGATAGCTTAGCCGAAACAGGCAGTCTAAAAAACACTGACGGTTGGCGAAATACTGCATTGAAGATAAGACTAATTATGAGTCTGCTCCACACAGCGGCGCAAAAAAGGCAAAACCATGTGTTTCACCGATTGCCCAAGGGGTTCATCCGACTCGATGCCAGACATCGGTAGTTGAGGTGCTTGTGGAGGTGAACTTAGGGTTTGATCATCCGATGCATTAGTAAGCGGGGCATTTGCTTACAATGTGATAGGTAAAGGCACTGATCGCACTGCTGTCGTTGTACATCCGTTTGAAGGAGAACTTATAGTGCATGCACATGGTATTGTTTATTTTTTTCTGGGAATGAGGATTTCAAAGACAAATCGAGCAACAACAATTTAGATACATCAGCAACCCGTGAGACGTATGTTATCTATCGCTAACCATTTGAATTTCCGCCACTGAATTGCTTTGAAGTAAATCTAGAAAGGACTGAATGATGTATCTGCATGTACTGTTGAATGAATAACTATAATCATACCTTTGTTGTGTTTTTTGGGATGGTGAAAGACTCCCCTTGTTTCCATTGAATGCGTTTGTCAAAAGGAGAAATTGAGAAAGGACAGTAGAATGGCGAATCCAGACAAAGCTGAAAGAGCGTAGTCAGGCATCAATGTCGCACAGCTTTGTATTCATTCAGTGGTAGTTGAATTATTTGGCCGCTCAAAGAATCGGTTGACATACAGGTCGTATCATCCACTAATGAACGCGGGAACTCAGGGATGAGGCTTCGCGCGCGCCGGGTAGAGGACCATATGTCGCCGAAAAAGGGCGGTCCCCGCGGTCATTTGCGACAAATACGCACCCTTGTACATGCGCGGACATGCGTTCCTGCAGGGAATCCGCGCAGGACTCTTCCAAATTCGGCAACATATAGTCCTCCACCCGCGCGCGCCGCATAAGCAGCGCAAATAGTACACGAGCGCCGAAAGCGCCAGAGGCTAGACTTGTGGCTAGGCGACTCATGTTTATAAAAGTGTTACAGTCGGTTTCATCCCGGATTAGGCGAGACATATTACGTGGAGTAGCGCATGCGCATCGCTGGAGGCTTCGCGAGCGCGTAGCGCTGGCTTTTTGCCAAGCAAAGACTAAGTGAAGAGACGTAGACATGGATTCTCAGCACGATAAGGTATACTGTAGCTGCGAAACGGCGCGAGCTGTTGCGAGGCGGACTTTCGCCAGTCCAATTTCCGCCTAAAGCGGGTCGAAACTTACTGTAGCTGTTTATCTTTAGCAAATTTTCCCTTATAGTTTTGATTGCATACGGGAGTAAATAGGATGTTTTCCATATTTCGGACGATATAATCAGCATCGGACCCTCTAATCTCCTTGCCCATTGCTAACTGATATGACTTTGTGAGCTATGATCAAAATTCGCCGTTATCATATCATCCTTTAATTCAAAGGATCGAGAACGCATTGCACACAATATTCGACGATCTCGTACAAGTTTCCCTTCATGTCCAAGAGCGATTCCTACGATGTGATAGAGATCAAGTACTTATGAGTCAGTAAAACCTGTGCAAAGGTTCTCAACTCTTACGGTGAATGGGTGACAATCAAGTTCTACACTTGAATAAAAGAAAGCTTGACTTTACTTCTGCTCGAATAATCTTCGTAACCGCGTGTCCTCTTGAGACAAGCGAGAACGAAAACAAAGCTTGGAGATTGGGAAAGAAGATAAGCACATATTGTAATGCAGTCATAAATTTGAGCTTAGGCCAGCTCTCGCGCCGGAGTCCTATTCTGCCGCATGCAGAGCGCGCGCAGGCTCATTCCGTGGATTATTGCGACCGATGGTGGGTGCAGCCTGTATGCTGTCGCATTCGTCTTTAAAGGATTGTCTAATCAAAAAATGTTATCTCCGTCCAAAGAATCCCTATGGATTCCCAACTTGCTCGTGCAATAATCTCCACCAGAGTCATTCATACACACAATGCTGTATCTTTTTCTCGGATAGAAGTTGGAGAAACGAAAATTTTCACGTTTTTGCTAAAGCAAGTAGGACCATTGAAGCGTAGGTACACCAAAACTAAAACCTTTGCAGTACAAGCATGAATTTTCAGCCTTTTACAAGCGCTAGTTCTCAAAAAATACCAATTCATGAAAAAGTCGGAAGGCGGTGCGTCCGTCCCCAGAAGTTTCGTTCGCAGGGGAGGGGGAAGAATTTTTCGATTAAAATTGCAAGACGCAGCCACACACTCGAAAACTGTTTTGGGATGCTTTCCAAAATTTTTGGGCCATAACCTCGAAAAGTGAACAAGTCACTCGAACAACTTTATAATTCATATAAATGACATTAAGGAATTTTGCGACCCACTCTCGGTAAGGGGGGCCTCCCTCTCCCTTGGTGCGTCACTGCCTGAAGAATAAGCTAAACCTGTCATTGCTCGAGGACAAGCGCTTGTAGAAGGCTGAAAATTTATGCTTATACTTCCAAAAGTTTTTATACAGCATTTCCTATGCTTCAAAAGCCCAGCATTGCTTTAGCTTAAAGGCACCGTCCACCCTAAGTTGAGGGTGTTGAGCTTTTGGCAGCATATAACAGTAGGGCCTCCTATCAAGCCAATGCCCAAGTCGCGGCGTAAAATGCCGCTTCGGAAGCGAGAAAATCGCTTCGGAATGGCGAAGATGTACGTGGACCTCCATCCATGCCCGCCCCTCCCCATCCATGCCCGCCCATTTGTGCGCGCTCATCCAATCACCGTTGTGGAAAGCCGCCCTAATTCTCCGGAATGAGGATTTTCGGAATTTTCGCGCATTCTCGACTTCATATTTGGAATCAGGGTAATGAGAAGGCCCTGGAACGACAAGAACCTGGAAGTCGAGAATCTGGGTGGACGGTGCCTTTAAACGTAAATTTTTTCGGGGAAATAATGTAGCAGCCTGTCTATGAATGACTGATATGGGCATTGTATGCATAAGTAAGTTGGGAATCCGTGGGATTTTTTAGACAAAATACTATCTTTTTTTGATTTTTTGGATAATGAAAACTATTCAAGTTCTCGCTTCAACTCGATTGGAGTAAACTTGAAACGTACGCTCGAAGGTCATTGTAGAGCTTGCATTGCTTTATCGAAGGGTGCGTCAATACTTACGTATTGATTTAAAAAGAATATGTTTTGAAATTCAAAAATGGAAAAAAATTTGATACACCAGACAAATCAAAACATATGACTACCGAGAAAATAAATGGGAACAGATGCCGCAAGAACTGAACATATGCAAAAACTGAATCTTGCTTCTTTTGAATTTTTTCACCCAAATCTGCAAAGATGGACGCAATGGTGCGGCGTCGCGGCTGACTGCCTTGTGGTATAACGTCATATACACGATTCACGATACGCAAAGACTGGGTGCCATTGCGTTCGGCCAAGATAGTTTGCGTATGGGAGAAACAGCAGACGGTAAGAGAGAAGAAAGAGCGCTCGGTCAGACAGACGCCGATACGTCCGCAGTCTTTGCGTTCTATAAATCGCCTGTACCTCTAGATGCCCCGACCTTCCTCTGTTTGCTCAAACTCTGCCCTCGGGACGGCATGATACCAGTTCAAGCTACACTAACTCATATCTTTTTTTCACCTGCAATGTGATATCTTTTGATCTTCGGTAAACATCGAAAGAGAGTTGCGCTTCTCTACGCAAGAAGAAGTTAGGAGATTCCAGTATGTACGTTGTCAGTCCCAGAGCTGAACTGTCCGTCCCGACAAAGAGAAACCCTAGATAAGTCGATGAAAAGTGAGATATCTGATTATTCTAGAGACACACCTCCATCAGCGTCGTCATCGTCATAATCGATTTTGATGCCAGTATGAATGTTTCCAACTCTTTTGTTTCCCAGCTTCCAATCGACAAGACTGAATTATTAACCGTAAGTGGATATAGTGATCACATTGTATAATATACCTCATGCTTGTGTTTTCATAATTTTTATAATGGCACATGCTGGTACTGAAGGTGCACGTCAGTAATTGACAGGCGGAGAGATTCTTGTAGGAGACTGGAGCTCTTTTTGGTTTTTCTTCGTCTACTGCCGGCTCTGAATAGTGATAATCCTAGGGTAAATGGAGAAACTGCACAGCTTGGGCGGTCAAACTTTGTTCCGATTGTTAGTAATATCGGTGACGATGGAAACATACCATGTTACCACAACATGTTTAATTACGTAGAAAATTATGCAGACGTTCCCGATCAACTTAATTCAAACGATTTCGAGAAAAGGATGCCTTTTCTGCACTACTTTTTTTTTTGAATACTAGTGAACCAGTAATCTCAAAGGTGCTAGTTGCAGGCGCGCTCGCTTCGGTACCCGCTCGGTTTCCCGCTATCTGATGATTTTTGAATGCACCTTACGATTGCTTATATAATAAACAATATTTCACTAGTTGGGGACGCTCTGGGTCATTTTTCGTCTTTACTCCTTTCTTGGATTCTACTGTGCGAATAGCCGTCTCAAACTAAGTTTACAATATAAATCGGATCAGCAATGGCTCTACCGCTATAGGATCATAATAATTATCCAATTGAATTATCGGAATATCTTTTGAATACCCAAACACTTTTGTTTATAAATTATCGGCATTCCGCTCTCCAAATTAGCGTACGACCCTGTAAATTAATTGTAATACGATCAAACGATGCAATGAATTCAGGGAAAAAGGAACGGTCTTATGGCTTATCTGGCACTTTTTGCACGAAACTATGAAATGCCAGTATCATATTTGCGACAAGTCCGGTTGACTCAGTTGGTAACAGACAGAGAGAGTAAGCGGTTTGGCATATCACCGAGATACGATCCCCTTCTGACTTGTCACCGTAGATACCGTAAGCGTAGCCACAAACTACAGCGCATCTTTTTGTAATCAAGATGTGAAGTAATCCCCCGGAAGTGATTGAAGTTGGATTTGTTTCTTTTATTTGAATAGTTGCTGAATGCACAACCACTGTAAGCGAAAATTGGGACAAACGAGATTTTGGCTGGCTCCTAATTCCATCGTTCAATGGTTACTTGGAGCAGGGTTCTTGGTAGGGCAAATAGGAAGTAGCGCTTTGTATAAAAAGGTAGCTAATTTACTTCTGAAACATAGTTAACCATGTTTGAAAATGGCCTCTTCTTGGGTGGCCCAATATTGGAAACCCTTAAAATTCACTAAAACTTGGACAAAAGAGTCACCCTAACTTCACGCGTACAAGGCGCGGGGTGGTCCTAGCTTTCATCGCGCTGCTCAGCCGCCCCAACGTGTTTTAAGAAGCGATCCTTATGCCGCACGATTCGTCAGGCAAAACGCAGCACGGTATGGGGTTCCTTTGGTTGCGAAGTCCTTTGCCGTGTTCGGGCTGGTCGATGAAAGCTAGGACCACCCCGCGCCTTGTACGTGAAATTAGGGTATTTGACCTCACGACTTGTTACCCTATGCTTAGTAGAGTAGAGTACCCTCTATGTCATGCCTATGGTATTCGAACGAAAATGCTGAAGGGGAAGGGGGGGGGGGAGGGATATCGTGACAGAACTTAGGAGGAGGAAGGGGAGGGTCGTATTCGGCGGTTGTGTGCCACATCTCCTCTCGACCCTTTCTAACATGGTTGAGTTCGCTCTAGAGGTAAGCTGGCGTAATTTTTTGAGCTCAATACAAAATGCTTTTTTGATCCACATCAAGAAGACTGCTGGAAATAACTGGCAAACAATGAGTCTTCAACCCGAGCGAAAATGTTTATTGCATCTTTAGCTTGAGTGGTAGTGTTTCAGCTATTATTACTTGAGCTATTGAAGACGGACCGGACTCAGACTCAGATCTCTTCTGTAAAAAACAGGGATTCATGCTAGTGAGTTGTGTTTGGCCATCTGTCAAAATTTTCTCTATAACAAACATACTCGGGTGAGGGACAAGCCCATGGTGTGGGTGCTGCCACAAATAAATTTTTGCGTAAAGTCATTCAATAGTCTAAGTCTCGTAATTTTTATATACTTGACTTGAGCTTGATACGCTATTTGTCTCGAGAGCAGTTGTTCAGCACAGCCACTAAAATCGAAAGAAAATTTGACTTAGCCACCAATTCCACCATTTTAGATTATTTTGGGTGGAATTTCCTAGAGCCAAAGGAAGAAGTGCTTCACAAATTCCGGTAGGTTAGAACTTACAAAAAACTTTTTCCTACCTTCGACTCAGGTACAAACCATCCCCCTCTCTGAGCTCTAGGCGTGGCGTGCCACACTCTACGCGTATCCTGGTGATAGAGTTTTTAGCTCTGAGAAGGGAAGGACCCGAAGTCACTGTGCTCCTTTCGTACAAATATTAGGTGGGTCCAAAAGTTCGTTCGCCAGACTTTCAAAAAATCATAACTTCCTTCCTTCTCGGTAAAATTTCTTGAATCAACTTTTGTTCGAAAGAGGGAACCTTTTTCTTTACAAGAGTGTCTTTGCCATGAAGTGGCTTGCGAAAGTTTGAGAGTTAGAAGCAATTGTATAAAATTACTCAAGATCGGCATTTTTTAAGCTGGATTACGAAAAATTCCAAAAAGCCCAAAAATCACAAAAAAGGCGGGAAAGCCAAGAATATAGGTTCCGTAACTTTTTCTTTTTAGCCGAGCGAAAATCGGACTAATCGGGAGCAACTTTGATTTTCATTATATTTCCGGATGTTCAAGTCTGCGTTTCTCACGAAAATCAAAATTGCTCTCGATTGGTCCGATTTTCACTCAGCTAGAAAGAGAAGGTCTCAAAACCCATGTTCTTAGCTTTTCCGCCTTTTTTGTGACGTTTTTGGGCTTTTTAGGGCATGCTCAAAAATTGGAAAACTGATGTAATGCTCTTTAATTGCTTATAACTCTCGATCTTTTTCGTTTTAATTCGCGGGAAAGGCACTATAGTAAAGAGCATAACTTTCTAAATCATATAGTAATACTTCCGGAATTTTTCGTAATCCAGCTTAAAAAATGCCAATCTTGACTAATTTTATTCAATTGCTTTTAACTCTCGAACTTTCTCACGCCATTTCATGGCAGAGACACTGCTGTAAAGAAAAGGGTTTCCTCTTTCAAATAAAAATTAAGTCAAGAATTTTTATTGAGAATGAAGGAAGTTAAGATTTTTTGAAAATCCGGCGAACGAACTTTTGGACCCACCTAATATATGGAAGTATTTGTCTCGAAACGCTAACCTCAAATCTATGTTATAGGCCGTCCGCGCAGGGCGCGAAGAGTGCGCAAGGTGTGTATTGCGCGTCACTCCTCTTTCCACGTGCACTCTCGCCGCCTGTTTTTCTCTGCGCTTCTTCCATTCGTGAACTGCCTTCAATCTACGCAACAGCGTTGCTCTCCGTGCGCAGCGCGGACGGCCTATAGCTATTTGCAACCAATTTTTTGGAGCAAGTATTTTTCTGATGAAATTTGTGCGGTACCAGGCAGTCAAAATGATCAGTGCTGGCCAAGGTCTGTGGAATCTATGCGAATAGGGAGAAATTAAGATAGCGGGTTTTTCCAAGCTCATATGGACGGGCCACACCTTGTTAGTAGTGCTTTTACGGTAACATTATGCTCAAAGTGGCGCGAAAGCATCTCGAAATTGCCTACCGTAATCCTTCGGTGGTGGAGGTTGTGACCTCCCTGTCCCAAGATTCTGAAGTTAATTATTTTTCTGTATGGTACTTTGGGATCGAGAGGGACAAAGAGGCTAGGAAGTACCAATAGTTCTTTTTTGGAGACACTCTTTATGTCGGTCGATAGTGATGACTTCAAGTCTTGTGAACCAGTCATCGCGCATTTTCTTGTATTCTGGTTGCTAGATGCGGGAAGCATTAAGGGGAAATTTGGACGTCTGATAAAGAACTTTGCTTGTCTCTCAAAATCGTGCGGGGACACCCAGAAAGGTTCAGACCTTCCACCAAAAGTATGCCGTCTGCGTTTACCACGCTATTCCTGGATGAGGAAAGTTTTTGTAACCCACTGTACAATTATAACTGCAAATTTCGCGTATAATTCGGAAATTTGGTGGTCACGCAGAACTTTCAGGTTACTCCCGACGTCTCTTTTTTGTGATTTTTTCCTCTCAAAATCAAGAAAATTCTTGATTTCTGATAATATGTGGCTTATAAGATCCTAAATTAACGAGCAAGTGTATTATGTGCCATATAACTGTGCTATATAACCTCTGTACTCAGATTGTTTTCCTCTCGAGAATTTGGACGGAGAGTCATCATTCAGTGTAAAATTCATTCGAACTACTACATATCAGAACTTAGAATGCTTTGAACTGATGAACAGACCTGCTTCTTGCTCTGTTTCATCATTGGCATCTTGAGTTTCCCTGCTGTCAGTGACAAGAGTAACGTCGCCGTCGTCGAAGAAGGCTTTGACTTGCTCTTCTGTTGGATGGGTGTAGTCTTTGTTGAGCTATGGTAAGGGAAACATATACTTCTGCGTGATTGTTAACCTGTTTCAGCAAATCGCAAATTGCCGAATGGAATGCTTAGTCTGTGCTCAAAATTATCACTTATCGTTACAAGGGATATTCAGCTAGCACTTACCTTTGCTGAACTGTCGCAGAACTCGGCATTATAATCGATGTTGTCGATTATAAACAGTGTTGGCAGGGAGAGATTTGATGCCACAATCTCAATTCCAAATTCTGTTGCTTGTGGATGTACTACCTCCACAGCAACTGCTGACGTGTCCGTGTAGATTATCGACTGAAAACAGCCAGTTGTGGATGTTTGTACTTGATAAAATATCAAGAGTATTAGTAACACGAAACATCATCTGGCATAGAGGTCCTGTACATTAAATAATCATGGTCATTTTTTGACGATCTCTAGTCCTATCAGTCATATACAGGACCAAGCAAGGGATGTGGCACACGATCGCTGATTATTACGACCACCCCCCCCCCTCTCCTGAATTATATACCTAAGATAGCATTACCTGAAAGCCTTGTCAAACATAGTGGGCAACATATCCATAATGAGGGGTACGGGCGAAAGCCGCCAGTTTGAGCCGCCTTTCGCGGCTAACTGGTCCTTTCGCAACGTTGTTGCATGTCGTCCCAGGACCAGCAGTCCGCGCAGGCGACCGAAGCTGGCGGCTTTCGTTTCCCTACACCCATAATGAGCATGTCAAATAACCCCTGTGGACAAAGTGCGAGCGAATTCTGAAGATTCAAGATACTAGGTTACCTGAGTGAAATGGTCATTTTCCAACATGATTAGCTTTGTTTTGAATTAGCTATCCGTTTTTGCGCTCATTACAAAGCACTACTCCTTCTTTGTCCATCTCAGAAATCTTGCTTTAAAAGACCTCCAAACTGTGGAATTAGAAGCCAACCAAAATCTCATTCCCATTTTCCGCTTTTAATGGCTGTGCTTTCACCAGATATTACTCAGAGCTAAGAAGGCGAATCAGGCTTATAACATTCCTATGGTATCTACGAGGTTTAGGCTATCGATTCATATAAATAATGTTCGCTAAAATTGTTTTTTGATATAGTTAATGGGGTGTGGCACACCCCTTTAAAAGCTGTGGCAGCCACAGCTTTCAGATCGACCTACTACATAGATATATGCTCTCACACTTTCTTTTGCTTTCCTTTTACTTGTTTTCCTTCTTTTAAGCTTCAGCAAAAAAATTTCTTCAACCCAAAAGTGAAGGTGGTCACTCCGTACCAGCTCAAAAGTGAAGGTAGGAGGAGACTCGGCTCCGACTATCGCACTTCTGGTGATAACCTGTGCGAAAAGCTTGTGTTCGACTAAATGGCGCTTATCCTTGGTGCTCGACCCCGACTCGTCAGAAACGATATCTCCCTTGCTTTTTGCTCCAAAAACGAAGTCCAGCCTGCTTCCAGACGATCTCTGCCGGGCCCTGCGTTTGGCGACGATGGGCTATTGGCACCTAGATGTAACCCGAGGCCTGATGCACGCCCGATCCTAAGCGACGTACCTATCCTACTGCGCACCTAACGCGCGGCCGAAAGAAACATAAATTGATTGAGTAATTTATCCTTATGGCACACTACAGCTAAGAAAGACAAAAAGGAATACTAAACTAAAAACAAGTTACCACTACTACTAAATGAAACACGGACGAGGACCAGTCCCATGCTACCTATGCGCGTCTACAAGTAATCTGGAATATGTGTAGTTCGCGAGGGTTCGCGCAACAAATCCACCGCGCAACGCCAAGGTTGTAAACGACGGCAGGTCCCCTCCAGCTTGTGGATGTTAGAATTCCAACTTAACATGCAATTCCAATCAGTACTCTGAATGCGCTAACAAAAAGAATCCGTTTTCCAATCCAAGGAACGTCTGGCTCAACTGCTCTTACAAAAAAGGACAGGAGCAAAAAGGCTGAAACGTAATTCGAATAAGATATTCAAAAACAGTCAATAAAGACGAAGGCGGACAAGGCACCCAACTGAGGCGCCGCCGCTATATATAGCCGCTTGGGTGGCAATAAGGGAGAGGTCCGAAGACGATCGCGGCAACACGCGTCTCGGCTACAGTAATCGTCGCCGGATAGCGCAGTAACCGATGCTTACGGCCTCCGTACTTGAGCGCCTTGTATCGCGAGAGCGACAGCGCGCATTTTAAGCGTAGCTACTTGTTCACACATAAGTATTCACCGCATAAGGGCACTACATCTACCTTCTAATCTACTCGACTGTAATAAAGGGGTAATGTTCGACACCTATGTCTGGTACTAGCAACCCTTTTGTTTAGTAACATAATTCCTAGTTTTTTTGGAGCCTTATTCGTGGCAAAAATTACGAGATCCTTTTCAAAGTCCTTTTCGAAGTTTCTACCGTAACCCTTCATCTGTCAAAACCGCTCTGTGATTCGCCGCATATTGTAAACTAAGTTGAAGCCAGCTGTACGGGTAATATGATAAGTAGAGGTTACAGTAATGATAATGGTACAGTCTGCCACAATCTTATCCGGGCCAAAACTGGCATGGCGGGAGTCCGCATCGTTAAGGTTTGCTTCCCTGCCCTCTCTTCAATCCTTTTGCTCTCTCCGACAGCGCGCATATGTACCGCAGACCGCTGGCGCTGCGAGCGCGCAAATTTACGCCGACGGTTCGGCCTGATCTCAATTGGAGCAGACTGTACCTAAAAAACAGTGAGGACATTTTTGGGACACTCAGTTTCGGGAGGATATAAAATTTCCTCTACTGTCAAAATCACGCTTGATGCAGTAAAAGTTACTCAGCTGAATTTAATGAGTTTATTTTGTAGCTTACCTTTGTACATGATCTTGCTCGAATATCTTGCGTGCAAACTTTTATGGTTGCAGTTTGATCTCCGATTAGCCAGTAGCTGAAACGACCTTGATAGTTTAGCAAAGTTTTTGACAACTAGACTTACTTAAATTTCAGTATACCGTTTCCAAGCTGACATGGTATATGAGCAGATAATGAAATCTCTTCATCGTCGGCGAGCGCCTGTATACGAACTTTGGAAAACGGAGAAAAATCAGAATCAGTTCGCTTACGTGTTGTAATAGAGCATAAATGAAGTTCCCATTGGGCTGGAACATTACGGTGCGCCCAGAGACCTCAGCCACCGAAGCATAATGAGAGGAGAAAGGAAGTCTCCCCACTTGGAATAGAGAAGAGGTTGGTTGAAATCTGCCAAATTATTAAAATGAAATTCAGCATCTATGCTTCTTATTTTTTGATCAAAACCTGCAAAATGTGTTGTCCTCAAAGTCACAGCTGGTAGAGTTACCATCTGGTGGAACGCTTGCAATCTGTATACAAGCGGCAAAATCTGTTAGAGAGCGCAGATCAGTCGGACAAGGCCGTTCTGTAATCATTTTTGTAAGAGAAAGCATCTAATCAAAGAGAATCAAATGTGTATTAAGTACACAGCCTTAGCTAACACTCGAGCATGTCATGATCTTGTTAGAGATCTTCTTTGAGAGCGTTTTATTTCAAAGAGATCCACTCTAGGTGGAGAATTATGTGACCGGCCTAAGCATGTTTCGCTTGGGCCACGAAGACGAAATATTGTTCTCATGTCCAAACCGCAAAGTCCTACCAGTTATTGAGTACATGTCATTGAAGCAATTGCCGTGCTTATGGTGTCTGCTCGCGCCCTGCTGCGTGGCAGAGCATTGAAGGAACATGGAGTCGAAAAGGTGAGCTTGGGGCACTAAGACTGTTAATTGGACCTCTTTTGAGATCCGAAAGTACAATGCTAGTTTCCATCTCCTGTTGAGTCTTCTTCCAGATTGTTCCACACATTTGGAACGTTCCATATATGCGTAGGAGGGAGCTTTCGTGAATGAAAATCATCCTGACATCCCCATCCATAGAAGAGATTAGCATAATCAGCTGATACTGTCCAACACTGCAGCTGATGAAACAGAAGTAGGCTTCTATCAAAGATGTGAAGGAGTTCGCTTGCAAAAAGAGTCCTTTCGTTTCGTGAACAAGTCCAAAAGGAAGTTGGAATATTACTGAAAGGAGGACTTGGGACTGAGGAGCTCAAACATGAAGATAGAACAGCCCAGTGGATGTGAAAATCACTCAGGACTTTTAAGGAGATTGACCCGGCTAAATTATCACTCGGACTTGATCCAGGTCCTTTTAATGTCTGAGTAGCTCCCTCTCCTTTAATTCGAATTATCAGAACTAGAAAAAACAACTCCCCCCCCCCCCACACTGGTCGGTCGCCTCAACGTGGCGTGGGCTGAGGGTGTCGAACTGTGATGCACAGAAGAGTGTATTCTCTGAAGGGCCTCCCAAGCTGTGAAGGAGTTCGACGTCTTCGGTTTCAGCCGGATGCCTAGCTAAGAGTCGGCCAGGCCGTCTTTCCGCCTTCTGGTTTTCCGGTCGCTAGACGGTTCTCCCCGCTCAACACCCGGATCAGGGATCGCCCGTGGAAGTCAAGAGTAGGCCTATGTGGTAAGTCTGCTGTCGTAGGAGAAAATTCTATTACTCCGTCAGCAAGAAGAAATAGAAAAAACCCTACACATCCGGAATCCGCCTACAGCGCCGGGTGGTAGCAAGAACGATGGTCAGGGTCTTCAGGGCGCCTTTTGGATCGGACAAAAACGACACAACTGCCCGGACGACAAGCCATGGAGGCTGCTTCATGCTCTGCACCTACAACGCCAAGACAGTCTCCACAAACGCCGACCTCCACGCTCTTCTCGACGCTACTGAGCACCTCAAGTACCACGTCACCGATCTGCACGAAATGAAGTTTAGGAAGAAGGATGTGCACAGATGAGTGATGGGACCCTCATCATTCATGGTGAGAAGGTTCCATCACGACGACTAGCCATCTCGACTAGCCATCCTACGACTGCGACCTCCACGTCAGAAGACCCTCATCATCATCAACTGCTACTCGCCAACATCAGCAGCTGACGATTAAGAACTAGATTCGTTCTACGAAGACGTTGAGGAGGTCGTCCGCCACGAGAAGTCCTTTTACACGTTTGTTGTGGGCGACTTTAACGCCAAAATCGGGATGCCACTAGAGAAGGATTATAGGAGCGGGAAATTGGATATGAGCTCCGAAATGAAACAAAACAGCAACCGTCTGTGTGGGCTTCTCTCTGCTGGCCGACTGTTTCATGGAAATTCCATCTTCATAAAGAAAGAACATCGCCGGTGGACATGGAAATCCCCAACGGAACGACTTACTCGGAGGTCGTCCCCCACACCAACCGAAGGTGGAGCTTACTCGATATCTTGGTAGTTCCATCCTTCTGGCTCCAATCACTGCCTCCTTCGAGCGAAGGTATGGTTCAGTCGAAAGCTGGAAAAGAAGGTCTGCCACAGTGCCGCAAGAAGGAAGAATGTCGTTTATGACGGTAACAAGCTGGAAGAGCTCATATCAGCTGTGACTGGCCCATCGAGGAGGACCCAACGTACGGCTACGACCCGCTTCTGAAAGGATTGCGATCCTGGGAGAGGGCGTCTTACATCCGAGAAGAACTTGGAACGTATTTCGATGACCACAAGGAACCAGTCGAAAGGAGAGTATCACTGGGTCAAGATCCGAGTGCAACCCATCTCGAGCGACTGATAGCCAACGCCAGTTGCAAAACAGCTTTGCAGGAGGATCTCAGGAAGTACAGGCAAGCCAAGATACTGGAAGCAGCCGAAGGAAGACGAAGTCTCAAGAAGTGCCGAAGGGACCTCTGTGAATCACGTACCGCTGGCGGCACTATTAAACGAAGACGGAATCCGACTTTTCTCGATATAAGATAAATCTATCGCGAAAAATTTTTATACCAACCTTTTCCACTCATCAATACCAGTGGCGATGCCCGTTGCTCCCCCTGGAGAAGTACCACCACAAATCTACTTACTGAAGTGCGCATCAGACCTATAAAGACGTTCGCGGCTGCAGGACCAGACCATCTTTCCGTCGATTTTTTGCGAGCCGGAGGAAAACGTCTACACGAGATTCTAGCGTCGCATGTGACATTTTACCTTCAGAAAGAAAGTAACCCCACTGAAGAGAGTTAAGAACCGTCCTTCTCTTCAAGAAGGGTGAATGGGAGGATCTTCGGAACTACCGTCCAGCTTTTCTCGAAGATTATCCTCGCTCGCATATCTAGGACACTGGATGAAGCCCAACCCCGAGAACAAGTTGGATTTTGGAAAGGATTCAGCTGCATGGACCACATACAGACAGTTTCGAGAGCCATAGAAGTCTGCCGGGTTTCAGACTGCCTCTCGTTAACCTTCGTCGATTACGAAAATGCTTTTGACAAGTCGAAGTCAAGCCATCCTTCCAGCGCCAGTCGATCAAGGGGTGGACCCAGCTTACGTGAGGAGCCGACTGCTACAAGGACTCCACAGTGACGATGCAGCTATTCCATCGCCCCCTGACCATACCAATCGGGAAGGGGGTCCGACAAGGCGACACAATCTCGCCGAAGCTGTTCACCGCGGCCTTCTAGTGGGTGATGAAGTCACTGGACTGGGACGAGAGAGGCATACGAGTTGTTGGGGGATTCCTGTTAAACTTTCGTTTTCCGGACGACATCGTTCTCTTCTCGAGCATTATCACTCTTGAGCAGGGACGATGCTGAAGGAACTAAAGAAGCAGGGAGGAAGATCGGATAACGAATAGATGGGAAGAAGGTTCAGTTCATGAAGAACGTCCTTTGCGAAGATGCAGAAATGGATTAAAAAGCACCCTATCATGGAGACGTGTTCTTATTTGTATCTTATTGTTAGACGTTTGATGAATATGGAGAACGATCAAGGAAAGAACTTAACAGGAGAAGAAAAGCAGCCTGGGCTGCCTTCGGGCCTCTGAAGGAAGCCACCGACCAACTGACGGATTCGAAGCTTCGCCACCTTTTCGACTCAACCGTTCTCCCGGCACTCTGTTAAGCAGCTGAGACTTGGGCCGACACCGTAGCCACGTCGAAAGCTCTAACGAACCACGCACCACCCAAGCGCTTACGCGCAGTTTTCTGAAGGGCCTGACACAAACAACATCTTGTCGGTTCGTAGTACGGATTTGAGAAGAATATCCCGTTTTCATGACTCAGCGGAATACGTTGCGAAAGCGAAACACTGATGGGCCGGTAATATCATGAGAAGATCAGACGACGATGGATACTAACCATAAATCAGAGTGGATTTCTCGCGAAGCGAAACGTCCTCGAGGAAGACCTCCAGCGAGAAGGGCAGACGTTTCGCCCCCGGATTTCGTGGACGCAGCCACCAACGAGTCTGAAGCGAGGGACAGGGATAAATGGAAACTTCTGTGCTGAGGCCCGCACATCACGTGGAGCCGGGCCATCTAAATATCTAAGTAAGTAAAAAAGACATCTGTCATCCTCTAGTGAGACAGAAAGAAGTCGTACATGACGATCGCAGATTAGACGGCATCGTTCTCTCTTCGAGCAGTATTGATGAAGCAAAAACAACACTGAAGGAACCAAATAGAGAAGAAAAGATGATAGGAGTGCGGATAACTTGGAAGAAGGCACACTGCATGGACGATCAATGCAAAGAGTGAATATGAAAAATAGAAGTTTGGAAAGATTTTCATTCATGGAAGCTTCCTCTTACGCACAATGGGACGTTTTGAATGTGGAGAACGATCCGGACCAACCTCGCATTTTCGAACCTCAAAAGAAGTAGGTCCAATCGACTCCATGTTCTTTCTGCGCTCTGCCTCGCAGCAGGACGCGAGCAGAAACTACAAGTACGGCAATACTACTACAAGCACTCAATCATACCCTCGATACATAGAGTCATGTACTGTGGTAACTTTCACTTTGAGGGTCATGAGAGGACATAACCTTCATCTGAAAAATAGAAGTCATCCGGGGTCACCCCGGATGTTATGATCATAACCAATCCAAATGAATGTGGATGAAGCAAGTATAGGAAAAAACATCTTTGAATATCCGAAAACAGAAACATCCCTTTTTCATAGTTATTTTTGGTGCTTCAAAATGAAGTTATCGTATGAATTTTCACAGAATATGGAACAACATGCCTCACTTAACCTCCTTTCAGATTAAAATCAAGTGTCAGAAGTTCAAGAAACTGTTGAAGTTAATAAAAACGAGAAACTGCGCCCAAACTTGCGCAGAGACTCGCGCACGAAAATGCTGGCCTATCCCGTTAATGAATGAATTACAGCAGTTGGGATGTTGTCAGTGCTCCTCGTGTCATGACGATCAGAATGATATATAATGTTGCAGGGTTTCGTTGAGACCCCGCGGAGGTCTGCTACCAACCAAATGCCGTCGGTTCTGATCTCTCTCGACACAAATGCAACGCTTGCAAATAGCAGATAGTTTTTATGTCTGATGCATGCTTGACTTTGCAAAAGGAGGGATTTTCGGCGTTGAAATCAAACAGTATGTGATACAAAAAAGTCCGTCTCAAATTTTCAGGTACTTTTTCACATGAGAGCAGTTAGACTTCCAGAATATTTTTCATATGACATTTTGGTGCCAACTAATGCCATTTTAGAAAACGTTCCATTTTCTTCCAAATTGGGTACAGAATTGCTGAATGAAATAAATTGCGCGCTTCTTGTTTTTTTTCCACCTATACTTAGACGTATGTCGAAACTATCAGTGTTTTTAGGCAATTATACTGATGCATGATTCTTATATATAAATGCTGTTGGTTTTGCAAAGAGAGCTTTCCGACTTGTCTATTTTGTTAGAAAATCGCACAAAGCATAGCCCTTTTTCAAATGACCTTCAACGCTAGATTGTATATTGCATCCCAATCGCGCTTGCTATTGTCCCGTATGTGCTAGTGTTTAATTATTGTTTCTCAAAAAGGTTCGATTTTCATAGTGAGTTTAAGGATTTTTTATGTGAAGATGCGTTCAGCATGCTTCATTCGCTTCTTTTGCTTCATTCTTGTGGAAGGGTTTTTTCAGAGTAATTTGAGAATTTTCAGTGAGATACGTTTGGTAATGTAGACAAAAATGGAATGGTGCACAATAGGAAAATGGGCAATGAGTAATATGATTTTGCTTGTTTTTTGAGTAAAGGTTCAATTTTGAGAGTAAATTTTGGTGGAATTGGGGTTGCACTTAGCTTGACATCGTGATAAACACCACCGAAGCAGACGGAACACCGAAGATGGCATAAAACATCATACCATTGATGACGTCATAGTTTGCACTTAGGTTGAGTCGTAATAACGGTAAATAGTATGGAAGCGGGTGAAAGTGCGAGAATTAACTCTGGGCAAACATCCTTCGCCGGTTGTTGACGTCGGATGGTCCCCCCTAAGCTTTATTATAGGGTATATATGATATCTGGATGATAGTCGTATAGTGTGCAGCAAACTCGAATTGTCCAAAAGGAAATGGCAGAAGTGTTCTCGTACCTCTGTCAGATGTAAACGAGCCCGCAAGAGCCTTGTTGATGTCATTCGTTTGAGAAAACACAGATGCTGCTTCGTTGTCCTGCTACGACCATAACTGCAGTCACTTAAGACTGCAAAAACTTTTATGACTCACAGGTTGTAGCGTAGGGTAATCTGGTGGTGCGATGTAACCCGGATACGGTATGTATTCTCGATGCTGAGCAGAGGGTGCTCGCTGAATCAATGCATCCGACTGCGATACTCCATTATTTAGCGAGTATTTCGAATATGAAGATGCATCATCGTTCACTGCAAAAAAGTGTGATGTAGTCTCTCCTATTTCGGAGGGAACGGTTGGTAGCGGGACTCACATGTTTTTTCACTCGAAAAGGAGATTTGTGATGGAACAGGAGGTGAAGGAGGAGGATCTGCGGAATTATCTGCTGTCCTTAGACTCGGAGAATCCTGACGGTAAACTGGCGCTGGTGGTTGACAACTCTCTCCTAAATCACTCTGTATTGCATGCGTTGAAGAGAAACTACTCTTTTTGAAGGCTCAACATCTACAATCTATAGAAAAGTGTAAATGAAATCTAACCTTGTCGTGCGAAAGCAAAAAAGATTCCAAGAGAAAGAAGAAGTCTGTGATTGAACATATCTGGAATGTAGAAGTATTTACTCAAAGATGATGCTGTACTAGCCTCAACAGGACTGCGGTGGATGTTAGTGATACAATTAGCTTTTACTACAACAACAGCTGTATAATATGTCATTATGAGGGCTGACAGGAAACAAAGAAGTACGGTGGTACAGCTTTGGAGAAAATTGCTTGCATTCATCTTTGAGCGAGGTCTTTTGCGCTGTCTGAGAAGGAAAGCTTCTCTATAAAAGGTAAATTGACTAGTTCTCTATCAGGTTAAGGATATGATTTATTCTATATCTTAAAAAACTAGTCATCTGGTTCACTTTCGAACTTGCGATGATTTTTTGAATCTCTTGATGTCTCCAGGCATTCATCTCTGCAGTTCTGTTTATCTTAGCCGTCCATTTGGCCAGTATACCCATATCTGCTGCCCCAGAAAATTTCTTTTTTTTTGAAGCAAATATTAATTGCATATTATAAGCTTTGTGAATTACTTTCTATCCTATGGAGACCCAGATCGGAGGCGCTTTCTTAAAATGCTGAGATTACGGGGGAATGCCCCTTCGTGACTAGCGATGTTGCAACAAATGTTTCGCTATATATGCTGGTCGTCCCAAAAGTACGTGTGCACTGCTTTATTGTTAAAATATTCTGCACCACTATCTTTCACCGATCACTAGGTACCATTCATTAAACCTTATTTCAACATAACCTCGTAGTATAAATCACATATGGCCCCGGGCAGAGTTCACGCTCATCGTCGCGATCGTCGCTACAAGACAAGTGTTACGAGTTAATTGCATGCCGATCTTCTTGTATTTCGGTTGTGATACTTCACGACTAGTCGTGTTGGAAATCTACTACAACCGAAATGCAAGAAGATCGGCAGGCAATGATATTGCTACAGTTGTCTTGCCGCGATCAATCCTGACGATGAAATCGCGTGAACTCTGCCCGAGGCCTATCGCCTTTCATCATTGTAGGACGGTGAGGCCAACAAAGTCCCTGATCTGATAAAATCTGCACTTTATCGTAATACTTCGGTCATAAATTCTGCAGCTTCTAGCTTCTTCCTTCAAAATGTGATCATTCTCAAGAAGCTTTAAAAAGTTGCAAAAAAATAGATAAAGAAAGTAGCATGCTTGAGAACCCTTCACAACTTTTTTTGATTCTTTTCTTCACAGTTTCTTCACAATAGCGCTGGTTGCTAAAACTTTCACCATAGTCCTTCGATGATAAAAGACTACCAGTAATTTGCTCCATACTGAATATCTAATGTAAGTTGAAGCCAACTCTACGGAATGGTCTTTGACGATGTACGAAAGAAATACAGGAGAGGTCAACGGCCGAACAGTGCATAAAGTCCAGTCTTTTTAATATGTATTTCACAAAAGGCGCCTACTTGGTGTTTTCTTTAATTAGAAGCCGGTGACGAAATGTCCCTGTTTTCTTCTCTCTTTTAGCGTAAGTGGATAAATATCGACTAGTAGCATAAGTTTCAAGAGCTCGTACTGCCTGGAAACTATTTTATTACGAGTCGTGGACTACCGCGCTAGGTGCAGATTCACACATTATGTTACAAATGACTCGCCCATTCACGCTTTTGGAATATATATGCGCTTAGTTGCTTTCTTTGGCATCTACGCATAGTATTCTCAACTGCTCCTCAACATGCACACATTATAATAGGCTGCTGCATAAGTTCTGTCCGATTCTTTTTGCCATATGATTGAAGCAGCTGTTCTACGAGATTTTCATTTCTGATGCGGTATTTTTAGCACTATTAGGAAGTGCTTTTCTTGCTCTTTCAAACGCTTATCAAATTCCAATAAATTTCTTATTGTAAGGAGATTTCGGGCCTAAAACCTTCAAATGGCCGAGGTACGTTCTCACCCTAGAAATAGATTCTTGCGAGGAAATCTCCACAATGCTCCCTTCAAGTCAAGTTCTTTCATTAGTTGCGGAATAAAGGTGTAGAAGGCTAGTATATGCAAAAGCTCAATTCGAAAGAAAACGTCTTGCGAGTAAAATTTATTGTCGAACATTAATGTTTTGTATAGATGTTTTACAAGCAATAACTTTCTGCGAATAAAAGTAATCGATGAGTTGAAAGTTGGAGGTGCTAGGGTAAAGCAAGAGCTAGGAGGGCCCGTCCACCAATTCTTTTTCGGCGTTCACGTCAATTGTAAAATTTTCAAAATTCGTAAATAGGCATGTGCACATGCGCTGAAGCGAGATCAAAAAGTGGCTTCTTTTTTGCTCGGTCAAAAAAAAATCTCTCGGCAACGCAGATCCTATGGGCTCTTCCATGTTACAATATAATCTACGAATATTTCTCTATCCATCCGTTGTTGGGTAAGATGCCTATCAACTCTCATAAGGGAGCATTGCCATGTCAAAGAAGACAAGTTTAAAACGCTGTGAAGTATTTGAATTCTTGCTTCTTCCTTAGCAAGGATTTTCGCAAGTCTCAATATGTATTTGATCCAAGGAACTGCACAACAAACAGAAACTAAGATCTTGAAAAAAGTTGACTTTGAAAAAAGTTATGACATCTTGAACCCAAAAAATTCAAATCGGACAGAACTTATGCAGAGCCTATTAAATGCTAAATGCTTAGCGCAAGACAAAGAATTGTAAAAGTTCTTATGATATAACTCGAACGAATAGTGGCCCTCCAAGGTGAAGAAAGTGAATGAGTCTAATGAGATCAGTCTTTGCACAGAGATACCCACGTTTGTGCCTTTAACTTACTCTTCAACCTAATGACGGCACTGATCATTCTATGATCTAACTCTTTATTAAATATTTATAAAATCATGCGTGCCATCTTACCCATTGATGACGACGTTTAATTACGATGGGCTGCGGGACGCGACTTATCTTATCCGGTTTCTAGGAACGTAGACAGCATGTTTAAGACGGCAACTATTTGCAAGACAGCGTTATTTCCGTCAACAGTCCAGAATAGTATTTTAGTTTCGTGAAATTTCGTGCGCAAAGATCATAACTGTCATCACGGCATGTGGGCATTATACTTTGGATCGAAACGAATAAATATTCGAGTATTCGAATGTATTCGAATAAATTTTATTCGAAATTCGATTATCCGAAAATTTCAAAATTTCGAATATATTCGATATTCGCTTATTCGAAATTTGTCAATTTCGAATTTATTCGATTATTTCGGTCGAAAATTTTGATTTTCGAAAATATCTGAACATTCGAATATTTATTTTCAAAAGTTATTCGATTATTCGACAATTTCGTATAATCGAATAACGACATGACAGCGTCACCATTTTGACTGCTATATCAGCAAACATCGTTTGTTGTCAAAGTTGCCCACTGCATGGAGTCCTTCATTGTGCTAATTCGATCAATCTTGTTTGAATATTCGACATAATCGATGCAGAATATTCGTTTATTCGGATTTTCTCTCAAATATATTCGGCTATTCGGATTTTTTTCATTTCGATATATTCGATATTCGATTATTCGACGGGGGATGGGTGATGATGTCACTGGACTGGGATGAGAGAGGCATACGAATGCTTCGTTTTGCGGATGACATCGTCCTCTTTCCGAGCAGTACCACTGAAGCAGAGACGATGCTGAAGGAACTAAACGAAGTAGGGAAGAAGATCGGACTGCGAATAAATCGGAAGAAGACTCAGTTCATGAAGAACGCCCTTTGCGAAAAAAAAATGGAAACAGAAATGGAATTGGAAGGTACCCCTATTATGGAGACGTCTTCTTGCGTGTATCTCGGACGTTCGATGAACATGGAGAACGACTTGAGGGAAGAGCTTAACAGGAGAAGAAGAGCAGCCTGGGCCGCCTTCGGGCCTCTGAAGGAGGCCACCAACCAACTGACGGACCCGGAGCTTCGTGCCCACCTCTTCGACTCAATTGTTCTCCCAGCTCTGCTACGCAGCTGAGACTTGGGCCGACACCGTAGCCACGTCGAAAGCTTTAAGGACCACCCACAGAGCGCTCGAGCGCAGTCTTCTGAAGATGACCCGACACAAGCAACATCTAGTCGGACTTCGCAGCACGGATATGAGAAGAATGTCCCGTCTTCGTGAACCAGCGGAATACGTTGCGAAAGCGAAACACCGATGGGCCGGTCACATAATGAGAAGAACAGACGATAGATGGACATTAAGAACATCTGAGTGGATTCCTCGCGAAGCCAAACGTCCTCGAGGAAGACCACCGACGAGATGGGCAGACGTGTTCGTGGAACTGATGGACCAGCTGAAAAATCAGCGGATACGATTTTCGCCCCTGGAACTCGTGGACGCAGCCACCGACGACGACCAAGATGATCGTGGATGTCCGAAGCGAGGGACAGGGATCAATGGAAACTTCTGTACTGGGGCCCGCACGTCAGACGGGCCATCTAAGTATCTAAATAGATTATTCGACGATTTTCTTATTTCGAAAATATTCGATATTCGAATATTCGATATTTTTTGTTTCTGAAAATATTCGAAATTCGATTATTAGAATTTTTGTTTTTCGAATATATTCGGTTTTTCGATTATTCGAGAAAATTCCCGAATATTCCAAAGTATAGTGGGCATGCCGTTTGTAGGGTGGCGATAGATTTGAAAAAAAAACTAGGCGTTTGTTGGTACATAAATTTTATCAACTTCTTATATATATTCTTAACGCAACAGTCATGTAAAATACGGCAGCTTCAGCAACATCATACAGAATCAAACGAAGCCCTCAAAACTATGTATCGCAATCAACACCTCATATGGTTGGTCAAAAAAGTTCTAGGAAAATTAAGATAAAAAAATTTCCGTTGTTAATTTTTCTTGCAAGAATGTGTGATGTAAATTGGCTAATACGTATAATGATTACCAGTGGACCGAGAACTTTCGTTTGGAGGAGGCAGGGAGGGGGGGGGAGCGACAGAAATTTTGATGAAGTGCTTTTCGTTAGCCACGCATTCCGAAAAAGTCTTTGGTATGCTCCCATAATTTTCGCATACCCATAATCCCAAAACTTCAGAAGAAAGCGGCATGGCGACAGAAAAAAAATCCCTCCAAAAAAATTTTTTTGTAAGGTTAATTTGAACTTCGCTTATTCACAAATCTAAGCAAGTCACTTGCATCTTTTCACAACTCATGTAAATAACTATCAAATTCGCGACACATTTTCGGAAGTTGCTCGCAATAAATAGGTTCGCTTGCCCCATCGGTGTTCAGAGAGAAGGAGGCAATCTGCTCGAAGAATCATAGTCTTCTCATGTCCTTCAAGTGAACTCATCGTCAGTTAGGTTCAAAAATGAACGAGAAGAATTCAGAGGTTATGACCAGACTTATATCCTTTGCTAGGATATGGTAGAAACAGAAATTCATGGATTTACTGATGAAAATGTTTTTCTCGTCCACGTAAGCGTGGGGGGGGGGGATCTTCCTTTCCTTTCTGATTCGACTCGAAATTTTGTTGTGTAGAATTGCACCACGCATAAACGAGCCATAAAAACTATATGAAGAACCCTGTTTTCCTTCTTATAAGCCGCACCTACAGCAGCGAACATTGGCACAAAAATGTCCTCGTAAAGACTGTTTCTAAACAAACAAACTGATGACTCGGTGGACTTTTTGACTGTTCTTTATGCGCATATTCAGTTTTCAAGTATTTCTTGACTCCTTTCGAACATTCGGACGATTGTTTAGGTTGTATTTTCTTTCCTCGAGTGTACAATGGTATTGACGGGGCTTTCTTTTGTTTTCTTTAATTTTTACTGATGTTAAAGCTGCGCTATCAATCAATTTCAATAATTTTGATGATACGGCTGATCAACGGTGCTTTCAATGCATTTGCAACAAAGGACGAAAGCAGAAACTTATTATCAGGCTCCTAGGTAAAAAAAAGTAATTGGCTGCTTGTGCGGCTTCGCGCATCGTGACCGTCTTCGCACATTTGCTTGCGCACGATGAAATTAATTGCGGCTTATATGCCAGAAAATAGGGATAAGTACATTGATTCTGACGCGCATACATGCCCTGTTCCCATTAAAAACTCCCCTTTTCTCTCTGGATACGCATTTGGGATCAAACAACCGAGGTAGTTTGCTAGAATATCTGGTCCTGGTATGGGAACGAATACATTGCTTGCATTTTAGGCAAAAAAAAACTTTTTTGCGGTGTCACTGGCGTCTACATACGAAAGTAAATTGAATAAATAGCTAGATATATGGCATGATTTCTTGAACTTGATCTAGCAAAGAGGGAAAGCCTATATTCAATAAATACATCTGTAAATTTCAAACCAGCAGCATTAGTGTTTTTATTGCTTTAAAATCTGAGAGCAACAATTGCAAGTGAGACAATGAAGTGACGAGAAACAGCAAATACTCTTAGTTCTCTTTGCACTAACTGTATCACAGAGGTGTAATTTATTGGCGACAGCGTGGCTTAAGATGATCTGTAGTTTCACAAAGTTACGTATTAAAGAAAAAACATGAAGATCTTTTTAGAGGATATATTGGTAGCTCAATGCGGCAATGTGTTAACAGCACGGCAAACGATAGAGAAAGAAGAGTTGTGATGGGTATCTGTGGATGTTACACATTGGCTCTTACAGTATTATCGTAATCGTGAGAACTCGCACAAATGCATATCACACCAAATGAATGAGGGCGGCACATTTGAAAGGAGACAGAAATCACATCATGTAAAACGCCCAGACGATGGGGGTCAACCAAACACTGAGCTGGTCGGAGGAGTTTAGAATTAGGACATGCGGTGATGCGTTCACTAGAAGGCAATGAGCCGCGATACAGCAGTAAATCCGTCCGGACCTCGCGTTGCGCTTCGACTGGGCAAAGAAGGAAAATCGTCGAATTTTCGTAAAAAGCGACAGAACGAATGAACATGAATATCCAACATTGGTCTGGTGAAGTCTGGGGTCTACGGAACGCTTAAATATACGTTTGGGATTTTCCCTGTCAAAACTGTCTTCACTCTCAGGTCTGTTCCAATTTCCAAGATTACTGTTTACTGATAGGCTCTTTCACAAGGCACCATGATGAGCTATTCGTTTCAGGTATAAAATTTATGCTCGTTGCCAGCAGATGTTTCAATAAGATCGTACGCGCATGCGCTATGACCTTATGGGAAAGGTGTATAAGGGCTGATTTTTGTTTTGCCAGATGGGAAGATTATAGATATGAGCAGTTTTGGAAGAAGATTATGCTGATAGTAGTGGCAGATTTCCGAAGCAATCCCTTATTTCTAAACTGAACGGAAATTGTACTCTGTATGACGACTTTATTGCTTTGGAACTGCTCTATTCGGACAAGAATGCGTAAAAAGCGGGAAAACCATAAAAGAAGCAAAAATCAATACATGTGGATTGAGCAGAAATATACGGGAGCTGCATGGAAGTGCAGCAATTAGATTTTCTGCGAGGGTTTACTGCTGCTATAAGCTAAGGAGCACAAATCATAAGATAGAAAGTATGGAAACAAAAAAGGAGGAGATCAGTACCGGTACATGAAAAACATATGATTAATTGGAATGATTAGAATTCAAAGTCGGCGGACTGCACATGGCTTTCCACTCAGCTGCAATCGTAAACGATCTACGGCCAGGAATTGGTTTTGTCGTACGTTAGTTGTAATTAGATAGACCTAAACAATCAAAGGTTGTCTATTGTTACTTGCTAAAATTTTGACTCTATCTTGCCGCTCGGCAAAATCTCACCTTCCTCACTCCTTTTTGCAACACAATAGAATTGTCTCGAATCCAAAACGCATTTTTCGAGACTGATGGTGATTCGTATAAGCAATTTTCAAATGAATCCACGCAGACCTAGATTTATAAGTTTACTTGCAGGCAAATCCGGTTCTGCTCAGCCCTGGCAATATTATAATGTAATCCATGCTCTTCACCTCTACGTGCCAACTCCCAGTCCTTTAGCTCAAACTTCGCAAAAAATCAATAAAATATTGATCGGCAACGAAAAGCAGCCTACGATACCCGCCCGGGCTCAAAGTGTATATGTGCCGATTTTGGTCCGTGGGTTCAGTAAAGGAATTTTTTATTTGGAACATACGTACACACAGACATATAGACAGACAAACAGACTTTCAGTTGTATATAAGACTAGTATATAAGAATTTTATGAAGTGCTTCCAGGACTTGCAGCTTCAGCAAGGAAAGGAAATAGAAAAGTACATGGCTGACACGATTCTTACAAATGTCATTCTGCTTTGGTATGGAACTTTGCTGGAAAATAAAAGAGATTAGCTTCTTGTTCGCTACCATTTGAAGTGTTGCGTATTTGCTGAACAATTCTACAAAGCTCGTTGAATACTAGCGACTTCGATTGAAGACTAAATCCCCGAATTGTGGAGTTTGACACTGCGAGGTCTAGAGTGGAAAAACAAGTAACAAGGAAATATGCGCTCAATTTTTTCAGAAATGAAACACCGGCGTGATATTGAGATTTCATTCCAAAAGCTTCTGATGCAAAGATATTGGATAAAAAAGACCTCGAGTAGTTAATTATCACGGCATCTTCTTATACATAAAAGAATGTTTGTTTGTGCCTGTATGTCTGTCTTACACCTGTCCCGAATAGAAATTTTTATTTCTAAACCGATCAGGGTCAAGCTTTGCACGCATACACTTCGGTGCGAAGCGGCTGTCGTAGGCTACTTTTATCGATCGTTATTGATTTTAGCGATTTATTGCAGAGCCTACTCTACGGAGCTGGGAGCAGGGTCAAGCGTGTTGACGCGATCCTGGACCCTCATTTACGACCCCCCCCCCCTTGAAGGTTCCCATCCGTACGACCCCCCCCCTCTTCCCCCCTCCCTCCCCCTCCCCCATCTATCCCCCTTACCTTCCCTGCCCACATTTCTCGCGGTAACCTGCATAAACGAATGTCATTCTCAAAAAACACCTGCATGAGAACTTCAGTGAGGTTCCGGAAGCAGAATTGCTAGGCCAATGGGTGCGCCCAGCATCTGTAGCACATATACACACCTTCAATAATGTTTGAGATTCTGCAAGCTTACTTTTGAATTTTCAGGCACACTTCAGGCCAGCAGATTCGATTCCCGTATGCGACACAAATTTTTACACGGGGAACAAAATGACATTCTTGAACTACAAAAGATGTTTTCGACTAAGAAGCTTAGTTCTTACCTCTTCCACAGTTTTTCCTGCGAAAAAAAAACCGCTTTGGCGCCGTCCAGAACGATGTCAAAAACACGCATGAGCACGGTAGTTTGAAAATTCGTAACTAAGGCCAGGAAAAGACTGAGAGGCTGCAAAGAACAGTAGCATAGTGCCCAGACTATTCATAGAAAAAATTTCAGCCCTTTAGAAGCAGTGAGCTCGAAAAAATTTAGATCAGGCTCTCGCAAATTTAGATGCGATCTTGAAAAGCAAAAGCTGGGATTTTTGAGCTTAAAATTTTGTAACTTACCAGAGAAGTCATAAAACAGCCTGCATTTTTTAAGGGGGAAAGAAGGAGGATGGCCTCGTATTACAGCAAGTTTGCAGCTAACAAGCTTCAGTAGCTCCGGAGAAATTTAGATCAGACGCAGATACGACCCCCCTTTTCTCATTTTTTGCTACCATAAATAAAATCATAAGAAAATCCGCAGTTTATAAAATAACGCCAGATTTCGCATAGCAGTAGCAGAACTTATCTAAAGTACATATAAATTGTAAGGGCCGCATAAGTGGCATTACAAAAAGATTTACGAATTATTGATTGTCATCGTTAATCTACATGTGCGCTTTTGTCGAGTGTGCGAGTCTTCAGTGACCCTTCGGAAGCAGGATGTCTACACCAATCGGTACATCCAGCATCTTTATCACACATACATGCCTTTAGTAGCATTTGAGCTTCTGAAAGTGTTTTTTTTTTTGATTTTAGTCATGCCTGCAGTTCGATCCCCGTTTGAGACAATATTTTGCGGGAGAGATAGCGATTCCCATTAAAAAAAAAAGAAGTAAGTCATAATCTTTCAAAAGTGCAGCAAATGAAGCGAATTTCTACGCATGCAGATGTTTTCAAATCATTGTTCACTCGTTTTTATTTGATACATTGGTACACGGCATTCCATGGATTTATTGTTAAGAACATGTAATAAGTACTTGCTATTTGATTTGCTTTCAATCATACAGTTTTTTATCCAAACTACCCCCTCTTACAACCCCCCCCCCCCTCACCGTAGGCCCCCTTTACGACCTCCCGTTGCGACAGTCGCATCACACGCTTGACCCTGGCTGGGAGCCAGCAAAATGTGCATGGTAATAACTGATATGTCAATGACAGGGTCGGGCGGAGCCGGATTAGCCGGCTAGTTGTAAATGTTGACAAGTGGGAAATAGATACATCTCTCCACAGCTTACCTTGAAATGGGGTGAGTAAGATCTGAGGTATACGTCAAACAAGAAGTTGGCATCAGTGGAGATTGTGATTTTTGGAGATTCCATCACAAAAATCTCATTTGATTCGTCCGCGTGGTCGCGACCGACATAGGCAAATCCAACTGCAGTATAAAGAAATGGAAGAAAGTCGAGCAGAGTTCATGTTCTGCTACTGCTTGCACGGGTTGAAAAGCCAATCCGTACCCTCCTCACCTCGATTCGAGTCGTCTTGATTTAGTCGTTGCACTCCGGTGTGTCGATTTCCCACGAAACTCGTGCCGATGAGCCATGGCGACCTACATGTGGCCGTGAAAGCGAAACACAATGAGTAGTGTGTAGTGTAAGACCCACGTGCTGCCGAATCCACTAAGTTTATAGAAGCAAGAATGGTTGTGGTTAAAATCACAAGTGAGGCCCTCGCATGCGACTATGTCGGGGTCATCTTCCAAAGCGGTCGAATCAACCTGTAAATCAATCTCAATTCAGCCCTCTGCTACTTGCACTAGCGAAAATCATTCTATAATCCACATAGATAATTTGAAATCTGGAAGGCGACTTGCCGAATCGTCAGCCAATGACCCCTCAACAATTTCGGGTCAAGGCTCATCACAGAGCACAATATTTTGGGATCTGTTCTCGGATCCGCGCTTAGCACGTATTTGCTAAGAAGACACATCGCGAAAGATTTATTTTGATTGTTTATGGTGTGGCGTTGACGGAAGCCGTTAAAGAGTAAGAGTGAATTTCGATGGTTACTTGACACCAATTTTTATAATGTCTATGCGACTAAGCGTTTTCTCTTCTTGTTTTTGAATAAGTTATCTGTGCTTGCATATTGTACAGATTGGGGTAACACATTTGAACAAAATATGGTCATTTCCTCAAAAATAGGGCACATCGCATAGAAACTTTTAGTGCTTAAATTTAGCACCAGAGAGAAAGAAAAGGTTGTGAGGCGAAATTTGCAATTATATCAAAATAAAGAGATTGTTGCCTATTTCTCTTTAAAGTTTTGACATACGTCTATAGTCGTTTTTATGCTGCTCCGATGATGATTTTACCATGTATAATGATTGATGATTGTACCATGTATACGCATGGTAGTCATCCTCCATCAGTGAAGGTGGTTGTTTTTGAAACAAGGCTAATCGCTGTAAAAATCATTTAATAAAGGTTGAGAGTTTCCGGAAAATCTCCAGGGATACGGCTTGCGTTTTGTGTAATGAATGACTTTCTAGTTGAGATTCATTCTAGCATTTAAGCTAGTAAGAACCAACTATTGCTTGTATGATGCCTTTTGAAGAGCATGTCCTGTGAGAGCATCTTTTCTACTGTGCAGAACACCTGTTTGAATTGATAACATACTCTTTGGCTACAAATATCTGTGAGGCTGAATTCAATGGATGTAAAGAATTGGAACTGCAGAAATTTCGTGATTCGAGCACAGAAACTTAGATCATACCTTCACAGCGTTTGCTCTAGTGTCCCCATCGACTATTATTTCTGTTCCAACCCAATCTTGTGTTGCATGGTCAACAGTGGGCTCATTTGTATCGGCATCTCTAGTTATTTTATTGATGGACAAATGGGGTTGAATCTGGAAAATATGTTTTGTTGTTAGATCGATCACCATCATTCATAGGCAAAACGCACACTTGAAGTTAGTAGGGTGGGATCCGTTACAAAGTTTTGTTCTTTCTCATCAACCTGAAAAAAGCAAAGCCTTAAACAAGTGTTTGAGACGATATCAAAAGTGATATCATTTCCCTGTAAGAGTCATTATCCAGTTATCATCAGAGAGCAATGCAACTTTCTAGAGCCATTTCCTGTTCTTGACGAATACTCAAAGTTGTCTCTAGACAGCTCCTCGATCATTTATCAAGATGATAAGGGCGCCAAACTTAGTATGCTTAGCATTTGCCTGTTATGGAATTCACAGAACGAACAACAAAGAGCTAACAATAAGCCACATTTTCCTTACTACGCTAGCATCGCGTGTGGTCACTATGTATAGTCATGAACGAGTTTCAACGCGCGATTATTTCGCATGGCGATAAACTTCGGTGTGGGGAATTACCAACCATTATGGACTTTCTTCTTTCAAAATTCAACCTGGGGAGCTGTTTTCATAGAGCGTTGATAGGTAGACGCGAACTCAATGCATGAAGGCCACCTTTGAAAAGTTACAACCGCTTGATACTAAGTGTATGTCTTGGCCGATGACAATTCCGCTGAAAAATCGTCAAAAATCACCGACTCCGGATCACTGAATTCCGTGCCGCTTCGCCATATCTTGGTTCAAAATGGAAGAGTTCCAGTTCCGAGGGCCTGTACGCCCGTTTGGTTGTGGTAGATGTACGGTAGGCGGTCAGCTATCACGAATTCTTGATTTTCGCTCATCTTAGATGACTCATAAGGGAATGGTTAGAAATTGAAGTGGCTAATCCGAACAAGCTGCATATAGCACATAGCACGCAGCATAAAACGCTAACTTTGGATGTGCATTTTATATCTGCTTAGCGCTTATGTGGGCGAAGTAACGAGCCGTTCAAGCCGTTTTTTGCTAAGAAATAGTGCATGCAAAGCGCAAATCTGACAGTACAGAGCCATGTGAGCCATGTTGGGCTTAAAGGCAGCGTCCAGGCAATCTGGACGCATGGGAATGTCCAGGCAAGTCTGGACGCATGGGGATCTCACGTGGATAGTGATTTTGGGGCCCTAACTAAGCCACTGCCCAACCGGCAGCTCAGGTAGTGCTCTAACGGCTGAGATATTCTCCTTGAAACTGAACCCCGGGATCGTATTTCGCATGGATTCATGGTGCAAAGCGTGGGTCCTCGTGCGAAACTGCCATGAATCCATGCGAACACGATCCTAGGTCCACTTTGAAGGCGTATATCTCAGCCGTTAGTGATTCACCTGCGCTGCCGCTTGGGCAGTGCCTTAGTTAGGGCCCCAGAATTACTTTCCACGTAAAATCCCCATAGGTCCAGCTCTGCCTGAACGGTGCCTTTAACGCTGGGCCAAAAGATGCAGCTAGTTTACCTCAAATAAAAGCCTAAAGGTGAACTGAAAGCGCAACATGTGCTCAATTTCTACGTACGTTTTTCGCAATGAAACTGCTCATTGTCTACAAAGTCGCTAAGAGATATGAAATAAAGTTTCGATATCGGCAATGAATGCCGCATCGAATGATAGGCACCTTGCTTGAATTGGCCACTTCGACTTCTGACCATTCCCTTGTCAGTGCGATTACCCATGGTACATTGAGTAACCTAGGCAAAAGTCTACGCAATCTTGCCGCCTACCGTGCGCTTGCCATATTGAATCAGGTTCCTCTATATATCAGAAGATGCGCTTTGCCGAGCTGAGTCAACGTTGCCCTTGGAATTAGAGTTTGTCACTTAAATCAAAATATGGCGATGCGAATGCAAATTTCGGCGAACTTCGGTGGAGTTCGGTCTGATAGTTATGAGCAGTACTGTGAATGCACTTCCAGTAACGATGATGTCAAAGGGTGAGCGGCCAGACGCAGCAGCCCAAGAAGCCTGAACAGTTTTTTGTCCAAAGCCCCTACACTGGACACATTATAATCTTTGAATGTCAGTCTGCGAAGGAATTGCCCTAATATAGCAAGCCAGAACCATGTATTATATGTAAATAGCCAATCAGATTTTTTAATGAAAGTGCAGGAATATATGAGTGCAAAATCAAGGCCATCACCCTTCAAAACGTCATTAAAATTCATGATTGGAGATTTTGATTTTGGAATTTCTACATATTTAAGACTCGAACAAGTTTAGACCACTGCAAATGTGGTATTAGACGGCAGTACTCTAACCTGGACAATAATGAATTTTTGAGCAACCCACCAATTCACAAAGCTGTCCTTCATAGTAGAGGCTGTCAATCAAGACGATATCTATGCTGTTTATATTCAGTATTTCAATTCGGACTGTGATCGGTTCGACAGAGTGTGGTATAGTGATGTTTATCGGGTTCGGAACATCATATGCATTCTGTAAGCTAAAGATTAAAACTGATCACAAAATGATGTCGTTGCGCGAGTCTCATAATGAGACTGAGTGTAAATTCACCTCACAGTGTCCCGTACCATTCAACCATGATACGCAAAAACGTAAAACCGGGGTGTTTGTGAGGGACCATATACTGAAATTTCAATGATGTGGGATCAAATCATTTCCTATATTCTGATACGATTTGTTGTTCACTTACTCAAACTTGATTACCGCTGAATCATATTGACAAGGTATTGTGGTCTCCAGTACGGCCTTTCCAGTGACACCGTCTGGACCGCCTTTGACAAGAAGAAATATGTTCCCTAAACGGTAGAAAAACTAGCAAATTGGCAAAAATGCTTTTAAAACATCGAAACTCACTAGGATAAAAAGGTCTAGGATTGGAGCAATCGAAACGATTTTGATCAAAAAATGAGTTCCATTCAGCTTTCGAGAAACTAAAGGAGTGAATGTAACCGTTGTCTCACCTAACGCCCTTGTAAGTAACTAAAATAATTTTTAAAAATTCAAATTACCCTTGTAAAAAAAATTTTTTTCGGGGGCGTGGCTGCCGCCACGCCCCCTTTTCCCAAGATTTTGGGGTCAGGGGGATGCTAAAATTTTGGAAAGCATCCCAAAAAAATTTTCGGAGTGCGTGGCTAATGCCATGCACCTTCATCCGAAAAATTCCCCCCCCCCCCTCCCTCCGAGCGGAAATCCTGGGTACGCCACTGCTGCACATTAACATTTGAAAAAACTGAGCCGGAGTGATTTCAAGCTCTCCAGTGGGGTTTCAAAGCGGTAGAATCTTGATTTGCCTAGGATGTTTGAATCTGCCGATCATTAATTTGACCTCGTCACTACTCAGTTCTTCCCAAAAACAAACGGAATTGCTGGCAGAAAATAATATTGTGAATCTTATATATAAAGCTGTCTGTCTTTCTGTCTGTACGTATGTCCGGAATAAAAAATTTTATTTCTGAGCCGATTCGGACCAAACTTGGCACACATACACTTCGGGGCAGGGAGCGTGTCATAGGCTACTTTTCGTTATCGATCGATATCGATTTTATCGATTTTTTGCAAAATTTGAGCTACGGGGCTGGAGTTGGCACAGGGGGGTAATCGAGCATGCTGATTACAAATATGTTATTGACAGGGCCGGGCGGAGCCGGGTTTGCCAACTAGTATATTATATTGGTAATCTCTGCAAACTCGGCGAATATTATTGATCATTCGTGTGTAAATCTCGCTGTCAGAAGTGGGGCAGTAAGCATTTGACTTGATATCGGCTTACTATGATTTCTTGAAGACGGTGCTCAAGCAAGTGGTAGTTCAACAAACACGGCACTTGGAATGTCAAAACCAAAACTCTACAACCCTTCCCTCCCCCCCCCCCCCCCCCCCAGAGGCAGCCCGGACGAGGTTGTGTGGGGCAAGGTAGTACAGTATCGAAGAGAATTGTGTGGGAAGTATGGAGGACCCAATGGCGAGTGACTCAGTATGAGTTAGCGGCTCATTGATTAACATGAGTGGAGGAGGGCGGATGGAGGACTCAAGCCGGAAGCAGAATTTTTTTCGAGCCGATTTTCTTTCTCTAGAATTGCCGCAGTTTCCTCTCGACAGTTATTTAGTTGGGGCCAGTTTGGATGCCGTATGGAAGCGCTTCTAGTTTTTCGCTTTTTTTGCCTATACAGCTAAGCCGCCTAAGCCTCGGACCTTAATCTCAAGCCCCACCATTTCAACCTGATAGTAAGGTGCGGTCAGTATAATTCCATCATTCTTCAAAGCATTCGCTTTTGAAGCTTCCATACGTTGGTGAGCCGCGCACTTCGAGGGCCTTTACTTAGTCCGTAATATTACAGCTTTACTTTCATGGAAATATAAAGTCGTGACATAAGTTTCATTACACTTGCAGGATATCCTCACAACTTTATTAAAAGACTTTTCCTCACTCATAACAAGTGGAAGGTTGTAGATTTTCGATATATACAGGGCTTATCAAACGCATTGTCGCTTGCATCAGCATCTCCACCCTCGCGCTGGACTCTGCATCTCTTCCGCGAACATGCTCTCTCATCACTTTCCCATGGCGAGCGTGGGAAAGTGGGAGTCTCAATTGATTGGAAGTAATTAGAGAGCATGTTCACGGAAGAGACGTAAAGTCCAGCGCGGGAGCGGAGATGCTGATGCAAGGAACACTGCGTTTGATAAGCCCTGTACATATCCCACACGAAGAACTTGAGTTATGAATTTTCTGATTTTTTTCGATATTTTTGGCAAATTAACATGCTTTGTAGCGCTTGAGCTTCCAGACTGCCTTCATCTTATCACTGGTGCTCCCGAAAATTCGAAGATCTAGAAAAAGAAAGATCTAAAAACACGAAAAGGGATATTAAAATTCATAAATGAAAAAGAAAAAGTGAGTTTGACCCGACACAAATTTGCCTTCAAACGTACGATAAACATGTTCGACAGATGAAAATCCTGCCAGTGGATAGTATGAGCCTTCACCGAAGTTTCTTTTTTCGGACGTCGTGCAGGAGGCAGCGAAGGCTCACCGCATTTGCTTCTGGTAGTGCCTGGGGAGCTTCAGATTTCTCGCGCCTCTAATCACTTTTCGCACCTATGAATTTACTAGCTAGAGAATTGAACGAAAATGCTTTTGAAGAGTATGTCACCCTGGATCGAGAATCTTGCAATTCTTTCAATCTCAGCTATAATCGTTTTCAGTCTATTTAAATATCTGGTTCAGGGCTTTTACTCCAAAATTCGTAACAGAAGGAAGTGATTCTGCCGCAGAATAAAGGAGTGCAATTTGTCTTCAAAGTCCTTGTCTTCGATCGGAATAACTGAGAAAGATTTATATGTTTGAGATTCTGGTTTTGAGATTGAATAGACCATTTCATACTTTCAAATCATTTGACATTGAATGGCTATCTCTGAATCTTTTTGAACTTGTTATCTTATTTGCCATGGATTCAAAACATAAAAGCTATCTCAAAACTTGCCACGCTTTGAAAAATCAACGATCAATTTGGCATAGGTCATATTAAGTAATTAGAAGTGCGAAGAAGTAATCAGAGGCGCGAGGAAGTCTGAAATTCCCCAGGTAATTCCATGAGCAGAATCGGCGAGCCTTTGCTGCCTCCTGCCCGACCGCCTCTTTTTTCGAAGGAAAACGAAGAAAAAGGGACGAAACTTTTACCACCACTGACTTATAATATCAAGCAGTAGATAATACCCTATGTCAGGAAGAATGCCTTTACAGTGTATCCGTTCGTACTGTTGAATGACTAATTCGATGTAAAATATCCATTTTATGTTTGCAAGAAAAACCAAACAAAGGAAATTACTTGAGATCTGCGTCCATCGCGTTGTGCCAGCTGCAATACTCCCTGTCGTCATCGAATCCACAGGTGATCCTGCCTCCCGCTGAGACAGCAAGGCTATTTGACATTGGATAAACTGTAGCAACTTCCATAATCTCTAAACACTTTATCGTTTCGCGGATGAAGCGGAACAAAATACGTAGCAATTAAAGGCAGTGGATCAGCAGAATGGACCTGTGTCAGATTTTGGTAAAGTTAAGTGTAAACCCCCGAATACACCGTAGCCCTAACCCCACTCTCCAGTTCATGCGCCAAGTCTTGAAAAAAGCGCTTCAAAACTCCACCAATGACGCCTACCCAATGGAAGTGGGAGGGATTGGTGGAGTTTTGAATCTCCATTACAGGGCTTAGAGCATAAAATGGAGGGTGGGATTGGGGCTACGGTGTATTGGGGGGGGGGGGGAGAGGTCCATTCTGCTGATCCAATGCCTTTAATTCGATCTCACCTCCTGCGTTGTACGGTGGCGAAACCAAGTAGCACTTGTCTGTCAGCTGCTGAATAGGTAAAGCAGGCATGGTAGACGCCAGGGAGACTCCATTAGCGTGGGACGATCTTGGCTGCAGCTGGTGGAAGTTGTGACAAGCTGTAGAGCGTGCTGGAGAGAATATTTGGACAGCATGTTCAAACTGGCAAGAAGCTCTTTGAAATCTACCTATAGCAGTGATGAACACCAAATAAGTTAATACGAAACAGGCTCGCAACGAATCAAGCAAATCCGAAGTCATAGCTAAGCTGATGAGTGCAGCATACGGTTCAGATGAGGGTTATTGCTCCGCGTGACTGACTTGCATTTCGAGGAAAATGGGGTCATTTTCGCTCTCGAGTATGGTTACGACGGTAATTGCTATGACACCAGTGTCGCAATCAAACGGTGCTGAATAGCGAGTGGCAAACCGCGACGGTGAGAACCACATGCGTCTATGTGCGTAGTCCTTGTACATGGGGACTAGACGTGAAATGGATGGATGCAGTGGTCATATCCACACGTTCGTTCCATTCGCTTCTAACGAAGAATATATGACTCGATCAGGCGCACTTCGTGAAGGTTAAGTGCGTTAGAATGACACACATGGAACAGATAGATCAAGCATGTTGTCTCGCTAATGAGTGCGGGTCTGACTTGGAATTCCTTATTCAGACGGAGTGAGGGAGTTTTTTCAATAGCTAAAACAAACAAGAAAATATTCCCAGGCTGGCAGCTTGGAAGCCATTATACCAATTACAGGGTTTCAAGGAAATGTTAGAACTTTTTTCACAGAGCTCGTTCCCAATTAGTTTGACATCGAAATATAAAAAGTCTCAGAAACGAAAAACTCGAAAGAAAAAGTGCTTCTCTGCTTGGTTAGGATGATAGTGTTAATGGTTAAAAGCCTCGAACTTGTCCACGCATATAATTCCTCAGTTAACTTTCGCATGTACACTTGCTATATCTTTTCCAGTGCTAGAATTCGGAAGAACGAATTTCGGTGTGTTTTTAAAAGCAATGCTGGTTCTTCTCACATACTTTATTTAATGACATAAATTTTAGAAGTATAACCACAAATTCTTAGCCGTCTACGAGCGAGTTGGTAAGAAATGTTAGATTCAGCGTATAAGTTGAAAAAGGCGACAATCTCGTGTATTTGCTCCATTTTTATTTCTAGCTATGGAAAAGTACAACAAGTGTGGATTCAAATGTCAGATGAGGAACTATATGTGCGAACAAGTTAGAGGTTCACAGAGTTTTAAGCGGTATGATCATTTTTCGTTACGGACTTATGAAGTTCTTACGTTAGATATTGATTTCGAATGGAGTGAGCTTTATGCCATTTTTTGGACAGACTTGTAAACCTTGCTTTGCTCTATCAAGAGATAGCCCACGACTTTCTCAAGAAACACAGTGGGTGTTTGTTGGGATGAAAAGCGAAAACGAACAAAATTTATGGGACAACCTGATACCAACCTTCATATGAGCGACAGAAGTAAGCACAAACTTCGTCCGGGAAGAAATAGAAAACATTTGGGCGAAGCTTCAATTGCTAATCGTAAGCTCATAACTGATTCAGAAATCTTGAATGAAACATATATGGTAAGCAAAGACTTGGTATATTTCAGCAACACCCCAAAAAAACTGCGTTTATGGAGCCTTTTCATCAAAACATTACTTTTATGAGAATGTACTTAATAGTGGCAACAAACATTTGCATCTTTTTTCATCCGTGGCATCATCCACGCACTCCGAAAAATTTTTTGGTATGCTTTCCAGAATTTTCGCGGGCTCATAACCCAGGCCCCCGAAAAAAATTTTTTATGGGGCTGAAGTGAATTTTTAAAATTTTTTAAATAGTATTTGAATTACTTACAAGTATGAGCAAGTCATTTGCACAATTTTATAACTCATGTAAGAACTTTCATTTTGCGAAATACTCGGAAAATCGCAAAAAATACCTTTTTAATCATTTCTTTTGAATAGGTTCGTAACCGCCATATTCATGCTTGGAGGATTCTATTATAGCTCAGAATGGTTAATAAACAACGCAGGCAGCGTCGCCGGAAACTAAAACAACAAGACGGGGATCAGTATTCAGAGCACGGTCAAAAATTAAAATTGGCTTTGACATCACTCTGACTTTGGAAACAGAACTTCTCGTATTTATGACTAATTTTTCCAATTCTTCTTCTTCTTCCGGCTGTCACTTCCAAACGTAATTGCCTTGAGGACTATCGCAAAAAAAACAGCTTTTCATTGTTCTTCCTGAGTTTTGAGGCGGCCTGAAGGAAAAACATGCTCTTCAATATGCCAAAAAAGAGTTTACGCGGCTCCTCAAATGTCTTTCTTCTTTGATTTTCTTAAAACAAACATCACTCAATTTGAGAGTGGATGGGGGGGGGGGGGGAAGGACAAATATTCACTTTTCAGCTCTGTCTCTAGACTATCGAAGGTACCATTTGATTCAACTGGCTTGGCTTCGAGAAGGCGGGTCTCCGTGACCTAATTGAGGCCAGCTGGTAATCAGAGAGCACCCGCGCGAGAGAGACACAGATGCGTCGCGGGTGCGAGCGGCCTTAATTACGTCACAAAGCCCTGCTTTCCTGAAGCCAAGCCAGTTGGATGATGGGGTTGATAATGCGCTTTATACTGTAATTAAGTTGAAGCCAGCTCTACATAATGGTACCTAGAAAATTCCTAAAAGGAGAGAAATATTAGGTTAGAAAGGAAATCATTAAGAAAATCAAAGAAAAGACACGCATTGGGAACCAGGTCCGTTCTGTAAAATGTCATTTGAAAGGCTATAACTTTTTCCACTTTTTATGTTTACGATTGCAGTAAAGACCTTCAAAAGCAGTAAACCATTCGTAACTTAGCGCGCACCAGATCATACTGATATTGCAAACAGTGGCCGTATGTATTACCAGTGCGTCACCTCTGCTTCGCAGAGGCTCGCACTGGCTCTACTATCTATGTGCCTTACTCATTCTCGTAAAATCGTGGCCATGGAACTTGCCGCACTATGCCGACTACCACGAATTAAATGTAAACAGCTACTCATTCAGAAAGTTTTTTCACGTGAGATCGGTGATTTCGCGTGGATGAAACTTTTCGTAGGAAGACAAACGCAAATTTGAATAGGTTTTTGAAGTTGTCATGGCTTGGTAGTCCCCTTAAAGGCAATAGTAACCGTGAGCTACATCTACGTGCGAAAATCTTTTGAAACGCTTAGCTAGAACCTTAGCAAATTAACCATTTACGCAACCAACTCTTTCTGGCGCCGTTTTCGTTATGTAGCAAACTTTTGACCACTTTTTGGGCTAAAGTCCATCGCTTGCACATTTGCTTACCAAACACATCCAGGACTTTGCAAAAAGTGGTGATATGGACCCAATTTTGCGGGACAGAAGTCAGGTGGATCCGTTTGGCGCGCAATTTCTGAGGGAACCATTCAACGAATCTATTCGTGCTTTTGCACGTTGAACTTTCATGAAGGTAGCATGCGCTATGCAAAATTTGGGCTTAAAACGCTGGCTGGAACACGCTCTACGAATTTCGTAACAGACGGACACACACACACACACAAAAACACGTAAACAACCCTTAGCCCGTTATTATAAGGTCTTGATCATTGCTACCTGTGGCCGTATTCATCATTGCTACCCGAGGTAAAATGAACCTTGAGGTAAAATGTACCTCAAGGTACATCCTACCTTAAGGCCGTTTCGTATTCATCAAAGTACCTCAAGGTTAATTCTACCTCACATTGCATGATGTGCGGTGATACTCATTCAGGGCATGCCATAACTCTTAGCGGTGTGTGAAGACATTATTGTGAGTCCCTTATTTCTACTTTTGTTCTGTGGGTATTTCCGTTCGCACGCAATGCTCGCTCGCTTTATGTTAATGATGTTAAACTTTTCAAAAGAAAAAACAGCTCTGAAGCCATTATCTACTCTTACAGTCACGAATATCTCTTCGCTAACGCAGAATTAGGCGAGAGAGACAACAACAGTCGCAGAGCGAAGTGTTGGATTTGCGTTGGGCCAGCAAAAGATGCGAGTTTGGAAGAACTTTTGCTTTACAAATTTGTTGCCATGTTTCGACTGCTGTGTTGTTTCGTGTTATTTGTGTATTCACTTTTAGTGGAACCTTAGAGAGGATTTTCGTTGCATTGCATTATCATACCTATTTATATGTTATCAATGTGTTTTATTGGTATTTGTTTAGCTGCGCAACGAGTACGTGGCCAACTTATTGGTTTCACGTTTTCGTGGGCTGAGCTATGTTTTATGAGCTCATTATAGCATCTACGCTAGTCATAAAGGGCTGCGCTGTACTTAACTTCCAATTGTATAAATTCTTTGATTTTTGAGTCGTTCGTTGAAATGTCTCGACCACATTTTATCAGCTGAACTATCTCGATAATTTTTTTAGCTCTTTATTTGGAATGATTAGGCAGGCGCTATGCTCCTCGAGGAGTATAGCATGGCGACGGGCGACGTGTAAAACCGGCGATTTTTGTCGCTGATATTGGCAATTGCTAATCGCTACGACTGGCGATCGCCCGTCGTCGATATTAGCGGGCGATCGCCAAGAGGACGATTTGCGATTGCCAATCGCTACGCTTGACGATCGCAAATCGCTAGCATTGGCGATCGCAAATCGTCCTATTGGCGATCCCCCGCTAATATCGGCGACGGGCGATCGCCAGTAGCGCCAATATCGGCGACAAAAATCGCCGGTTTTACACGTCGCCCGTCGCCATGCTATACTCATCGAGGAGTATGGCGCCTGCCGTAGTTTCTTATTCAACGTTTCTGAATCATCCATCGTTGCATTAAAACTTTTAGGAATGAGAGGACTAGACCTCTACAACTTTGTCGTTGAAAGCGAGGTGAAGTTGGTTGGCGACAAAGTTCGAAAGTATCTGCTATCACTTCGATACTCTCGTGTAATCATCGCCTCTTGAAACGTGCATTCTTCTTACGCTTGTGTGTTTTTTTTTGTTTCCTTGTTCATCATTTTTTCAAACATTATTTTTAGTTTCTTCTGTCATTATCTATGTCCAGGATATCACAAACCAAATCTCTGCAAGCATGGATTTTCTTAGTTTTGCAGACCTGATATCAAAGGTTAGGACGAGTTTCGAATCAGGCAAACACCTATCCTACTTGTAGAAAACGCTATCAACTGTCTCATCCAGTCGGCCTCGTGGTATACGTCCAAGTAAGGGTAAACCAGAGCCTAACAAAGAGGTAAACAAACTTCTAGTGTAGTTAATGTGCTTAAATTTTTAATGCCCTCAAATTCAGGATGTTGATGAGGGCGATCAATATATTGATAATACTGCAAGAGTTACGCGTTGAGCTCGATGTGAAGAGAGGAGAAGAGGAAAGGCTTCAACGAAAAATCGCAGACTTATTGAAAGAGTGCGCTTCAGGTACATCATTCCCAGTTAACATTTTATAGTGTTTTTCGTGTGATTACTGATGAAGCTTATGTCAAGGGAGCTCGGCCAGTGAGCAAAGTCGGGCTTTTGGAATGTCCGTGTCACGTTTTGTGGTGAAAGCTGATGCGAATCAGCTTGCAGCAAGCTTGCGGACTATTTCTAGGCTAGCCGATAACATCAGTGGCAAGGTCAGCCAGATTCGTTAGACTTGTTCGCATATAGGATCATCACTTTTATTTCCGACGTATAAAACTCTTAATTACTTCCTTGTTCGCTCTAGAAATAGAAAAAGCAAGTCACAAATTGGAAAGTCATTCATTTGGTAACAAAAATGACTCAGTCGCCCGCAGAGACGCTTGATATTTGCGCTTGCGCTGCCGGCAACATTTGCGCGTGAACCATGCTAATGATGTTGAGACCGCTTAAAAAACAGCAAAAAAAGGTATGATAAAATCGGTTCATAGCTAACCATAGTAGGCAAGCCAAGTATACCACGTTAACCTTCAAGTCTATTAGATTAAGCATGAAGGTCGCTGAAAAGCTGCAGTGATTGTCTATTTCTACTTCAAAAGACGCCGAACGAAGGAAAGCTGTTGAGCCGCGATGTAAGCTTAGCAGACAAGCTAACACACGATGAACAGACTGATGCAAAGCCTCCTATCTATATGTACAAAGGGATTGATGGTTATTCTGGCCACTTAGACGATCGGAACTGGCTACAAATATGGCCATATCTGTTTTGGTTTTTGACTCGAAATTAGCGATTCTATTTCATGCACCATCTTTAAGTTGCCGTACTGGATGTAGCGAAAACTCGCGCTGTTGAGTGCCCTCAGCTTGCAGGTGATATGCGTAATTTAGGTGCGTCCTGATTTATCTTTTTTGTCCAATATATTTTGGTAACGACTTGGTACATAAATATTCTAGGCGTCTGCATTGAAGAAGTGGATCAGTGCATAAATAATGAGGTATGTGAACAGGCAGCGCAGGACATTCATCACTTTCTCACTCTGGATAGGGATGTTTTTCGATTTTGTAGTGCAGCTCACAAAGGTGAGACTCATCTCGTCGCGTTTTTGTGACATTTTCTAGAAGTTATGAAGTTGCATGTGGGTAACTATTTCTAGAACCTGCCCAGTCAGTATCTCATAGTTATAAACTTTCAAATAGTGCGACAGCTCGGCTGAAAGAAGTTCTCGAGCGCAAGCTCAAGGCAGCTTTGGCAGCTTTTAATTTCCTTTCTAAATTTGTTGAATATCATCATTTGGCAGATTCGGCCATCTCTTTATATGGTGACTTTTGAAACATGCTTGACATTTGCCCTCGTGTCGTGCTCTAACGGGAAGCTGAGTGTGTCAACACAACACATTGTGTTAACACATGATAGTTCCCCGTGTATGATGGTTAACCAAACTCAGGTCAATTTATTGTTATCATTCTTGTTTCGTTCTTGTTATCGTTAGGTGGGCAAAATTTCGTGCGCCCTTTTAAAGTTACGCCATGCTGGACGGCTGCGCTGGTCAGGTTAACACTTGAAAGCACGGAACTTTTGTTTCTCCGAACACCCATACAATAAGGTGTGATACATAACCTCGTGAACTCCTCCATTTAAATGAGAATCAAATAAGAGCTAAGAGTTAAACCCGGCAAAATCGAGTTTTTGAAAAACGACCTTAGCGGGTTGCTAACCTGGGTTGCTAACCTGCTAACTTGCTAGTTGCCCGCTGACCAATGTACATCAGAATCTAGTGTCGCGACTTTTGACTTTGACTTCGACTTTGCGCTAAAAAGATCCAGAAAATGCAAAGACGTGGAAACCCAAAATCTGCCGGGATAGTGCCTTTAAGAGAATTTGAAGCAAATGCCTTGACATCTTTCTACTCCCCTCAATCCTACAAAAGGAGTGAGGCCAAGATATCCCGCTATACTCCCTCTGACAAACTATTCATAATTCTCATTTCAGAAATGTCGCAACCTAAGAAGCAAAAACTTGATCGGAAAGTCCCGGTTTTTACTGAAGAAGAAACCAAAACTTTGATATCTCTATATCTAAAGAATAGAGACGAATTCCACGGCAAATTTAAAGCAGGTATGAAAAATTCATTTTCTTCTTCAAAAATTTCAAATAATAAGTGGTACAAAGGTGTAATATGAAAAATTTCTCAATGCTTTGGTTTTGAAAGGTCATCGAACAGAAGACCTTTATATTTAAAGCGTTATGTCTCATCAATCGACATACTATTAGGTTGGAACATGTAGAATCTAAGTAGACCGTCTCTTTTTTCCTAGTTTCTGTAAAGGAGATACGGGGAATCAAAAATGCTAATTTCATAATTAAATAAGCGCTGTATAAGTTAGCAAGTTCAAGTTAGCAAGTTAAGTCACTTAAGTTAAGTAAATAGTTAGTTTTTTTAGATTTTTAAAGTTTTTTTTTAATTATTCTTACTTACTTAGTTGAGTTACTTCAAGTTAGCACCAGAACCATTTGTTACCGATTCATTCGAAAAAGATTCTATTCTATAAATACAGTTTTATTTCTTAAAAGTTTATGATTAAACTGTTATGAAATTGATTGAATGTCAGTGTCACTTTCAGTCGGAATTTACTCCAAAAACTTTGTTTAGGAGGGAAAACGGGCGAAAGCGCACGTCAAATTCTATTGAATGAATGGGCCTTAGAGATCTCTAGTTTGGGAGTCGCGAAAAGAACTAAAGAAAATGTCGAAGAAAAGATTAAAAATGAAATTAAAAAAGTTCAGAAGCACCTTAAGTTGGAGGTAATCAGCGGATAGTCCCTTAACTAATTATTGAACAGAAGGAATGTTTAGAAGGAAAAATATTCCGGAACGGGCGGTGGGATTTTTGCATTGCCTACATTACCACCATATCTGATTCCCCTCGCAGAAGTATTATCGGAAAAACACCACGTATCTGGTGTGCCGGAAATCGGTCAGTTCGTGAGGTTTTATTTCTAATAACAAGAGTTTATTGCAGATGATTTTGATGATGACGAACAAATGAATGGCGAAACAGCTGCTGAAGAGTAAGTAGCATCGCAGCGATGGCGATCGAGAGAGAGGGAGGGAGGGGAGGGGGGTAATACCAAAGAACTCTATTGGAAGCGCTTGGAGTTTTTGTCCCAAGCCCCCACACTCCCTCCCCCCCCCCTCAAACCAACACAATTCCTGAAACCACAGTGTATAAGCTATTTCTAGTTCGTTTCGCTATGTATAAACTCATTTTTAGAAAGGATTTAATCACTGATGATCTAGACGCACAGCACACGCATACTCTCAGGTCTTCTCATAGGAAAAGTTTGTCTGCGTAAGTTCAGCATGTGCATTCATTTACAGTCCTAATTGTGCAACCGTTCAGGAGCGCTCGAGAAACATTGTCTCTTTTTACAGACAAGAGGTCCATGTTATATGAAGAAGAGATAAAGGTGGCGCAGATGAAACAAAAAAAACTAAAACTGGAGATCGAGGTATGGGAAGTAAAACTGGAAGAAGCCAAATTAGCTCTTGAAGTCACAAAGGCGAAGGCTGTTGCGGCTAGAAATCCTTCGGCACAAGTCCCGTACTATTTTGCAGGCCGTGACGAATCATATAGTCCAAGTATTTGATTTTTTCTATGATTCTTTTTGTTTCGTGACGCTTCGTGACATAAGGTCTCTTTTTTAGAACATTTTATACAGTTCATTGATAAAGTAATAGTTGAATAAAGATTGAAAATTGCAGCAATTATGTAAAATTTACTAACGGTTAACATACTGTCAAATCATTTTCAACTGTAGCAACGGTCTACTATGAAAGTGCGAATATCGTTCCTGCTCCATGAATCTGGAACATCCTCTAATGAGCCGGCTTGGGGATAGCAGGCTACTGGGACTCGAAGCCGAAGCTGGCTAGTAGCCTACTAGTCTAGTCACGCAGCATAGTAAACATTTTGTGATTTAACAAAAGCGCACAGCGGCAGCTACAGGCTGCTGGCGGCTGCTTCGGCCTGCTGACGGCTACCAGCGTGTTATGAAGTTATCTACCCTAACCTAATTTCTCTTATAAGGGTGCACCCTTGACTATTGGCTGTAACCCAGCAGATCCTTATGTGGCACAATTCTCTTAGAATCTGAATTAGAATCTTTTTGGAACACGTTTATGCAAAATACATGAAAAGAATTGGATTAGTTCTATTTTGAAAACAATTTGGCTTCTTACGTGAAGTAACGATCAATAATGGTACGTCGAAAATTATTTGCCATTTCTGGTAGGTCTGTTTCTTCGTCTCCTGCTTCAGGATATTGTTGAGGAATACTCTCAGTATCAGTGAATGCAGCTTCTCTCATAATAATCGCAAAATTTCTTATACAACAACATGAAATTATTAATTTAGCACTTCTACTAGGGGTATGCCTGGAATGAGGACTTGATACAAGTTTGTTTGACGTCTCAGCCTACCTCAGCTCTGTGTGTAGGGCCTGAAATTGCCTTTTAAGGGATCCGAAGGCGTTTTCTATAACCACGCGTCCCCGGCAGACAGCGTTTGTATAACGTGTTTCTTAAGAGAAAATATTACAAGTGAGTCTTTTCTCTATATAATAAACCTGCAGGGCTTCTGTCTTCCCTCAATATCGGTTTTAAGAGGAAGCGTTCAGACCTGTAGGCGCTGTCACCTAATAACACCCCCGTCTTCCTGCCCTCTAATAAATCGCTATATAGCCGACTGGATCGAAAAGCCTTAAAATGCACACCACGCTTTAAAATGACTGATTTATTTTACCCTTGAATCATGGGCGCGGCCTGGATATTTTACGCTTATCCATAAGAACTTTTGGTTTAAATCACAGACAGCCCCCATATTGATGCTATGGTAGTCTTTTCTGCAAGTGTAAGAATGACACTAACGATTACAAAGGGTTGGTTAACTCTTACCGATTTACATAGCTATCCTCTGAGTCAGAGGGGGCAATGATCTTAATGTGCGATCCGTCTATCGCCCCCACTACTCGTGGAATGCCGCAGAGGTTGAAAAATCTGATGAAATGAAAATCTTTTACTTTTCACATCCGGGTAAGAAAGCAAACCGTCTTTCCATATCGCTCTGTTCCAAAGAGCTTGGCCATTTGATAAATTCCCTTCTTCTACGGTAAAATAGGTCCGAAACTTCAGCGATTATTCGAGAGACAGTTGCTTGAGAGCAACCGAGTGTTAACCCAGTTGTTCTCTGAAACCCCGTATTCTTCCTCTTAAAAAGTGTTTTAAATGTTGTTCAAACCTGTAAACTCGAACTACCAAGATGTTCTAAAAAAATAGCGAGTTTATGTGACGCGCTTATTGACGCTGTTCTTGTAGTCTTCGGAGTAAGATCTTCTTGTAATCCCGAGAGAAGGGTGTAAAACCCTCTGCGAGACAGACGAAACCGCTGCCTAAAGCGGTAATCGTCTAAAATCTGCAGGGGGTCAACCCTACTTCGAAAATGTCTTGGGGACGCCATGCCAATCAGATGTTCAAGGGTTTCTCTTTCGATATCATTCATCTGAAGTTAAAACTTTATTTTCCAATAAGTTATCTAATGTAGACTTGTAATAATCATTTTTGGGTATCATAAATATGTAGTAGAGTAACATCAAAGGCCTGTTTACTTGGTTACAGGCAGATGTTAAATTATTCGCCATGTTGAATATGAATATCACATCCAGTTTTAACCATAACTCCAGATTGGGGTTGTGGTAGGTCTATAGTAGTGGCGATGGCAAATCTTTGTACAGGGGAGAGGGAGAGAAAAAGTACTTGTGGGTTCAATGTAAGTGGGGCTAGCCATGCACTCCGAAAAAATATTTGGAATGTTTCCCAAAAGTTTTTGCTGTCTCTTTGCGGTCTTCCACCGGAAATATTCTTTCACAAAGCTAACTTGAAATGTATCAAAAAAATTAATAATGGAATTACTTACAAGCGTAAACGACTCACTTGCATATTCTCACAATTCATTTAAGTAAGTTTAGAAAATTTTCAGAATATCCCCTCCTCCCATTGAGCCACTGGTCTATTGTACGGTATTAAAATCAGAGAATAGACAACTGTACTGCCCCTGAGGTTAATGGTGCCACGAAAAGAATGTCAGTTTCATACAGTTAAGATTTTCGAAACGTGAGATGCGTCAAAATTTCAAAATTGCTTAAAAATTTGTTGAGGGGTTTTTTACAGTTTGCTGATCACAAATGTGGTTCCAGTAGCTTTCCAATCTCGTAATCACTGCTGGAAAATTTTATCGTAACAATATTCGAATTCTTAGATAGTGTTCTGACGTAGTAGAGCTGTATCTTAGCTAAAAGAAAAGCATGAATAAGAGTAAGAAAATATCTGGAGAAACATAGGAAAGTGTTACAAACTGAGTGCGAAGCTACGTGGACGCCATGATCTTTCTGCTTCAGCGAAAGCAAAATTCTGAGAATTATCTACCAAAACCAGCTAACCAAATTCAAAACTAACGATTGTCGTAATGACACAAACGTGTCAGCTCAGACGCTGGAAGCGGACACGCTATGGCCCTTAATTATTACTGCGGTTTACAAAATGTGGGCTGACAGGGAAAGGAAGATTATAGTAAAGTTATGATCCGGGGTCAGCCGCCCTACGGAGGATCTCGGATTGAGTGTATTTTGGTGCAATTGCACCCAAAGGCCGCAGGTGGGCTGCACCATAGCGGCTGAGAAGATTTGGCACATTACTGCTGCTCTTCCGCGGCTCATACGTTTTCAGAGCCTGAGATATGAAGAATGGACGAATTTATGGCACGGCACGTACCTTTCTAGCTGCTTAGGCTGTAGCGGTGAGATTAAAATGAACCCTACTTCAATATAAGATACCTTGAGAAACTACCTCAAGGTAGAATCTACCTCAAGGTACAATTTCGTATTCATCAAAATTTATCTCTCAAGGTTGAAATAACCTGTGCCAGCATGTAAACACTGACGTTTTCTCAGAGAAGGGCATAGCGTACTTACGGTGAATTGCTTTCTTTCATATCTGCATGGGATTTAAGCAAGGATACTTATGTCTTTAGAGTGTGAGAGGCTATAAGTGGTGAATTGGAGAGGATAGGGTCCATATATTCAACAATTCTAGGTTTTAAGACTCTATCCGGGAAAATGTCTGCTTCTAAGTGCAATTTGCAAAATTATCTGCTGCGATGCCTACCTTTCAGTTGAATTTGAGTTGAGAAACTGAACAAGACTAAAGAAATGCGTCATACGAACCTCAACACTGGATTTTCTTGAATACAGACTTGCAAAGCGATTTGTTTTTGGGTTATGCAAATTTAAGCTTGTGGTTTCAGTGTGCTATGCTCAAAATACTGTTTGATAGGATCTATGATGCTCAAAATGCTGTTGGAGCAAATAAAGGATGTGTTTGACTTTTTTTGGTTCGATACATCAGTTTCACAGGACTTTTAAAACACTCACAACATATCCATAGGATTTAAGAGAAATATAGTCCTAATCTCTTTACATGTCTATAACTCTAGCTAATCTCAACGAAATTAGACAAAATTGCTGCAATGGATTCAGTTTTGTCGCTGCAGTGTTCACGTGAAAAATCAGCCTCTAAAACCTTGTAGATCTCTAAAGGTATCACTCCTAACCTTGCCTTTTGCTAGGGTAAAAGTTTCTATTGTAAATGTACCTCAAGGTAAAGGCATCAAGTTTGATGAATACGGATTTATCGCTGATAAGGCTACCTTGAGGTAGAATTCACCTCAAGGTATCATTCATTCCACATGAAATCATTTTCAAGGTTGATCTAACCTTGAGCATTTACCTCAAGGTACATTGATGAATACGGGTTTTGAGTGATAATCCTACCTCAAGGTTCATTTTACCTCAAGGTAGCAATGATGCTATGCTGTGCTATGCTCAAAAAATTGTCCGATAGGATCTATATACTCAGAATGCTTTTGGAGCAAATAAAGGATGTGTTTGACTTTCTCTGGTTCGGTACATCAGTTTTACAAGAGTTTTAAAACACTCACAATATATCCATAAGATTAAAGAGAAATGTAGTCGAATTTCTTTACATGTCTACAACCCCGCACTCATTGCTTTCACTTTCTTATTTACTGTTCAGGCACAGATGGACGAATTCTTTCGAAAAGATAGCTACTGTATGGGATTATATTGTCTACTTAATGCAAGGTTAAATAAATTTTCCGAAACTATCTGGGCTGAGAAATCGACGCCCTAAGGTAGATGATCGCTGCTAACATTCTTTCTGTCAAAAATTTTTCATAATGTAAGGGAATCTAAAACTTCGCTCTTTGGCTATCCTGGCTAGCGCATAAATTCTGAAATTCTATGATTTGGGACTTTCAGTCTTACCAGATAGGCTCAAAAACGTGAACGATTTTAGATTTTTAGCTTTTCTTTTCACAGAACTCCTTTGTTGAATCTTTCCTAAATACACATATACTACTGGCTTGCGGCTATAAAATAATACTAGCTATAGAAACAAAGTTTAAAGGAAGTTGTAATTTCTCAAAAACGACGCTCACAAAAGAGAAAGTCTGGCTTTTGGCGCATGTTTTTCTTCCTGTGGCCATATTCATCGTTGCTACCTTGAGGTAAATTCT